GTAAGGTGGTCAAAAGGTATGGGCACGCCAAACCGGGCACGAGCGATCGCAAGCGCGTAAACGCTCGCGTGAACATAAATGCGCTCATGAACGTCGGCATCGCGTCGGGGCGTAATTTTATTATTCGAAACTAAAAAAAAAACAAATAAAAATAGTACGTAAACCAATACTTAAGTTACTTGAAGTGCAAGCACAATATTATTATGTAACAAAATGGAAGTGAGCAAAACTTTTCCGTAACGGTTCCGAGTACTTCCTTGTTAGCGAATGCAAATTGAGACGCCGCGGACTTGTGTGCGTGCGCAGCCGCTTATCTGCAAGGACATTTGCACAGTGAATCAGCCTATGCTCTCGGTCTCGATTTTCAAGCGTATCTTAACGGCGATTGGAGGAGGATCACGCGGTATCCGCTACTCGCGCGTGCACGGGGTGTCCGATACATAAAAAAAAAAAAAAGTGCAAGATCGCGCAAAAGGCGGACGTTGACCACGTGCGCTCAATGGGTTCGTGCACTTTAAGTGCCGGTAGGATCGCACCCGGTATCGTTGCATACTTGCGTGAGCATACGATTTTACACACACACACACACACACATACGTTGTTCGTCGACCTCGCCGCATATCGGAATATCAGGGATGCACGTTACGTGGAGAAACGTCGGAAACGGATAATTCCGTAGATTAGAGCGCGTTTAGGCGCGGGGCTTATGTGCCCTTTAAGCCGCGGCGTTTTCTCCGCAACAACGTTCGATGCGAGGCGATTAGCTATCATCCGTAAACGAGGAGTTTCGCCGCGGAAGGAGAAAAACATCGCAACATTTCACAGTAAATTACAAACTGTGGTGGAAGTTAACGAGAGAAAAATAAATCGATTTGCTGTTCCGATGCGCAATTTCGAAAGAGAGAATTCACGTATCGTCGAAACCGTCCCAGCTTGATGGTTTTGTGGGCCGATCAACAGTTGAGTGCAAAGAGAATAGAAGATAAAGAGAACGTATCTTTTTGTAAAAAAAAAAAAAATAATAAAGTAATTAGAAAAAATGTCAATTTCTTCGACTTTTGTTTTAATTAAACGCTGCAATAAAGAGAAATTTCACGTAGAATATTGTAACATCTCTTTGCACTTGACTTGGTCGCTAATTTATACGTTTCCCGATTATAAGAGAGATAGATGAGAATTTCGCGGGAAAAGACGTTTGTGCATTTGAGGATAAATAGTGTCTCTCGATAATATTCCGCGGTATCGCGTAGCGGTCGAAATACGAGAGATACGTCCGCGAATTTACGCCACTTCCCGTCGTGACATTAAATACGCCTCTCGGTGAATGTAATATCGCGCTTAGATATCGACAAAAGTGAGAGGAACGTTGGGGGATAATTGGAAAGATTACACCGCGTGGCACGTCCGCGTATGTATTATATGGATTTTAGTAGCGCGCGCGCGCGAGCGGGCTTTAGCTTAGCGACGAATTATCGGACGTTTGTTCTAATACCCGTTGCACGACTTTCCGATAGTTCAGATAGTCGGTATCTAGGTCTCTCGGAGGAGAACTTGAGAACCTTAGGTCTCTTCTGGTAATTTAAGAGCTTCAACAACTTCGAGCGCTGCTTGGGAACGCGAAGACATTAAAGGATCCCGGGAATCTCTCGTAGAAATGTGAAAATCGTCGACAATCGAGTTCGCGAAAGAGATTTGAAGTTTGTATCGAAAAACGAGAAACACACACACACACACACACACACGGCGGCGCGCGATCTCGCTTCTATTTGAATCCCGGGAGAGACGTGTGAGAGAATAGAATTTCTCTGATACGTGCGCGAAAAAAGAAAAAAAAAAAAAGAAAAGAGAAAAAAATATTAATCGCTCACGCGGAGGCTTTCGGAATCAGTGAAGTTGAACGTGACTGATAGTCGGCGCAACCTGATAACAAAAAAGCCGAGATGAAAACGATATGTTGCTCGTAAATGTTGCGCCCGGTGATATACAGCGCGTTGTCCGGGATTGATTAATCCTGGCGTGTACGCGAAGGAGTTTCGCGGAGATTTACCGCGAGTAAAAGGGGATCGAGCGAGAGAGACCTAAAAGTCTTGTTCACAATGGAACCTCGCGCATCGCGCGTGATATATCGGAAGAAAGAGAGAGAGAAAGAGAGAGAAAGAAAGAAAGAGAGAGAGAGAAAAAGAAAAGTCGGAGAGAAGCCCACAGAGAGATGATGTGTATTTTTAACGCGCCTCTTCTATCCCGGAGTCACTTCCTGCACCAGTGCCACACTGATCCACATCGATATCGATCTTCCTAGATCCTGTTCGCCGACCGAAGTTTTCTCGTTAAATCGCCAGTTCGATTGAGAAAATTTATCTCGGAATTGCGAGAACACACGACGACGGCTTTAATTTCAACACTTTCGCACATATTTTTAGAGCTCTGACGTATTTGTTAAACGAAGCGAACGCGAGCGTAAGCTTAGAACATAATTTTCTATTCGCACAAATCGCGGGAGAGTGTATCGCTTCCTGTTCCAGATTATTTATTGTATCCAGACTGTCCATACGGTAACGGTGCATGCATTCTTACGCGTTCTACGTACAAGGTTCTCTAAATGGACAAGCATTGTTTGCCAGCAAGTCGCGTAGTGTCGGTTTAATGGTACAACGGTGTCGGGGAAAACGAGATAATTTTAAATAAAGTTGCCCGCGAGTACGGGACAAAAATTAAAATCGTCGAATTCCGCTTTCAACGCTCAGTAATTTCGCGCGAACTTGTTGAAAACTGTGTTCGAGAGAAAAAAAAAAGAAAGCGAGATATTTTTGAACAATTCTCCGTTCGCCGGAAATAATCATAGAACACACGTGGTTTATCGCGTATCTAGCGCGCGCGCGCACGTCTCGATCCTGTGGATCAAGGTTCGCGAGCTTTTAAACGACAGGTGCAAACATTTGGGGAGCGCGCGGCGCAAAAAAGGAAGCCGGTAATTGTAAGCCTCGGGTAGAAAAACCAGTTTGCTAAAAACAACCCGGGCCCGAGTCGAGACTCGTTGTGCGGGGCTACCGAATAACCAACGGGTGTCGGTGTAGTAACGTAACCAGTTCGTGAGAAAAAAGCGGCTTTTGAAAATCCGTTTTAAAATATCTCTTAAAATCGTCCGTTCACGCGCGAATTATACGCGTCTCAACGTCGTTTCAAGGAAGAAATGCGATCTCAAACGCGATCTTGAAATGTTTTGATCTCTTCCGAGAAAGAGAGAGAGAGAGAGAGAGAGAGAGAAACATTCGGAGGAGATTATTTCAATAAAAACTATTTTTTACGTGCCGTTAGAAAAATTATTTTTATTTTTCTCGCGCTCGACATCGCCAAATAGAGCGTAAGAGTTGGCGATGTGTAAAATCGCTAACACATTCAAAGTGCTTTGATAATTGTTGTCGAAAGTCCATTCTTCTCTTGGTGCATAACATATGTGTTCGCGTTCGGCTTAACAAAAAGCGCGCGCGCGGTCGTCGGGTTCGCCGGTCGTCGAAAAGGCGCCGTGAAGTCGCAATACTTGAACTTATGCAGGAAATACTTTCTATGAATGAACTTTCTCACCGCACATCGAGAAAAAAAGATACAGTTAAATGCCAAAACGAGTCAGAGCGCCCGGGATCCGCAAAAATGTATATAAATAGCGGCTTATTCTCTTCTGCTGCGTAATGCACCTACGTTTCCCCTGCTGGTATATATCAAATTACAATGCAATTACTGTCGAGATACGTAATATCATTTTTCGTGCCGGGAAACTTCCGCGATTGAAATTTCAAAACGCTTTCAAATCCCATTCGATTTCTCACTCGGCATTTTATTCCCCTTAAAAAAGAAAAATAAATAAATAAAAAAAAAACAGAGAGAGAGAAGAACAAATCTATTGTGCAATTTACGCGCGTTTCCTTGTTCTATGGTAATTCCTCAAAAAAGGCGAACAATGCCTCGTCCAACACGCATGAGACAACCTCGCTGGAATTCCAGCGCGGGCACCGTAGTCGCGCGACAGGTGAAGCGGCACCGCACAGCGGCACCACGTGTGTGTTGTTTCGTGCGCAGTGTCGCCTAGATTCGAATTTACGAACGATCGTTATTCAATTCAAATAACACGAACTAACGGGCCCGGCGCTCGCAGGATTTCCGCCTTCGATGTTCGTTTACTTGTGTTTCACAGGAGAATCGGGGTTAGGCAAAGGTCAGGATGGAGAGACGGATCGATCGATCGATCGTCCGCGAGATGCGAGATCGTCACCGCGAGAGGAGTTAGCATTAATTTTGGTTAAACACATCGGGAGAATACTGCACTTCTCTTTTATCTCTTCTTTCTTCTATTGATTCCGATTGAATTCGATCGCAAAACGCACCGTCGATTTGTGCCCGACAACCTAAAGATCGGGTACGTGTCAAGGATTCAAGGATATCGCCCGGCGGGCAAAATACCAGAATGTTCGTCTTCGCGAACCGCTCGTTATTTCGCCCAACGTATGACGGACGTGGGGCCTCAAGGGCTACGCGGCGCGTATTTTTTTTTGTTTTTTTTTTTTGTTGGAAGGGTCTTCGTTGAAAGAAGATATATTTAGACGGAGCCCTTGAAAACATCCTGCCTTGTCTCGAGACGCGTCACGAGGCTGATTCGTCTCGAGACCGCGCACGCAGGTTGCGAAACCGCAACAACGAAACGCGCTCACGAAAACGAGACGCGAACGTACCAAGTACCAGGATACCGTTGCATCAATGAATTATTTACTTACGACGAGAGAGCGCACGCGAACGAACGTTAATTAAGTTAAAGAAATTTTGTCCCGTCAAATCCGGTTAAAGATAATTACATTTGTAAATCCTCTCGCGCGAGAGAGGAGGAGAAGAATGTAATTTCTTTACGAGTGTTGTGCGATGATATTTTACGGCAAATTGCCGGAGGGATCATCAATTCGGCGCAGAATCAAGAGTGTGATTGAAAAAACAAAAAAAAAACAAAAACTCACCTCGCACTTGGACGTGTCGAGTATCTCAACTTCCATCGCGACATTGTCGATGGTCACGCTGTGTCGGTAGAGGAAATCTGCAACACACAATAAATAAAAAATGTTTACGAATTTAATGTCATTTTTGTCTTTATTATTATTATTTATATTTTTATTACTATTATTATTATTATTATCATCATAATCATCATTATCATCATCGCTACCGATAATCGGCGTCTCGGCGTGATTAAAAACAACAATTTTCTCAATCTCGGCGATTATTGCGATCTAACGAGAGAGAGATGAGGTTTCAAATCACCTTTGGAAAAGTTTAAACGGATCATTTTCCCGGAGGATAGAAAACGCGGCTAATGCGCGAAAGTGCCGGATCACTTAGTAACGACAATTTCAATTAGTTACGCTCGCTGCTGTGTCATTATACGATCGTTGACAATGACACGTGACTTTCGCTCGGTTGTTCGCGATCGAAAACAGAGTTTGTGCGCTTTGATTTCTCGAGTTTTGCATCATGTAAATAATAATTTCTCGATCTTATATTCGAGATACGTGTATACGTGTCGATCGTCTCGAGATTGCGTCTCGCTTAGAAATTCTGGGATGCCGCGGATGTTGCGGTGATTTTTAGTTGGCGCGCGCGTTTGTAGGGCGAGCGTGGAAGGGAAAGCTCATATTTCTTGAAGTTGATTAGAGCACACACACACACACTCGCAAATAGTCGAGAGCACGCGCGCACAAGGCGAACAAGAAGAAGAAAAGACGCGGAAGCATATCGAATACCAGTAGCCGCGCCAGGGTAGCCGCGCGCACACCACATACGCACAATAAATAAACGATAAATAAACTCATAAACACCTCATAGTGTCGGCGGCGAGGAGGTTGGGAGAGGCGCGCAGCGAAACAAGCGAATAAGGATGCTCGTTATATTAGCGGTCGTTACGCTCGAGAAAGTTTTATTGCCGCGCAATACTTAATGGAGAAACGATTACGACCCGACCGTTGCGACGGAAAATTCATTGCTAGTCTATTGACGTGAGAAAAAAACTCGCGCTTCCGAGACCGCAAGAGCGCGGTTTGCGCGCGTATTAACTCGCGGAGGGAGTAAAGCGCGAAAAAATAAGATTTTCTTTCGCGCTCATCAGAAGGATCACATCTTGAAAAATATACATTACAGAGTTGAAGCCCGGACTTGAAAAGTCTATCTCTCTCTCTCTCTCGAAGGAGGTTGTTTAACGCGACAAAATTACTCAACATCGGAGAAAATTTCAAAAAATCTGAAATTGTAACCTAATATTTAAATTAGACTCTCTTAGACGCGCAGAAAGTGTGTGTGGAAAGTTACAAGAGTCCACGATGTGAAGAAACTTCAACGTTATAATGGCAGCACAAAGTTTCTAAGAAATTGAAAGTATAAAAAAAATATATATATATGTGCACGTATATATCACAAGGCTGTAACTTAAAAGACAACGAGAGACGTACGCGGCACACTTTCGTCGAATGGTAACCGGTAATATAACTGTCACCGAGATCGCGCGCGGATTCGGCTTTTGCGTTGGAGATCCATCGCGCGGCGATATACGTGATCGTCTATCGTCGATCTATCAAACGATCGGGATGCACGATGCAATCTCCTGCGCGCGGACAAAACGTTCCCGCGTGCGCGCGCGCGCGCGCGAGGATCGACAATGCAACGAAACTCGCTTTCTAAATCATTGCCTAGAATTATTCCACGCAAGGAGAGATTTGCATTGTTAATCGAGATCGAAATAATAACAAGCGCGCGCGTGTTTGTTGCCTGCATCTCTCGTGGCGAGAGATGAAAAGGACCGATTACCCCCGGAGTCTCTCGTAAAACGACGATGTTGCGCGCGCCTCGTACGAATGCCTTGTAATCGAAATTGCCGAGGAAGATCATCCTCGATCTTCCATCGAGAGATCAAATTTAAGTCGTGCGATGGGAAGCCAATAATAATAAGTGGCCATTTCGAAAGTACCAGACGCTATTATTGCGCTGCGCATGTCTAAGATTCGTAGATTCTATATACACGTTTTTCCGCAACAACGGTCCAGAAGAAAAAAAAAAAAAAGACCGAAGGTGAATTTTCGCTCGCCCGTCTTCTTCTTTACATGTTCAATTGTGTCTGCAAGTCGTTACACATTTGTTGCAATTTTTGTATCTTAAAATATTTCATCCGTCATAAAAGTATAAAATTTATACAGATGTAATATTGCGAGCGCATAATAGATCTCATATTCATCAATTTATATTCATAGCCTCGAGTTGATAAATATGGATTTAATTTCTAGCAAAGTAACCCAGACAATTTTTCCAAAGGGGATATTTTGCTTGCCACATCACCTTCACGGACTAACTGAAGGAAATCAATGGTCCCGCTTTCACCGTTCGAGGGCGTTTTCTTCGGAAAAGTGATTCTCCAACGACTAGGAACGACAGTGTGTGTGTGTGTGTGTATGTGTGTGTGATAATTCCTGCACGAGTCGCACGAAGTGTTGATGCATTTTCGATTCGCTTCACACGAAATGCGCTGAAAGAGAGAGAGACGCACCGTTACACGCGAGATCGCAACACCTCTCGACATATCTCAGGTGTTTTTCAGATTTTGAAAAATTGAAAAATCCAATGCGGATTGTTTTTCAAAAGCCACCAAAATCTTTGACGTTCGTTTTTGTTGTTTTTTTTTAAATTCTCGCAAAGAGTTCGAAGAGATTTGCGGCGCGCAACGAGACTTCTGAACATTATGACCGCCGACTGACTCTGCCGTGAGTGTAACTCTGAAGAATATAAAAACCAAAACCTATTAAAAGAGATATGTACCGCGATTTCTATCACGCTATGAAAACAATTTATCTCTAGATTGAGGTACTTGTTCCAATACCCGTTTTTGCTTCCGGCACTTCTTAAGGCCTTATTTTGTGAAGCGGTCTGTGTAATATCTGCAGACACACACTACCTGTCGTGTCTACGTCGCTGAGGTTTTTTTTTATCTGTCATCGTTTTTACCGATTTTTTATCGATTCCTCAATTGACGGCGATCGTAGAGTAGCGCCCACGGCGTCATCTTTGAGGATCAATTGAGCGATTATCTCCCTCCTATCGATTGAAGGGGAGCACGTCAGATTATCCGCTTCCTGGTTACGTTCTACTGGTGATTATCTATCATTTTCCCAGGAAATTAATTAATACCGATGGTAGGAGAGAAAGAAAGTAAGACAGAGAGAAAGAGAGCACTCGTGCGCGCGGCACCCTTTCGTCCGTCCATTATCGATCGCTGATAGATCGATCGGAATCGAGATTGATTCTGACTGCCAGTTACATACACAAGAGAAATTCGATAAATCGATGATTGCGCTATTGTGTCGGGGAAGCTTTCCGCGCGTTACGTGGACGGCAATCGTTTGAGGAAAGTTAAAGAGAAACTCTTCCTACGAATTCCACTCTCAAGACTCAATTCGCACAAATCTCAATTCGTACTCCGTTTGTTTGTTTTCGAACCTCTCGTGCACGAGACAGCGATTTTTATTCCGGACCGCTACAAATCGTCTCGATGAGATTCGCGCGTGCACTACTACCTTAAACAAAAAAAAAAAAAAAAAACGTACGCCGATCTATAAAGTATCTCGATTATCGTTACGATAATGTCCCCATAACTATCGGGATTGCGATGGAAACGGCGTGACACTCTGAAAAAGAGAACTCGAAAGAGGAGGAGGAGGAGGACGCACGCGAAGTCGGCATGTGTGTGCCGCGGTGCGATGGGTGTTATACAAAAATAGGACTTGCGCGGTTCAGGGTTAAGGGGACAATACTTCACGGTAAATTTTTTTCTAGGCGGCTCGGATATCCGCGAAACACGCCGTCGTAGCTTATATGTCCGCGGGCGTGCACGGCAATTATTGTGGCGAAGTAGCCTGCATGAGTTATGGGAGAGATCTGCATTCTGCGGACCCTCCCTATAGGCTCTATTTCATATCGAGTGTTTAAATCTCCGCCCTCCTCGGGTTTAGCGCTGTGTTCGTTGTGTCTCTTTCTCTCCTCTCTCTTTCTCTCTCTCTCTCTCTCTCTCTCTCTCTCTCGCTCTTTCTCTCTCTCTCACTTTTTCTTGAAGCACCGCTGCCGCTTTTTCCCCCTCATTTCCCCTCTTCCCCCATCCGCCAATCGCTATCTCGTGTATTTCTGTGACCGCTAGAACGCCCTCGGGACGTCGCTCGCGAGGCGCCATGATTAAGATTTTTCACGGATACCCTTGAATTAGAGTCCGGTTTTGAGCGCGAGAATATTTCACGGCGGATTTTTCCGTCTCGCGCGCCGCGCCCGAGCACGCGATGGAACTGATCGAGATTTAGATTCGCGTTTTGTACTCCGGGGTGAGCGTTTGGCGCGCGTGAGTCGAGGCCGCCCCCTTCGGTGCAGATACGGGCCCGATAGCCCGAGCGAGAAAGAAACTTAGATAGGAGCGGGACATTTATTTCGAACGCGATGCTTCGAAATTAACAATAAATGGATGCAATTATTCACGCTTCGTATAGTAGCAATTATTTTCGACAGAGAGGGAGAGAGAGAGAGAGAGAGAAAAAAAAAGAAGAGATAATGAAGAAAAACACTTACCAGTGGTCGAGCTGTATTCGCCAATAAATCGCCTCGTCAAGTATCGCACTACCACGGCTGCAACAAAGAGAGAGAGAGCAAAAAATTGATTAGTTTTCAGAACCACGATCACGCGAATAATCGCGGTGGGTTATTCCCCGATATAATACGTATCATAATTACAAGCAATAACATAAAAAAGCGCATTTATATTTCTCACTCGCGGCCGAAGGAAAAAAAAAGCAACAACGACGCACCCCCTCTGCGTGCGGTCATTGAAAGACGCGCTATTAGGCTCCACTCCGACATCCGTTAATAAAGAAACTATAAATAACGGAACGGGTTCTCTTGCGGTTTGCCGATAAATTTCTTGCTTCATAAATTCCGTTTCGTTGCACCGCGAAACGCGCGGCCTAGGATTCAACATGTCGACGACGTTGCTCGCATCGTCGTCGTTGTCGTCGTCGTCGTCGTCGTCGTCGTTGTCGTTCGATTCTCGCAAGACTTATTGAATACATAGATTCGTGCCGCTCCATACTCGTAGATACACCGTTTATAAATCTGTCGTCGAGTTTAGTCCGACGACGACGACGACGACGACGACAACGACGATGAAGAGGAACGAAGAGAAGGGAGAAATATCGCGAAGAACGGAAGAAAGAGAGGAGAGCGCTGAAGACACGAGCGCAGAAACGGAATATAGAACTTTATTCGTGAGCTATTTGCTGAGATGAGAGATAGAGAGAGCGCACATCTCTCTTCCTCTCCTCGAAATATTACAGCTCCGCGCAGCTGGTACGACGATATTTCAGCCGCTTCGACAACGCGCGCGCCACAAGTTCGACGAACCGACAATTCAGTCTCTTTATGGAAATTTTTTACTTCGTTAAAAAACTCGCACGAACAAATTTTCGCGCGTCATTCGCAAAACTTTGTTCGCGAAAAATCTCTGCTCCGCGATGTGCAATCTCGAGGTCCAATTTGTTCGGGTAATCCGCGCCAAAAGGAAACCTGCGGAATGTTAGCAACGTGCCAAACGACCCACATAATGCAGTGAGAGAGATATTCACTCTCCCTCCGAAGACGACTGTCATCGGAGAACCGGAGGAGACGTTACGCGCGCGTAATCTTATATACACGGCCGGGCGAACCGGAGTAAATAATTGATGTGAACGCGAGAATCTTGTTCGGGCAATATGCGCGATCGTCGGTCCCCAACATCCCGAGGAGGGACCGATCTGTGCCAAACGCGAGCCTAAATGAAAACACGCGCCTCTCGTCGAAATCCAAACGCGACGAGAAACCCGACACTCCGACGTGCCAGATACCACGTGTTTATAAAGTTTCTTATCTCTACGCGCGGGGGTTTACAAGCAAAAGTGTGTGTGTGTTTATACGGTGTGACATCTTTGTATTTATGAAAGATAAAAATAATGCGCGAGAAGGGCGAGAGAGAGACGACGTTGCGCGACGAAATTCACGAAGAACATTCGGGATATAAAAATCAAGTGGAATAAAAAGAAATAAAGAAATATAAAGAAAGGATAAATTACAATGCGCGAGGGAGAGGGAGGGAGAGAGAAAGAGAAAGAGAAGAGAGAGATGGCTCGCGATTGATTGCGCGAGTGGCCGCGCGCAAAACGAGGAACAAAGAGCAACTGTGCGTACAGGAGAGAAGAGAACGAGACGGAGGTAGAGGAGAACAAAGAAGAAGAAGAATAAGAGGAGAGAAGCCGATTAAGTCACCTGCGGAGAATTGTGTGTAATGTGGAAGATGCGGCGTTACGAGCAAAACCAGCCATTCGCGGTGCCATTCGCCGACGTGCGATGGTTGCCAGCGCGGGGTTCTATAGATAGATCGTTGGAGGATAAGCCGCTTGGTGGACGTAAGAAAATAGTAATTACGATCGCCGTGGATAAAAGCGAGGAAAGAAAGAAAGAGAGAGAAAGAGAGATAGGACGGATTACAAGAAAAAAAAAAAAAAAAGAAAAAAATCGAACGACCAACCAAGCGCATCCTCTTGTCTCGCGCGTTGAAATTTCCTTTCTGCCCCGAAGACCCTTCGCGAGATCCTTTATTGGAACAAATTTCACTCACCCATATCTCGCTGGCGCGTTCAAACCGTGCCAGCTCGGCTATAAATGGATCAATTAACTTAGCTTTTGTACGGAGGAGCGTCTGATTATCGTGCATTTAATCTCGTTTTGGTTTTTTAGTCGTCACAATTATCTCGAGCGCAAAATTAATAATTAACGTAACAAAATGAGTGCAAAAACAACAACAATTTTTTCCATCATTGAAAAATTCACCGAAGCCTGCGAATTGTGCAAAACGTAAAAAGTTTTACACGCTCGGATCGCACAAACCGTTTTTAAAAGAAATCGCATGAGAAAGGGGGGGACTGCTGTAAAATTCTCGGATCGATCGTCGCGGAGAACAAAAAAAAAACAAAAAAACTTCGACAAAGTGCCACTTCCACAAGTGCTACTGTGTTGCTCTTTTTTTTTCTCCTTGTCTTGTACGGCCTTTCTTGCGATACGGCAATAAAGCAAGTCGTTTAGATCAAACGAATTTATGAACACATCTCGGCTCGGTAGTGAACTTCCAATTGCCTCCTCAATAAGAGTTAACACAGATAAATGGTTGCAGATAATAATCTCGCGTGTCTCTCTCGCCAGACTGTAATCATTTTTACGATTCTCCGCGCTTGTCTGGAGGTGGGGTTTCGCGAAATCGACACTTCATACTGACGAAGTCATTCGGGGCTCGAGAGTTCATTTCCAGTCAGCTGTTTTCTGCCGCTCACCGCGCGCGCACCACAGAAACGGGGGAGGTAACGGCGGACCTAACGAAGGGAGAGAGAGAAATGTTTACCGCGTAAACTCGGAATTCAGAGACCGGACACTCATGCGGCGGAGGTAACAGGACGGATGTATCGGATGTCCAGATCTCTCAACCTGCCGCCGCCGCCGCCGCCGCCGCAACCGTGCGGGATTTTTCGTGGCACCGGGCGACCGCCTCCCGCACAGGAGGGTGATATCCGATAACATCCACGGAGGTCCTTATTATACTCAGCGGGATCCCCATACGAAGGACTTTTAAGGATTCCCTCCTGTCGCGATATCCTCTCTTGCCATCGGCGCGCCGCGTGAGAATGCGCCGTTTTTGTCGCAAAAAAAAAAAAAAAAAAAANNNGAACGAACGACACAACGCGCTGCGTGTTCCGACGCAATCACGTTCACATGACAATGCAAGATATTGTGCGCGTACGTACACAGCAAATTGCGATTAAGCGCACAGACACAATTTTGTTTCTCTTACTCTCCCGGAGATGATTATGTATACAAAAATAAAACACACAAGTATACAAACAAGCACATCTTTTCGAACATCTGAAATTCTCTTGTTCGAGAAAGAATTTGAAAAATTTCGAAGATCTCGCAGCCACAGAATTTCAGAATCTGTGAACACCCAACATTGTGTTTAGACACCCAACGGCAAGTTATATATAGAGAGAGTACATAAATATACACAAGAGGCGATCCAGCCGCTCAAGAATGCAACAAATCAAGAATACGAAACTTCGAGAACGGCCGTCTCAATGATGTAACACGGACGCGCGAAATTGGGAAGAGAGGGAGAAAAAACAAGAGAATATTTAGATAAAAATAAAAGTAAAACGGAGAGTGTGTGCGCGCTTTATTAAGGTGGCGGGGTCCTAGCGGCTATTAATAGGATTTATTCGAGGTCGGCGAACCGCCTTATCGCCGTTCGTTTGCTCGCTTTGTATGCGTCGCGCGACTGTCGAGTTAACTAATGCAAGGTATTATTCCGCGGACTATGCGTATCCATCTTAACGGCACTTTCATTCAATGCGTTGCGTCGGTGCGCTATTAGACAACGCGCAGAAATTACACGCTGTACGGCGACGCGATATTAGTATCGTCCGCCATAATGAACGTCCTTCCGACGTGATTCAATATTTCACACCGTTGCGCCATAATCGACCTGCGTCTTTTTTTTCTCCCTCACCCCGCGCGCCAGGCATTATGCATTATCCGCTCGCGCCGGCGAGCGCGCGAATTAATATCAGTTTCGACGCAACATTCGTGAAAACACGCGCTCCGAAGTTCCGCCGCTTTGCGCGGAAATCAATATTATAAATTCTCGAGAGGGACACGAACTCTCGTTCCGCGCGCCTACCTCGTTTCGCCGCAGAGAGTTGAATTCTGCGCATGAACAAGGAGATTTTCTTTTTTTTATTTTATTTATATTTCTTCAATTTCAATAATTCCCTTAAATCGGCGTAATTAACGTTAATTAGAAATGTAAAAGTTTTTCATGAAAATTTTGGAGGAGGTGCGCGCGTTAGAATAGAATCGCACTACTGTAAACACGTAGATAAGAAAATAATTTTCTTACAAAAAGAGCTCGAGAAGTAAATTTATATGAAAAACAACACCGCGTGCGAGATAAATGAATAAGAAGTTAAGAAGTTTCACCTGTCTTGCCGACTTGGGGGCCGCCGAGGACGACCACCCTGATCCTGTTTACGTTTGTCATCAGGTGCGTGGGTTAAGTATCATTCGAGTTGGCATCACACATCGCCTCCCGGCGGATGCACCAATTACATCACTTTGCACTTTACCGCCAGTACTCCTCAGGTCCGGATCCTCTCGTCGGGACACTGACCCACTCGCGCGCGCGATGAAGGGACGATGTCCTTTTCTCGAGCACACGCGCCGGCTACAATTGCGACACACTTACGGCGTAATTACCGCAACGATCGATCAAAGCGCGATTCCACCTTTCACGGCGCAATTACGAATTATTAGTCACTAATTAATTTTCGGTATGCCCCATTAAATCTCGTCCTTAATAACGAGTACAATATTTGACCGCGTTTCTCGTCTTCTTCTCGCTCATCCGCGACGAGTTTGATTGTCGCGCCGATCAATTATCGGACGCGTTGGGATTACGTTCTCGGTGAAAATTTTCAGAGGAATACGTACCGATGAAGGTAAAGAAAAGTTGCAGAAAAACGAATTATCGGTAGAAGTTCGGCCGTGACATCAACATGAAGATGTTTCACGCCATTCTCATTCTCGTGCTCTTCGTTTCTCCCTTCGATGAGCAGATGTTTAATTTACGATTATCAATTAATCGAAATTTATACCGGTTAGAGATACGAAGAAGCTATAAATAGTGCGCGGCGTTGATCGCGGAGAAGCTTCTTCGTTAATTCCCGGCGACTTCGAAGAAATCGCGATGGCGATGAATAGACAGCCTCGCTGCTCGCGTCGTTTTCTCTCTACCTGGCGAACGAACGTAATCGCGATTACGAGTTTGCTCAGCACGTTCGAGCGATTCCTCCACGCGCGAGGATCCTTAATGACGCGATAAAGCGCACGTTGAGGCAACACCAGTTGTCCCTTTTCAGCGGCGATGCACGACACGTCTCGATCTCTTACGAAACTTCTGGTCCGTGAATCACTTTGAAATTCGCGCTCCGCTCCGATTTGATATCGCCGTGATCGAATTCCTTTTTCCGATGCGGCCGGTTGGCTGGCTGGCTGGCTGGCTGAGCAATCGCCGCGTCCTTCGCTCTAAAAGATCGCAACCTGTCTCGCCTCAAAGGTGAGACTATTTATTAGCGGTGGAACGACCGTCGCTATCTTATCGCGATTTCCCGGTATTTCGTAGGTGACGAATCCCGAACGTGACGCAGAGTTTCATTCGCGTCTCTCTCTCTCTCTTTCTTCTCGTCTCTTCTCCTTTCTTAGCCGCGAGATTCTCGAAGAAATTTCTCTTTTGTTCCGAAGAGAAGATCTTCCTCACCTGTTATCCGACCATGTTCAAGAGTCGCACCTACCGACAAATTAGTCCGTCCGTCTCTGCTCGTCTCCGCCGAGTGTTCTTCTCAAACGAACTAATGGAGCCTCTCGTTTACGTGTATTTTCATTCAACAAGTGGAGAAGCGCAGCTGTTTCAGGAGATTTCAGTCGTGCGATTCACAACTGATGTCAACTCCGCTCTTCGGGGACGAGCGTCAATATTCCGTCGCTTCGCACAACTAATTAACTGGTCCCGGCGGTTTCTCTTTATTGCACAAGAGGAGCTCTCGAGTGTTCACTTCCTCTTCGGTTTCGTTCGGAATTCTCGTCGTCGGTCTCGTCTTCTTTTCTTCTTTTCTTCTTCTTCTTCTTCTTCTTCTTCTGCTTCTTCTTCTTCTTCGTGCCGGTTCTTTCTCTTCTTCCCTCTCCGGACGTCGAACTTCGCTCGCGATTCGGGAATTCGGGAGCTGGTTCCCCTTGTTCGCACCTCGTCAGCGGCAAAGGGTGGCGGCTCTCTCGGGGCAACCTCGCAGGTTCGCTCGTTCGTGTCCCGTTGCGTTGTGCTGCGAATAACAACGCAAAGCGGCGATTCGAGAAATGCTGTCTCTCTGGTTCCATTTATAACGGGTCGTCGGCCTTCCATCGCGTCTTCTAGCTTGGCGCCGCCGACACGTCGGCGATTACGAAAAAAAAACGACAGGCACGCACGCACGCACGCACGGACATGCGCACATACACACGCACGCACGTGCGTGCGTTTCTCGCTCGTTTGTTCGCGCGCGCAGAAACGATGGCAGACGACGATTGCGAGAAAAGTAGGATGCGTTCATCCCCCGCGGCGACGTGCAACGCTTTTGTTTTAATGCGCGCGGACGTTTTTCTGAATGCGGTACGAGATAATTTTAACGTTTCAAAACGACGGCGCGTGAAAAGTTTAATCGCGAGAAAAGGATTAAATCGCATCTCTCTCGGAGCAAACACGATGGTTCTCCGGTTTGCGTTTCTTTTTTGCAAATGTTACTGACTAAATAAAACAGTGTTTCAAAAACAAAACAAAAAACTACTGCAACAAAATAAAATTTTTCTTTGAGAAATCTATTTCTTGATACTTTTTCAATTATGATTATTTGATTACATTGATACGAACGTTTTGCATGTCTCTCTCTCTTTCTTGTATTATTAATAATTTAATAATTGATTATAATTAGAAGAGAGTCCCGCGGAGTATAATTAATATGTGACAAATGAGCAAATAACGTAACGGGAAAATAATTGAGAGAAAAAGGGAAGGAAAAGGGAAGAAGCAATTAACGTAGCGGCAAAATAATCGACTTAATGAAGAAACAATTAACATAGCGAAAGAAGTAATAGATATAACGGAGCGGATGACAATCGTACTAACGGGAGAATGTTAATTAATACGCAGTGCGATAAGAGGAAAATCCTCCAAGTTGTTTCTCGCGTGAAAATTGCGAAGTCGTTTCTGTTTTTGCCTCTCTCTCTCTCTCTCACGCTTTTGTTGCGCTTTAAAGTGATGTTCTGATTAGATAACGCGTGTCGCGTATCACATATTAAACTTCATTATCTTGCAGAACAAATCGCGACGATGTTATTCGTACGAGATTCTTGTTTCGCAGTCTTATCGCGAAACTCGTCTCAGTGTTGACCAACAAAAGAGCGATCGTAAAGTGCGACACGTGCTAAATTGAATTAAATACAAATTGAATAATTCCGCAGCGAGAGAGAGAGAGAGAGAGAGAGAAAGAAATCGTAATCTCGATAATACATCCGCGCAATCGAAGCACAATCATGCGAGTTTTGATTAATTAATCTCGTATTGGAAAGTATAATGTGAGAAATGAACTTCGATAGAGAGGCAAACGTGAGACACGCAAAACGTGACGCAGCAAACTTGAGAGATGCTCAGAGAAAGAAAAAGCGCGATTCACACCGAAATACTTGATTACACATGATTGCGAACACGTACGAACAACATGTTTAATATCCGACGTGTTTGTTTATTGCGACATGCGATTGTTTACCATCCGCAAAAACACCTCGGTGTTTTCCACCGAGCATTTTTGTTCGGCAACAAAAACGCGATATTAATCGATCAATGATTTTCTTCGGGCGCGACAAAAGTGCTTATTTTTATCGAGGGCGATATCTTTGAGAGCAAAAACATGTGTGTAATGTCGCTTAATTAATTCGTTAATTAAACACATATCAAACGGTAGATCGAGCGCGATCGATTTCGAAGGCAATCTATTTTCGGAATTCCGTTCGTTATTTCGCTCGCAAAATTTCGGCGTGTGACGATTTCTGTTACGCAAGTGACGTAAATCAATTCACATTAACGCGATAGATTGAAGAACGCATCGTAACCGGAGACGGTGAGACGCGTATCCGTTTTCGCACGCAGTGCTAGTTCACTGCGCGTGCAAATACTAGACGATGCGCACATGTGCACCGGTTTGTGTTTGTTCAACGAAATCGAGTTTCTCCGACGCATTATAATCGCGAGGCGGTTGTCGCGCGGGAGCACACACCGAAAGATTACATCAAGTCAACTCGGATTCCATCGTCTATCGGTGTATGACGGTTCCGATTAACGCTACGATCTGAAAAATAAAAAGACGATTGAAGCGCGCGCGCCCGCGCGCGCGTATGATGGGAATTAATCAACACGTCGAAAAGAAAAATCGAATATCCTCAATATGTACGCATGCGATTTCAATTAGCACGTCCGAGAAGGTTTTTGCGCAAATTGATTTTGTTCATTAATAATTTTGTTAATTAACAGCAATTGCGGGATTACATTATCGTTCGCGCCGATCGATCGGAAGGCCGACACAACAATCTCGCGGATATCTCAAATATTAATCCATTTCTCTCGTCAAGCATTCCACCAAGACACTTCAGAAAAAATCGCACATAGCGCGCGCGCGCAGTAGATTTCAATTAACTTCTTGCGCGCGTGCACATAAAAGGGAATTAACTTTTATTATACGCGTCGTCCTCGTAAAAGATCGATTGATGATCCCTTCGATTCCCGAAGACGACTCCGAAGTCTCTTGGCGGCCGCTTCCGAGCGAAGAATAATTACCTGGTTGCTCTTCTCAACGCTTACACACGCACGATTTAACACACGTGCAGCAAATCGGAATCTCTCTCTCTGGCGGTCATATAAATTCTTGGCGAACAAAACTCTCCCGTTTTACTCTCCGAAGTTTTTTATATCGCGATCTCGTCGAGAATCCAGAATCGGTTATGGTGAAAACACGTGTCATGTAAAACGTTTGCAAGTTCTTTGCAAGCAGCTGAGTGCGCACTGTGCCCAATATACAAATTCAATATTACAATTCCAAGAATCATCACATCTCTCGGTGCAGACTCGGTAGTGGTCCACTTGCGTCGATCGGCGATTCGCACTCGGGACAAATGTTTCGACGACGACGATATCGCAATTTCGAGAACGAAATGAGCAGCACACACATTACGTGGCAGCGAAGAATTTCCGAAATTTACTCGTCAATAAAAACAAAAAAAAAACTTTACGTTTACAAAATCGGTCGTCGTTATTTGTTCGCGCGTCTCGGAGATATGTGAATCTGACGGATGCGCGGAATGAGAACGAAACGGGTCGCGCGCACAAGAGAGAGTGAGATTATGCTCGGGCCTCTTCGAACACAACGCTCTCCGCTCTGAGCGAACGCTCGCCGGCGAATGCGCGGTGCTCGCGGCCGCCTCGTCTAATATGCACTTGGCTCCGCTCGCTCACCGGGACCGCCGGCGCGACCCGACGACGACGGCGACGACGAAGACGAAGACGAAGACGAAGACGACGGCGACTGTGCGCCCGCTTCGTCCGCCGCGCACTGCTGCGCGTTGTGTTACGACGAGCTACAAGCCGACCGTCGTGTTAACAGGTAAACGTGCGCGCGGTGCACGAAGCGCGTGTCTGCCAGAAGAGGAGGCCTGCGTGCGGACGGAAAAAGGAGACGCCACTCTCGCGCGCACGGACGGAGCAACGATGTTACGCCGCGAGAGAAGCGCCGCCGACGAAGGTGGAAACGCGAATTTATCTTCGTTCTTTCTTTCCTTCCTTCCTCCCTTCCCTCCCTTTCCTCAGCGGAACGTATCGCGCGGTCGAAGTGAAATTATAAACGATATGAACGTTTTTTTTTACTACAGCGTGACAAGTACGCAACTGGATGATATCTTGCGTTTTTTTTTTTAATTTATTTTCTTTTCGTAAAGAATAATTACAAAATGTGTTTCTTGGTAAAAAAAAAAAAAAAAAATTGAAATAAATTTGCAAGTTTTTAATTCGAGCGTTTTGTTTGTTTGTTTTCGATAAAATTTTGTACAGCAGACACACAAAGTTGTACCTGATACATTGGCAATCGGATACGTACGTAGTCTATCGATCGTCACGGAAATCAACAACTCCGCGTATCCGTGGCAACCTGACGAATCAGAGATCGACAGAGACAACTGTCGAGTTGCAGTAATTGAACGTGATTGGCATGCTCTCTTCGCGAGATCCAACGAATCCGGTTCGATTGCTACTCAAGCCGCTGTTCAGGCCGTTGTCTCCGCCGACGAACGCAGACGAACGAACAGCGACGACGGTAACCTGCAGCGCACGGTGGTAATCTTCGGATCGCTCCCGCATTCGTTATCATGGGCAACGAGAAGGTAGATATAATTAGCATCGCTAAGAAACCCGAGAGGAAAACTTTGCTGCAGAAGTACGACATACCGATCGACCATCTCTCGTACGAATTCATATCGCAGTGCACCGATGGGAGAAAACTGGAGCAAATCGTTCTCATTTTGCGGTGAGTTTTCTTTTTTTTTTTTTTTAATGTCCGAGTCCGGAGTCTTCGAAAAACGAATCGGATGTTAATTGCTCTGAGCGTCGCTTGTATTTTATTATTTTGAACACTTTTTTAATTTTTTTTTTAACTTTTGCCACACAAGCAAATTTGACTTCTGAGAAACTTCTTCCAAAATAATTAATTTCGCCGCTTTCGAGGCGTTTCCTAATTTCGCGCGTCTCTCCGGAAATAGAGGGTGAAAGGTATACGGAGGAGAGGTTTTACGATAATTACATTGCGCAATTATTGTAGATAGATTTAAAAGAATTTCGCACTAATCGTCGGGAGCGAGCTTGCCGCAAATCTTAAAACGCTCGTTAAACCCGTTACTTCGCGACACGTATTTATTAACGATTCGTCATAAACGTCTCCACATGTGGTTTAATACCAGTTCTGGCGAAGAAGGGATATATCCAGATTTGACGAAGCATGCGGAGAAACGTCTTGCCGAGATTAAACCGACAAGCGCGGTTTTGCACACGGTCGAGCCAGTTTTGAAACGAAATATGTTAGACACGGATGAGCGACAGGAAATCGACGAGGACATCGGCAACTGGACGCGCGACATGCGATCTCGCGAGAAAGATTTGGACGAGGGAAAAGCCACTCTCATCAGCGATCCTAGCTCGCAGCCGGAAATTCGAAAACCGAATCTCGTAAAAAAAGTACGTCAAAGTGCAACAATCGAGCTACCTATGTTAAGAAAATTTGTTTCTATTTTAAAAACGAATTTTTATATTTTTTTATATTGCCATAACATGTGTCCTAAATATAAATACTTTATTTATTAATTAATCAGTTCTCTAACTGTGCCAATGATATCACAAAAAAAAATTGATCGAGAGTGATGCGCGCGGATAATTTAATTATAGTAAAATGTGTGCAAAACTGAAAGTAAATTACGTAAACTCGTTCATAAGTCATACGCGTTGTACATTTTTTCTTTTTTATTTTTTATTTTTTTAAGGATAAAAAGACGACGGTGAATGAGAAAAAGCGCGATAAGCCGAAACGAATAGCCTCGTGCGACTACGCGGCTTGGGATAAATACGACGTCGACACGGAAATAAACAGGATAGACCTGCGGAACGAGCAGCGGCAGACCGAAATAAAGAGGATCCAGGAATTGCGAAAGGAGCAGGATGAGAGGAACAAGACGACGGCGCGCAAAACGACGGTCGATAAACGTAAGTTCGCCGAGTGAATCTCTCTTTCTGTGTGCGTACTCAATCACGCGGACTCTCTCAACTCTGCGCGTTGAGAGACAAAATTCCGCGCCGAATTTCCAATTTGACTTTTTTTTTTTCACATTCGCCGTGCACACACACACACACACACACACGTGTAGTTTCGTTAACCGGTACGGAGGTAAACGTGATGGCGGAGCGAGAGAGAGAAAAGGGAAACGAGGCCTTTAGAGCGGCCGATTACGAGGAAGCCCTTCGGCATTACGACGCCAGTATCGAGATGGATTCGAATCTAAACGCTCGCAACAATCGCGCCATGACGTGTGAGTATGTACATGAGATTTTAACGCCCCTCTGGTTAAATTAATCGCACGATTGCGACAACAACAAATGTACGTCGCGTTGCAGTCATAAAGCTGCGGCGTTACGAGGACGCGCTCAATGATTGCAACACGGTAATTAGTAGGGATTACAAAAATGTCAAAGCGCTCCTTCGCCGAGCGGTATCTCTGGAGCATCTCGAGAGGACGCACGAGGTATATACACTCGCGTATATACAAACAAATAAAAATGTTTCGATAATATATGTTAATGTTACAAAAGACATATAAATAAAAATACAATCAATACATACGAAAGAACAAAAATAATGAGCGCGGGCGTGAGTATATAAAATGCGCGACGTGTACGATTTTTCTACAGGCTCTGGCCGATTACGAGGCTGTTTTGATACTGGAACCGACTAACAAAACGGCGATATCCGGCGCGAACAGGCTGAGAAAACCGTGCGAACGAAAGATAAGGTGAGAATTTCGAATCCAATTCTCTTTGAAATAAGTTCGTTTGGCAAACTCGCGATTGCACGTATGGATAATAAAGAGAATAATATATATATACACATACACACACACACATAATATGTATGTTTATATTTCTTTTAGAATAAAACAAATTTCAATTATTTTTTTGCGGTCGTTAAAATTCCGTTTATAACTCCGCGCGCAGGATGAAGATCGCCGAGGAAAACATCATCGATGGCGAAGACAAGGCCGAGCAAATAAAGTCGGAGACAACCGCGGAAACGAACAACGCCGCGTGTTCGAGGCAGCGTGTTAACAGCAATATATGTTATTGCGACAGAGCGCCGGGCTCGTCGCGAAGTATTGCAACGAAACCGCACTTAAAAGCGAGTTACTGCGTGGAAGCTGAAAGCAACAAAGCAACAGCGGCAGCGGATGCCGTGGCAAATAAAAGCAAGAAGAGACCAACGCGCGACTCTTCGAGCGGTGGTAATAAATTATCACCTGTTGCAAAGGATTTCGGCGACGGTTATAAAACGACGAAGCGAGACGCCGGCAGCGGCGACGATGTTTTCGCGACTTCTCGCGAGTCACTTCCCAAATCGCGCGGCGCACAAGGCGCGAGTTTAGAAAAGTCTATTTTTTCGTGCGTATTCGCACCTCGCAAAGCAAAATCTTCCACGGTCGTCATCGAGGAGCTTCCTCCGTGCGACGATCACCAGCCGACGACCGACAATAACGTCCGAGCAACGAACAAGAGCGAAAAACCGAAGAAACTCGACGATTCGAGAGCGGAAGCGAGACCGGAAATAAAAAGAGAGACGACGATGAAGTCGAATGTGGATATTAAAAATGAGAAATCAATTTCTTCCGATAAGAAGGCGAATTTAAGGGCGAAAAAGAAACTTGACCCAATCAAAGATTGTCAAAGGAAAAACAAAACTTTAGAGACGGATATTCAGGTGTGCGATATATACATGTGCTCTCTCTCTCAAAGTATACAGTTGGAAAAAGGAACGAGACACATACGCTTGTATTTCGTATAATTCTTTTTTTTTTTTTTTTAGAACCTGCAAAGTATCGAGTCCCCTTACGAATTTCTGCGTTTGTGGCAGTCTCTGAAAGACGATACGGACTTGAAGTTGCACGCGAAACTTCTGCGATGTGTGGCGCACGGAGATATGAATACAAGTATAATAACACACATACACGCACACAATAATACAATAGAACTTATTCGACATAATGATTCTTAAAATAAATTTCTACTTGCAGTTATAGGTAATAAATTGGACGGGACGATGTTCAGTCTGATCCTGCGTTGCCTGGAGCAACAATTCTGCACGTCAAAAGACAGAGAGTTGCTTATGGATTTACTGTTATCTTTGAGTCGAGTTAGTCGATTTTCCATCGTCAGGATGTTTATGGATTCCGCGGATAAAAAAGGTAACGCAAGAATTTATAAGAACGTTAACAACATTGCGCCGATAAAATTTTAACGAAGATTCAAAATTATTTGTAATTACATTATTTAATCACCTCGCGAACAATTTGATAGCTTCACTTTGCACATAGAATTTATAATTAATCTATATCCGTAGTTCAAAATTTGAACCCTATTATTTATTACTTTATTTATCTATCCGTAGCTGTTTAATATTTTATATGTCATGTTAATATATATATTATATTTAATAAATAAATAAATTTATGTTGCAGCTGTGGAAAATATATTACGTTTTCTGAACCAATCAAGCATACGTACGCCATATTTGTCTTACTTGAAAAAGTCGTTTGCAGTTTAACATTGATTTTATATATACAATATATATAAAGCAAAATTATCTTACATTCTAGATTTAATTAAAAATAATTGCTTCAATCATAAATATATCACACATATAGAAAAAAAAATATATACACATATACATTGTATTTTAAATTTTAAGACGATTAGAAATAAAGGAATTTACAGAATTTAAATATTAATTCCCGTTTTTTTCTCTCTCCTCCTTTCAATTCAATAAAACAAATATTTAATGCTCGAAACTATACAACATTACGCGTACAAACTTCATTGACGACGGAAAAAAAAAAAGAAACATTGGAGGAGCTGGGATTTGAACCCAGGACTTTCAGCATGCGAAGCAGACACTCTACCACTGAGTTACACCCCCTCTTATAAAACTTGCGCTCAAACAGGAAGACACAAATAACGTTCCGTATTTTTAAGAAATGTTTTACGATTACGCAAGAGTAAGAGTTACATAATTTAATTTACAACATAATAAATTTACGTAATAAAATGACGTGATTGCACCAACTATTGTGTTTTGTACATTACTTTCTAGCGCGTAATAACCGCAAAGCATTAAATGTGATATACATATATATGTGTATATATAACGTGGCAAGAGCGTCTCGCGGCAAAGTCGAATATAAAATCAAACGTTACCTGAAAATATTACCGGTTCGGACGCAAAGAGGAAGTAGCGAAGACAAGCAGAAAAGAACAAGGTAGAAAAAGATCTTTTAACCGCGAATCCCGCGTTCTCCCACCGATTCTGTCTTCGTTCCGCTTACGTTGAGCCATCCAATCGAATGAAGGAAGCAGAGCAATGCTACCAACACCGCGCTCCGAAAGTGATCTTGCGAACTCACCTTGAGCACCGCTTCCGACTGTGTCAACGTCGGCGATTGGTCGGGCTGCGCGCGTGCGCATCGTGATCAACGGCGACATCATCCGCGCCCCGCGGATGTGTATTATTGATGCGCTAACCTATGCGAGACTCGGAGCAACGCTCGGGAACGTCGTCGCAAGATTCGCACAATCCTGATCCGCTACGCGGGTAACGCTCGTTTTGTCGTCGAAGGTCGACAGCGGTGACAAACCGCGGCTGTTTCATCTTGGCGAGATCGTCGCTCCCAACGTGTTTCATCAGCGAGATCGTCTACCGCCGCGCGGTAATTCCCTGTGCGTAACGCGTTCTCCGCACGCACGTCGGTGTAGCTGTCTGTCGCAATCCGACCTCTGGGTTCCTTGGACTTCAACTCGAGCGTAAGTCATCGAAAACGATGTGTACAAACAAAAGATCTTCCGTTTTCGCGGAATTATCGAATTGAGTTTGCGAATCGATGCGACGCTAATGCGGTTTTGTATTATGCGCCAAATGATATCGGTCGAGATGCGATTGCTGGATTTAGATAAACAAACACTGATTCGCGTTCTTCTGTGTGATACCATCACACAAAACTGGATTAATATCGCTATTCTTATTGCTGTTAGGAGTGCGGAATCGGATTACAAGATTACAAGTAGGGAAAAGTATGCGTGATATTTAGAATATAATGAGGATTGTTTACAGGAAACCAATCAATGAGATTCATGGATGAGATACAGTTGCTAGATGATAGAGCGTGAAAAATTGGACTGTATCCAGTCCAAAGAAAAGTCTAAAACCTCGAAGAACAGAGCACAATAGTATCCACCACGGCTTTCACAGACATGGTTGGATTGGCGGGCGGGGGCGGTCATTTGTACCCCTCGCCCCCCATGCAGCCAAATCCAGAGTGTAAATATGTTTATATTTGTTCTATTGTTTGTGAATTATTTTGTATTTAGTATTCTTTGATTTCTCATTTGCCTTTGTGTATTATCTGATAATTTGTTACTTGTATTAATGAAAGAAATATTATATGGAGAGATTCTAATTTAGCTATTTAATAAGCTAAATTTTAATTAAGTTCAAAAAGTTTTAATTATTTCTTTTAATTTTTTTGATCTGTGTTTTATCTCATCATTATTCAGAAAAACACAAATTTTGTAATATTAGACTTATTTGAAAGAAGGATATTGGTATTTAGTTTTGTTATATAATTTATGTTTCATATTGCATTCGATTTCATAAACACAGTGAGAGAAATGACAGGGATAGCACCGAGCGCACCTACCAGTGCGGATGCCTGCTTGAGTATTGTGCATTCGTTGATGTGTCATCGCCAAGGTGGTGAAAGTGAAGGTTTCAGCAAACGCGCAATTGAATCCCTGGTGAAGAAACTCAAAGTAAATTCTTTTTGTATATTTCTACATTGTCAGTATTGATGTATACAAAATTTAAAGACACTTTTTTTTTAACTGTACTCAAAAAGTTGTATTTCCATATCTTTGTGATTTTCACGTATTTTGTAAATACATGGTGAAATGTTTGATGATGAACAGGAGAAGCGAGATGAGTTGGATAGCCTGATCACCGCGATAACCACTAACGGCGCGCATCCTAGCAAGTGTGTCACTATCCAGAGAACTCTAGATGGCAGACTGCAAGTTGCTGGACGCAAAGGATTTCCCCACGTAATATACGCTCGCATCTGGAGATGGCCAGATTTGCACAAGAACGAGCTGAAGCATGTGAAATACTGCCAGTTCGCTTTCGATTTGAAGTGCGATTCCGTATGCGTGAATCCGTATCACTACGAGCGAGTGGTATCGCCCGGCATAGGTATGTTGCAACGTACATTTGTCGCATTATTACATTTTTCGTTTTTCTCGTATTTGTATCTCGTGCATGCATATTTTACTTTTTACTTGTATTATACTTTGTGCATTCTTTTATATTTTGTTTTTTTTTTTTTTTTTTGTTAATATTGTCACATGTTACAAGAAGTTTGATTAAAAAAACATTTGTATGAAATATTTCAAAAAGTACCGACGATTGTAATTGTCCGATGAAAAAAAAAAAGAGGTAAAAGTAAACCTTGCATCCTGGGTCTAACGAGTACAGAATACGAAAGAGCATATCATTGATTGTGTGGTTTCTTGGTGTCTTGATGGAATCGGTTGGTTTCCCCCGCACAGACCCGTTCTTTACAGACCTGTCTGGATTGACTCTTCAATCTCCCGTGGGTGTGGGCGGCAGGCTGGTTAAGGATGAGTATACGGTCGGAGGCGGTGGTACCGCTGCCGCGGCAGCTGCGGCCGCGGTGGGATCGCCAATGGACGTGGACGGTGAGATGAATCAGACTATTCAGCACCATCCACCAGCTCAGCCACCTGCATCCAACAACGCTCAACAAACTCAGCAGGGTTTCATACCGGGTTTACCACCCCCTAATCCAAGTAAGTTTGTTGTTGTTTTTTTATTGTACTTCTTTTTCTATCTCTTTTTTCATATCTTTTCAAAATTTTGATCATTCGGCTTGAAACGGTGGAATTTATGTCTGGTTACTAGATGGCGGTATACACTTTGACAAATTACTGCAGTGTGTTAATTACTTGTGAATCACATATTTTCATCTAAATATGAAGATGTTAATGAATCATTAATTTTGCAAATTGCAATCGCAAAATTGGCATGTGATTTTTACATTCTAGAAAAAAAATTTGTAGATACTAACTGTGCTAAAACATATATGTGCTATTGACGTTCTACAATAATGATTGTCAATTCTGATTGTTAATGAGACGGCTGCTTTTGTTTATTGCTGTCTAAAGTAGATTAGGAAGCAAGATCTAGCTTTGCAAATTTCTAACTTTTGTTGCGTAATTTTGATTTTTGTTTTCGGCTTCATTATTTTCTTTTCCTTTTGACTGTTCGGCACAGCCAGTACTGAGGGTATGTTTAGCACCGGTGGGGGCGGGAATAATGGTAATCCTCACGCTAAACTGGATGACAATAATTGCCCCAGACAAACCTGGATACCTACGCCTCATCACTCGGCAGGTCGAAACATGCATCATCGTACGTATTTAATTGTGTACACGGCCTTATTTAAAAAGCTTTTGATTTATATGTCGCTGATTAGCCTTCGCTCGATGTCGCCAGAGTGTGCAGTTTTCGTAATTTTAGAACTCAAATCGGAATTTTCGAATTAAAATGTAACTCTATAGTAATAAAACAAAAAACAAAAAATAAAACTCCTAGTTTTTTTTTAATCAAATACAAATTTAGATTAAAAATAGATGAGGTTTTAAAGTTTGTTATTATATTATAAATTTGTTTTAACAAAAAAAAGGTCAGTGGAATAGTATTTTTGATAATGCTATGACATATCTTTGTGTAGAGATTGGAAAACACCGATTTGTGTATGAGCAGAAATTTCAGAATAGTTACAGTGACAGCGAGGGCTTCGTTTGTGCATTTTACTTATTTATGTTGCCTGCATCGTGTACGAATTTTGATTTTGCAGCAGTAGTACATCCAATGAGTCACACCGTAGGTAGCCAACAGCAATCACTCAACTCCGCGTCGAGCGGAACATCCGGCTCACAGATCCTGAGTCCGTCACAAGGTCAATCACCAGCCGAGACGTTTTACAACAGTGCCACATCTCCGCAAGATATCAGCCAACCCTCCACAGTCGATTCGTTAGCGGCCTCTCTAGGTACGTAATAAATTTACAACGCACATCAATTATATTTTATATAAATTTCACACAAAGATTCTAATTTTTTAACTTTTTTCTACACAGAATGGCTTTCGATGTTTTCTCAGTTGATATGTATTGTGGACATAAATTTTTTTCTTTTTTATATAAATAGGTGAAGGACAGAGTTCTCCTGTATCGCCTGTGCATTTACATCATCCAAACGGTTTCCCCGTGGGCACAGCGCCGTACAATTCCGGAGCGCCCCAATGGACTGGTGCCAATACTCTCACATATACTCAAAGTATGCAGCCGCCGGATCCACGTCACATGCACACAACAGCGTACTGTAAGTTAATTAAATTAAAAACAAAATTGTTGTTTATTATTTCAGCAAAAGTAATGTATCTTTCAAATTTGTGAATCTAATGTTTTAATGAAACAGGGGGTCATGGAAATGACGTCGGAAATATCGGATTGCTCTCCACACAGCCGGCACCAGAATATTGGTGTTCCGTCGGTTACTTCGAGTTGGACATTCAAGTTGGTGAGACGTTTAAGGTCAGCAGCGGATGTCCAACCGTCACCGTAGATGGCTATGTGGATCCGAGCGGTGGGAACAGATTCTGTTTAGGTGCCTTGAGCAACGTGCACAGAACAGAACAGAGCGAAAAAGCACGTCTCCATATAGGTAAAAAGTGTTTTCATATTTATATTCAGTCTTCGCTGTTTTATTTTTATATCTTTCATAATAAATTTCTCGAAGATCTCAGTGTAGTCAAGTATTTGGAAAATATTCCCATTGCACAATATTCTTGTATTTGAAATGTATGTATTTTTTAGGCAAAGGCGTTGTGCTAGACTTGAAGGGTGAAGGTGACGTTTGGTTGAGATGTCAGAGTGAACACAGTGTCTTTGTACAATCGTATTACTTAGACAGAGAGGCGGGCCGAGCACCTGGTGACGCAGTACACAAAATCTATCCTTCAGCATACATTAAAGTTTTTGATTTGAGACAGTGTCATAAGCAAATGCGAGGCCAAGCAGCGACCGCTCAAGCCGCCGCAGCGGCTCAAGCTGCGGCTGTTGCCGGTCATTTAACGCACGGAGCTCCTATCACTAAAAGTAAGTCACTGATCGAAGACTCGAAAATCATTTGTTAATGATGTGTGTACTTTGAATAAAAGTATCTGTATTTTTAAACATAAATAACGATTTTTATACAACAAAGGTCTTAGTGCGGCTGCAGGAATTGGAGTTGATGATTTAAGAAGGCTTTGTATTCTGCGTTTGAGTTTTGTGAAAGGGTGGGGTCCGGACTATCCACGACAAAGCATAAAAGAGACACCATGCTGGATTGAAGTAAGTTTTGTAGTGTTTATGTATAGTTTGTCGATTTTTTTCTCCAATTTTTTCTAATTTATTCTTAAATTATCTTAATATATATACTCTTAATTATATATTTACTGTTTAGGTGCATTTACACAGAGCGCTTCAATTGCTGGACGAGGTATTGCACACAATGCCCATTGACGGGCCACGAGCAATCGAATAATTCCGTCGATTGATCTTGAACTATAAGAAACTTGAATAAAGAATATCACGGCATCGTCATTGAAATCCAGTGAATACGTGTAACGTGCATGTTTCGAGTAATTTCGGTTTGAAAATGCGAGTAGATAAACGAAGAGAGAGAGAGATAGATGGATAAGTTCATTGAACGAAAATAGATTGAGACGCAAAATTTATCCATAGAGACAGAGAGCTTGGATAAAGAGAACTTACGAAAAATTATTCATATATTTAACGACTGGTGATATAATAACCTGTGTAGGACAGGGGTTCTCGAACTTTTCAATACTCACATTTATGCATGCAATATGAGATTTCTATCTGTTTTGAATTGGTATATATATGTATTTTTTTTTCTTGCAGAATGTATGACGTAATTGTAACTACTGTATTTTTTATTGACCATTAACTTTTATTAAACAGAGTCGAACGTAAGAAGAAAAGATCTGAGCTGACTAATTGTTTACGTAGAAGTGTGAATTTCCCGAAGTAGTAAACAATTAAACAAATTTCGAAATTATTGTATTCTTAGTTTTATTTGTTTTTCTACACCATTCGGTTTGAGAACCCCTGCTGTAGGATAAACCATGTGCCACGGCCTTGCACTACCATCAACGTACAAAAGTGAAAGAAACATTATTTTTATTTACGAAATGTAATTTTTTATGGAAAGAGGGCGAGATGACGCATCTCTCTGACCGACGAAGAAACAGAAGAAAATAGAACAACGGTCTTCTATATTTTGCTAGGCGCGCGATCGAGAGGATTTCCTCAGCGATGCGCAGTCTGCTAAGCTCAGTGATACCCAGTTTCGAAACCGTAACATAGTCATAACCCTGTTCTCTTTGAGATTAGCTTTGTAAGATAAAACTGTTTACATTTATTACTTATTGCGAATGTTAAGCTCAACATTTGTATCGGATGTAGTAAGATCTTACATTTCTAGATTCCCGAGGTACGCAGATGCGTGAAACCAGAGAGAAGACTGAGAGCGGCCATCCTATTGTAGTTTTTTAGCCGCTGGTTTTAGCGCCATATCTACAAAAGTGGATCCACTTTCGTGAATAGGGTGCTAAAACCAGCGGCTAAAACCGTCATAAGAAACTACAATAGGATGGTCGCTCTCAGTCTTCTCTCTGATGAAACATACAGCGCGTTTTGTCTGCCTTAAGATATAGGGCGAGAGTAGGAAGAATGTATAAATTCTACGACTCAGTGACTGCGATTGAAGAGAACAAAAATACAAAGCGATTTCGAAAAAAAAAAGAGAGATTTCGCTGAAACTCGAAACGTGAGATATAATTTAGCGAGAATCTAGAAATTTAGAGATCTTAGATTCCAGGAATCTTACAGTTTGAGAGTTTAGAGAATGCGAGAATCCTAAAATATAAGAATTATCTTTATATATACGCTCGTGTAATACAGTAGGGTGATTTTCTTTACACAGTAATACATTTCTGCCAAGAGTAGCGAAATATAGATAATTTGTAAGGGAATCACACAAGTCATAATAATCCTTCACGTAATGATAAAACATTTTTGTATTTAAATTCCGACAGACAAGATTGTGAGGTTTTTTATTGATTGATTTATGAAACGATCACACTTGAATGTATCGTACATATATTTATCGCAGTTTGTAGATATAGTTTATATAGCAATTACGTTGGCAGAAATTTGGTACAGTGATGTTACAATTATTTGTTTATTGTGAATGGGTAATTTGTTTATATATTGTCTGTTTTACAGTTTATCACCAAAAACTATTTTATATACAGTGAGATCGTGAAAGTTCTCTACTGAACATTCTTGTTCTTCTTTCTTCTTCGTTTTATCAAATAAAATCTTTTAATTTCTTAGTTATTATTGATTATTATTATTATTATTATATTATTATATATTATCATTATTGCAGTGATTGGAGGAGATAAAATATAAATATATTATTATTCGATCTCTATTTGAAAAAACAAACGTGTGTACATCTAGTAATGTATTTTATTAACAAATGCTTGCGCACACATATACTTAAAAGCTTTTCAAAACTTGTTTTTTAGAATAATCAAATTTAAAACGTAAAATTTTAGTTTTGAAATAAAAGAAAAAAATGTTGAAAAATCCAAGAAAGTGAATTGAAAATTTGATTTAATTCAACACACACACACAAACAATATAAAGAGTGCACGTCTCCTTCAATCAACCGCTAGATGTTATTACTATTATAACATAGTACACTTGTTGAATAATTATACCTACTGTTTATCAGCTATTTTATTACAATATAATCGTACAAAATACTCTTACATATATACATTTGATAATATAATACAAAGAGTGATTATATATATATATATATATTAGAGAATGTGAGGGAGAAAGAGAGAGTGAGAGAGAGAGAAAGGTGTGTTTTTTTGACGGTATGCATGCACAAAATGTATTAAAACAAAAAAAAAACTCGGACACGTTTTATCATCTTGTCCCACTTTGTGCATACATACTCCTCACAGATGCATATGTATTTTATTTTGATTAATTGTGTACGAAGGAGAAATGGGACAGAGTGAAAAAGAACACTTAACGCTTTTGTTTATACGATAAAAGTAGTATTTGTGCCGATTCTCGCTTTTTCGTTGCAATTCAGCCTTCGTATTGCGGAGCGAATGAACGAATGACTTTTTTCACGAGATCCGAAAGGAAGAAGAGTGTTTTAGAATGAGAGAAGAGAGAAAGAGAGAGAGACGAAGATTAAACGTTACCGTTTAAGCTAAGTTCGAGAAAAAAAAAACCTGTGCACTCTATAAAAGAAAATAGAGAAGTCGACCGACGACTACCGTATTATTTTTTCACGATTAGATATCTTGACGTATGTCTGTGTGGACTTCGTTGAGAGATCTACGGGTTGCAAAGAAAAATAATTCAGTAATCGAGGGGCATCAATGTACACAATGCCTTCCTTCAATCGACCAATGAAGTGTACACACAGCTCAAGTAAATATTGTCGACAAGAGATTCTTGCTTACAGCCAAGCTAGAAACACATGTGCCATCATTTTCGTGCATATAATAACAGATATAAAACTTAGGACTTTTTACAAGACTGTATTTTTAACTCCAGAGCGACTGAGCGCGCATCCGTGGAACTGAGAATCTAAACTCCCGCTGAGATATAAGAGAAAAAAAAATCTAATAGATTCAATTACAGTATAATATTTCGATATATCTCTGGGTAGGTCTAAGAAACTGAAAAGTTCAGACTTCAGATGGTTTTAAGAAATCTAAATCGTTTGTAAGAACCTAGCTCCGAGGCTCTAAGAATCCGCGATTCCGAATATATTTAGGAATCCGTAAGGTCGGTTTGCGAAGGTTTCTCTGAAAACTTCGTGAAAATTCCGTGGTTCTAAATGATGATCCTGTACTAACTGATAATCATCATTGCGGTCAAGAAACGGGATTAAGTACAGTTTTTTTATACATGTTTTGAAATTGTATGAAGAAAAATAAGCTAACACATGAAAAAAAAAAGAAAAAAAAACAAATTATATATAAATTTAACGATTGAAGGGCTCATGTAATATGCGATATCGATATTTTATTTATTCAGTTTGTAATGAAACACACTCTCGATGAGAAAAGCTGTATAAATATAAGTAGTCAGTTCTTATACGGTAGATAGTGTTGTTAGAGAGCCTCAGTGTAGAGACATCACCTTCTGTATGAAATACTGCCATTTTCATTCTGTAGATCTTTGCTTTTGATGAATGTAATCTTTTTTTGAAACAAAGCCTGGATTAGAGAGACTTAAAGATTCCAATAAAATCTTTACAAAAATATTGAATAAACTTTTTTCACAAGATTGTTTTGTTCGATCGTTTTTTTTTTTTCGGTGTTAGTGTAAATTTGTCCAATCTGGTAAATGTTTAGCATAATACTGCCTAGAGAGAGCCCTTCAATTTAAAAGTCTAAATAGTGACGAGAAAAGACAATTTTCACGAAATCACTCATTTATACACTTACAAATGTCTCTCTGTTGAAGATCATCGCAAAAACATAATTGTTTCTCTTCTTACTTGTGTTTCATCGACAAACTGTCAGCACAAACTGTCTGCGTTTAAACCAAAGATACCCCGACGAGGAACATACAAATGTTATTAACACTGCGTACGTTAAAAGTGTGTAACAAGTAGTAAGGGGTGATTCAATTTTACACCGGGTGTTCCGAAAGACAAAAAGAAAATACAGTGTCGACGAAATGTATTTCCGTCACGTTAAAATAGTCAAATCGCAAAAATCTGATGTTCTAATTAAAAAAAAGGTTTTTCGTTTTTGGATAGATTCCGCAAATTTTTCGGAACGTCCCGCGGGCGTAGAAGATGTAAATTATCTTTACATAATTATTTCCGTTAATTATACAATGCAGGTAGAATTATGTATTATGTACATCGCAATCCTGTTCGATTTTATAATAGAGATCTTTAATTATATTACCAGTGCACTAATTTTTGATCCGCGAATGACATATAAAAAAAAAAACAAAGAAAAAAAAAGAAATGAACAAGATTGTATAGATACAAATTCATAACTGTGATTATCGTCGATGCAGATATATTTTAAGTAATTTCTACAACGCGTTCGGGCATATTTGTAAAAAAAAAGCAAACAAAAAAAAGAAAAACAATGATAATAACCGTGGACGGCGATAATACTTTTAGAACGATTGTTGAGATAAGATTTATCTGCGTTTGTGTTGAATGCACATTGTCGTGCCGCGTGGTGTGACGAGGTTAATTAATTACGCATTAATTATAATGAGGATAATTAGGATAAATCCGATACATACATATAGTGCAAGCACTATTATATTGTTTCGAAAGAAAGAGAAAAAAATCGGGAAAAAAAAAACACGACGAAGCTCGAATGAATGTGTTTTGCGGAATCTTTTTGTTGTTGTATATTATATTATATAGATACATCGCATTAATATACACAATCCTTTTCAATAAACATATTCTATAAATTATGATGTATCTGTATTTTTTTCAATACAGAAAACAGTGCGACATTCTTATAATTTTATTCTTCTTCGCGAATATCAAGTTTCGCTTGAACATTCAAACTTTTTTATATATATTTTTTAGTTTTACCTTTTTATGTGCTTATTACTGTAAAGTGAGAAAAAAAAGAAAGTATGAATTGAATTGAAAATATGAAAACTCTGTGCAAAGTTAAAAAGAACAAGCCTAGTAGTAAATTCTACCTCAGGCGATTCAATTCAACCGAAGAAAACTCTTTAGACATCAAAAGACAAAATTCTGGATTCTAGACATGTTTGTAATATATTTAAATTTGTACATATATGATGCGCAAGCGCAGTAATGGGAAATGGAAGGCGCATAACGCATAACCTCACAAAAGAGTAGAGGAAATTGGATTGACAGCCAAGAACACAAAACGGCAAAAGATCTATTTAACTTTGACACACATTACGGTATATAATTGTATTTAATTGTTTAGAGAGAAAATATATTATATTATGTTACATATATTCTGTTTTCAAAACAATTTTTGAATATGTGTAAACAGCAATACTAAATTACACGTAATTTATGACAACATATTAATTTAAAAATCTATACATATGCGTGATAACAAATATTATGATAATAAAGAGAGAGATAGTAATATTATATTCTTCATTACGAAGTAAATTGCTTGCAGGGTTTCAAGAATAATGCAGCTGTTTAGGATAATAAACAATACATTGACAACAACCACTGTAGGTTTCTATGAGTCTTTCACACCAAATTCTGTCTATACACAATGTGTACGTTGGAAAAGAAAACCTATTTGGCTGCCCACAGCAAACAGCAAAGTATTTCGAGTACCAAAGAGACCTGTTATACCTGTGGAAGAAGCTCGAGAACTTCAGAGTTTAAATAATAATTACAGAACATACATGAGATCATTTATGTACGTACGTGGCCAAGATATACTTCTGCAATTTTTAAATATTTTCAGAACTTTAAATATTGTTTCTGTTCCTAGATTTCAATGAAAGCAATGTATATGTTTCAGTGAGTATTTGAAAACAATTGAAAAAAACAACGCAGAGGTGCAGTTTGATGAAAAGACTATTAGAGAAGCCGAAGAAGAAGATTTTAAAATATGTAGCGCTATAAACGATGAATGGAACGCAAAATTGGCGAAAGAGCGAGAAGTTAGGCTAGAAACAATAAAAGAAAAAAGAAAAGAGAAAATCCTACAAAATATACTGAGACACGAAGAGAAAGAGGAGAAGCATAGACAAAAGATTGATGAGAAGATTAGAAAGGCCAAGGAAGATTCTGCTACATTTGTTACGTCGGAAAACATAGATGCAGCAATTGAGGAGTGTCTGGCGACTGTAGTCAATCATAATAAAGCTTTGGATATGGAAGGAAACTGGTATGAGGGAAAATATCCACCTCCGGATCCGTTTTTGAAAGAAATGCAAAAATCAACGGCGGAGCAATGAGCGTCCAGAAAGTTGATGGTCGAATTGCTCGGAAAAAAATAAGGCAATTTTTTATTGAGAATATACTTATACTTTTTTCCAAGCATTTTAGACTCCCTTGTTGTAATAATATAATAAGTATGAATTGTAATTATTGTAAGTGTGAAATAAATATGTCCGATTGTTCTTCACTTGTATATAATTAATGTTTCTAAAGACTTATATAAATGACATGGAAGTAACGTACCATTTTGTACGTATATAGTAAAGTATATGTTATATAGTAGAACTAAACGGAAAGCAAAACAGCTTTTGAAAAAATACATAAAAATCATGTTATATTCATTATAAAAAAATTTCTTTGACAGAAACCGCGCTTATGTCCGAAATATATGTGAAAAATATTAGTTTTAAAATATAAAATAATTGGATTGGCAAATGAAAGTACGATTAATTTAAAGCTAGGTAGTGGTTATAAATTATTAAGATCTAACGTCCTTGTGGAATATGCGCGGGAGCTTGCGGAAAAAGTGTTTGAAGTGGTCCGTATAATTAGTACCGCGCGCTGCGGAGCACCTCATTAAACTGCGCGACTCCTATGCAACCCGATTGCATTCTTAGCATGTACATATATGTATATACATACAAGCGACCGCCTGCCGCTGCATTTACCTGCTTCCTTTTAACGCACTTCAGGCGCAGTCTTTCGCGAACGGCGTGTCGACTCGCATCACTGATTTCGCTCTCTTGATTTGTGAAGCGAAAAGTACCGTGATACGAGGGAAATGTGAGAAAGTCTCACACTTTAAGGGTTCATGAAAAATGTATTTGAATTTTTGACGAGAAACGTCCTGAGATATAATAGAGCGGAAGGTTGTTTGCGAAAGCATTTATAATTCAAAAAGTTCACATCTTGTATAAATAAATAGGTGAAAACCGAATCAATAGAAATTCAACTCGTAATTTTATCACGAAATTATTAAAAAAATTAAATAACGCAAGAGTACACTTCATATTGTAAATTTGCGTTTTTCAACGGAGAAATTTTTTCAAAGATATCAAATTTTATACAATATACAATTCTGAAAGATTTTTAATACAAAAACCATTTTTAATACAAAACTGTTGTACTTGATTTTAATTTTTTTGAAGATAAATTTTTTTTTTTTTAATTAAAATTGAATTTAAAAACGTTTTGTTTAAAGGAATAACTGAATTTTAATATTATATATTAAACACAGGAATCAACAGCTCATCAGCGAAAATGTACAGTGTACACGTGACACCGGGAGGATCCACGGAACGAAGAAGCAAGAATTCAGGTGATTTGGAAAACGAAATCGGAGCATATGGGGCAAGAAGGAAAGAATCGATTTCTGTGAAGCTGAAAAACTATATTCGGTCGCAGTTTCAACCACCGCCAGATGCTACATCGGGTGAGTCGGAAAAAATTTCATGTATATTAATCGTAAACCTTGGTACCTTTTATAAGATTTGATTTGACAATATCTTTTTCAGACCTTTATACTACTTTCCCATCTCACGTGTGCTCGCTATAATTTATAGTTGTCAAATATTCAATGCATAGAAAATTACGCATGTACGTAGACATTTTTGTGCATGAACTTTATTTATGTTTATATTAAAATATACAAATGTATTCTACAAAAAAGAGGAAAAAAAGAAAGAACTTTATTGCATACATATATATAATACATACATATACGTATGTTCTGAGTAGAAATATATAATATACATGAGAAAATATATTAATTTATATTATTTTTCACGCATAATATACACACAGGACGTGTGATATTAATCATAAATTCTATATTATAATAATAAAGTTAATTATTTAAATTAAGTTCTATAATGATTCTTTTTCTTTTTTTACATATAAAAAAAACGTAAACTTTTTCTTTCTTGAAACATCGCGGAAACAATAGTTTGATCACTTTATAGTGAACATAGATATGTTAATATATTCTTTTATATCTTTTCTCGTCACGTATACAAAACACATTTGTCTTTCTACCTCAAAAATATTGCAACACAGTTTGTGCGTTTCGAAGCAAAAGATCGCGACTTTGGATAAAAGTGTCGTGCGTTTAAAGTTAGATACATCTATTTTTCTGAAATAGAATATCGATCGATTCAATTTCTACTCACACACTATTGATTTTCTCTTTGAAAATTGTTCTCGTTCCAGTTCCGGTGAGATAATTGCGCGTTTCGTTCGCCGATGTTGTGAAAAAACAAGAAAGTGCGTTGTTGGAACTGACACCAGCGACAATTTCACGAATCAATTGTTTGGATATCGTTATTAACTCGCTTGTCAGTTCTCAGTTGAAATGATCCTGGAAATCTTTCCGCGACTCAAAAACGTGAAGTGATCACATATTTTCGAAGAAACAAATCTTTTGTCTTTTTCATCATTTTCATTTTTCTTCACAAAAGCTAGAGATCCGTTTATTATGATTATTTATTGTCATAAATATCCGAGTATTATATTAAGTTTTTGCGACATCCGTCGTATTCGGAATATTGTTGATTCAATCGGCAGTGACGTTGCGGAACAGCAAATCCGACGCTTGAACATTCATATCATCGCCTGACGTTGGCTCGTTATATTGATTTATCCACACGTCATTGATCGGAACCCGGGGATTGTCGTTGGTCGTCTCTTTTGGATTGTTGTTACCGGTCGTTGAACGCGTCATCATCGTTGTGGACTGATCGAGGAGATAATCAGACGTGTTCATCATTCGCATACCTTGCGACGTGTCATCGTAAAGCATCCAATACGACGAGAAGGAGTGCTGTCGCTGCTCGGCGATGTATCTCTGTTTCATCGAGCAACCGTTCGCCACGTTAGCAGATCGCTGCGTAACGATAGGTGCCACGTAGCAATACACGCAGGACGTTTGATTTAGCTTTGAATAATAATTAGGCTGCTGTCTGACACTTTGATAGTTGAGGATATTCTCCAAATTGTTGCTGGTCTGAGTGGTCCACTTCGGCCAAAATGGCTCCATTGTTTCTGATCGACAAAGCATTGCATAATTAATATGCCAATATCTATATTATGTGTTTATTTATAGCTAGAACAAACGCTCACCATTTGCTTGCCTGTACAAATCTCCTGCATTAGTTTCTTGACTAACGTCATTTTCTATCCCCACGACAACATTATTTTGTTGCTGCTCCAGTCTTTCGTTCAACGGATTGTTTAGAGAATAGTTCAGCTGATCACTGAGCGGATTGTTTGTTTCTTGATTAAATCGAGGATAAAGATATTGCGAGTCGTTTACATAGACGTCTTGCTGCGCGTTGTTCTGTCCGTAAGTATCAACATTGCAGTAATAACTCGCTCCTATTCCTCCGTAATTTTGCAAGTAATACGCGTCGCTGGAATCATTTGTGGCCATCATGTCACCGCCAGTCATGTAACCGGTGTCGTGCGTACCGTAGTTGAAAAAGTTTTGGCTGCCGTTGTAAACGGTATCGGTTTGATACTGATAAGGCAGATTACCGTTCACGGTTGTTGTAACAGTGTCCGTGTTGTTGTGGTAAATCGTGTGAAACATCCTGGAAGTTTGCGTTTCGCTGTTAGGCATCTCCATAACGTTGGTAACCGTCCAGTTTTGATGTGAATTCTGTTGTCGATTGTTTACATTGGCTGAAAACCTGTATTGATCGTCGCTAGCTAATACGTTGGGAACTTGCTGAGACATTAGATTCGTGTCACTCATCAAGTACTCGTCCTTCGTGTTCTTCACCAAGTAGTACTCGGTCGCATTAGCTTCCGTCAATTGCTCCTCCAACGCCAGGTCCTCATCCAACTCTCGATCTTCGTTCACATTGCTGTCCGATTCGGCAGTCAGAGTGTCGGAATTATCCAACAGATTGCTGGCCCAAAAGAGCGAGCTAGCAATTTCGCCCAGGTTGGCGCCCACCGGTGCTTGGAGCATTCTCTTCAACAGAAACGATCCCTGCGAACTTCCCTCGGACATATGGTAACTCGATCTGTCGGTCGATGCAATCGCCAGAGGATCCACGTCATCGATCGCATTTGCTCTATGATAGCTCGGTTCGTTGAAAGGCATCGTTTGCAAATTAGGCGCCATCGGTGTGGTCCGCAGGTCCATAATGCCCATATCCTGCATCTGATTGTTGTTACTGTCGCACGATTGAAACTCGCGCTGGAATCTCTTGAGCAAAAACTGCTTGAACTCCTCGTACTGCGGAAATCTGGCATCGTCGTCCTTGCTCGCGATCTCTTCCTCGGCGCCGATCTGAAAAAACGGTAAGCACTTTGTCCGAAGTCAATCATTGTCGCTTGATTGCTGCACCATAAAAAAAGAATAGAATTGTATTGCGATATTACGTCGTGTGAAAAAAAAAATAACAAATGCAAAACAAAATCGCAGTATATAAAAATACTTGTAACGTTGGAAACGTTCTTCGCTGCATGGGTGTTGGCGCTCTCCCTTCACGATTCAAGTTGCGATTAAAATATTTCCGGTAACCTACCCATTGATAGGGCGGTTGTTGTTGTTGCGACTGCGATTGCTGTTGTTGGCAGTAATAGTCGTCGTCGGTCATAATGTAATCGGGACTGTGCAACGGTGTCGACGTCATTCCGAGCTTGGAATCTTTCGACTTTCTCGTCTTCCTCTTGCGATTCTTCCTCAGCTCCTGCAGCAGTCGGCTGAACTCCGTCTCATTTCCGCTTCTGGCGGCTTGCAGAACTTTGACCAACACCTTTTTCTACAATCAAAGATTGCGGATAACACGGAAGGAATCGAATGTGTGTGTAGATATAGAAGAAAACAAATGTTAAAAAAAAAAAAAAAAAAAGAAAATGAAAAAGTAAATTTTTATATGTGGAAAAAGCCTCTTCCTTTTCCCAAACGACGAAATCGCACACATTCCTCGCGAAAATTAGATTGATAATAAATTTTGCACGAACGTTGAGAGAAATTGGGACATGTGTGTTGCCATAAATTTCAGCTTGGCAGGAATTGCATATCGATCTTAAATATGTATTTATATACGTATACATGTATTTATATGTGTGTATATAATACGACGTGCTGCAAGAACGAAAAGAAAATCCATAACTGCACGTGCATGCGACATATGTGAAATCCACGCGCTTAGTTTTGCATTCTCTTCGTCTTCTTTTCTTCTTTTTCTGACAGCTTCGATCGTGCCGCATGTTACCTCGAGCGTGGGGTGCCGAGCTGTGAAATTGAGACGCAGTTTGTGCTCGCAACGGTTATTACATTTTATCCTAACTCATATCTCGCACGTGAAATAAAACACAATAAAAACGTTTAAACAAGCGATAAATATAGTGAAAATGAAAAATAAACGTTCTCATCACGGACGGGAACAAAAGGAAAACGAGGTGTAGATGGAAAGTGCAACAAGAGAAACATGGATCCTCCCGATTTTGGGACATTGACTGACAACTTCGAGCAATTCATCTCCCGGAGGTTCGTCATCCTTCCGTCGCGCAAAGGAAGAAATACGACAAGTCGTAAATGAGAAAAGCGGCGGTCTTCTTCATCGGATTTCAAGCGGCTGGAAACAACAATAAAAGCGTTCTCTCGGCAGAATTCGAACAGTCGCACGATCGAGCACAATCCGTTAAGATTCACGCGATCAGCGCAAAAGTTTGTCGCGGCGCTTACGTCGATTAACTTCGCGCGATCGGATCTTGGTTAGAGTTCCGATCGTGCGTGTGTGTCTTTCCGAGAAAATTTGTTTTTCAGTTTCAATTTTTCGGACGAGAACGCGCACGTTCATCCGAATTAACGGCGAGATCATTCGTTTCCTTGCCACTTGGCAGCTTGCGAGAGATTCTCGCACGCGAATTCGCGCAACCCACCACCATGATCGGTCGCGTATCTCGAGATCGTGTTTTAGATTCAATTTCCGATTATTATTCCGACGAGGAAAGAGACGGACGATCGGAACAAAACGGGCGAGAGAATGGAAAAACGGTTGAGTGAATTGATCGTCAGCGCCGTTCGGCAAAAATTGTCGCGAAGAACGTTGATTTGTATAACGTGACAGCTCACCTTGATGTTACCCGGCACGTGGTATCTCAGGGCGAGAGCCTGCAACTCCTTGTAGGACAGCTTGGCGATATCGTCGGGGACGTTCATGCTGCTGCTGCTGCTGCTGTGTGGTGGAATTTCATCCGCCTCGTTACTCATCCGGAACGGATTTTGAATTCGAGCCGACTGACTTTTTAGCGCGAAATCCCGTAAAGTCTCATTCTCAGATGTGAAAAGAACAACGACAAGTGTGCGCGAAAACGCCGAATTCTGATATCCGTCGGATGGGATATCTAACTCCCGGGATCGCGCGGGACCAATCGACAACGCTCGACGGCCGTTGATTGGTTCTCGCGAGATCGAGAAATCTTATAAATCGCCGCGCGACGATCATCGCGCGCCAATCCATCGGAGAATCGAAGGTAGGGCCAATCCCAATTGTGCGAGAGGAAACACCTCCGTTGGGAAATAATTCTAGGAAATGAGCGTAAAGTCGCGCTCTACAACGGCTATACGACGAACTTCAAAGGGGTAATTGTCGCTTTTGTAAACGTATCTCTCTTTCGTCGCCCGGTGGTTTTCCGTGTGTGCAATTACCGAAAAATGGCAGAAACGGATTACCTTGTACAGTCGTCCGTATATAATCGTTTAAAATCGTCTAATACGATGGATAACGCTCGAGAGAGTGGCGTTTAAGGTAATTGTGAACGTTTTTATTCGATTTTTGAGACAAAGGTACATCGATCGACTGTGCGAAGCAAGTGATTTATTTACGCGCTGATAATTGAGCTTGCGAAAAATAAAAATTTGCATTACCGCATTGTATTTTGCGTATTTTGTCTGAGAATTACGAGGAAGAAGTTGCAAAGAAGAATGATAAAGTCGATATTTGCACGATTTGACGCATTTTGCTGCGAGGCGCAAGCAAACTTTTATTTCTCGACTATATATTGTGCGCTACTTTTGCACATCGACTCGCGCGCGCCTCGTTTGTTTACATGGAAAAAGCCGTGCCGAGAGTTCGTAAAAAATTCACAGAAGCCGAGATTGAAACGTATATACGCCGTATGTCAAAAGTTCACACTACATATATATATATATATGTTTGAAGGACGTAAACTGGTAAGCAATAACGCATTAAAAAGATCAATACAAAATTAGATTGTTTAGAAGTGAAAATTAATTAATTGTCAACATTAATTAATGTACATTTAAATTAATGTACGATCAAATTTATTTGCCGATTCATTTGTGCGCGACACGTAATCGTGCCGCTTGATACACGTAACAATTAATTAAGATCTTTCAGGTGACGCGACGGCGACGTTTCGCGCGGTATGAGATGCAAAGTGTTGTAAATTAATAATAATTGTTCGCTATTTTTGTAAAATTCAATAAGATTGATTTGTCGCCTTACCTTTCTAACGAATCGATATTCACGGAGCGTTTGAAGAAATAAAACGGATATAACTTCGACCAAGTTGTGACATAAAAAAACAAATGATAATAATTTCTCTGAATGTTTTATTAACAGTAATCACAGAAATGTTAAGCTTACAGTTACAAGATTACAAGATATGAAATTTATTTATAACTTAATTAGAAGATTATACGAAAAAAAATGTACATTGTCAGTCACAGATACAATACATCAGAATTGTGCTGGATAATTTGACACACTTCGTCAATTGGGACACATCAGTCATTTTTTTTTATGCTTGTGTTATTTTTTAGAGAGTTGATGGCAGTGTCTATTTTTAAATTGAGACAGCAGTGTGTCGATAAACTCAATTTGTCAGTTTCAATGCTTTATGGCAAGCTAGTTCAATAAATGTTCGAGGAATATTGATATAAGCTGAAATTCAAATATAGTCAGCAAATGACATTGCTTCGCAATAAAATGCTACATTTTGTCTTTCTGTAAAATCTTTATTGGGAGACTTTCAATGTTTTTAAAAGGCATTCGAGAGTTTTAAGAGTTTTTATTTGTAAAGCTTTCACAAGTGTTTGAGTGTAGTTATCAACTATACTTAGAATTCTCTTCTCTGTTATCAATCACAACTTTAGTTGGTACTTTATTTCCTGTTTAAACATTTAACTCCTGTCAGAGTTCATTTAAATTTTCTAGCTTTTCTATTTCGTCTGTTTTTTTTTTTTTTTTTTCAGTTCAAAAACTTTCGGCTCGAAGTGACAGAAAGTTCTTGTTGAGCAATTACCATGACAAGTTGTCGAAGATCGCCGCACTTGCGCGTTGAAAGCGACGTGTGACACATTTTCCCACGAGAACCCACCGTTCAGTGGTTCAGTACGGCATGTTTCATCGGTGCGTCCGCATCCACTGTTTTCGCAGCATTGCAACGCAATAGCGATAGCGACACCAGCAGTCGGCAGCATCTCGTGCGCAGCATCCGCAACTGCGTGGTGTGATACGTTCTCTCTCCCCCGCTTCCGTGCGCACGTGCGAAGTGCGTCTCGTCGGAAAACGTGTCTCTATCGGGGATGCGTCGATTAGTGGTAATATAAATCGAATCCCGATATTATTATTCGCCTTGCCGCCGACACGTTTGGTGCAGGAAGTGTTGCGCGCTTGCTGGCCGATGAAGGCGCGCAAAAGCCGCGACAAAAGTAAGTCCGGAACACGAGAACGGCTCTAAGCGCAAAAAAAAAGTTACTGCTGCGATCGAGCTCTTTCTCCTTCTACGTCGCCCCGTACGACCGTTCGATATACTGTGGCACGACGTGCACAGCCATTGATACTTCGGACCAGTTGATCGACTACTCAACGGAGAGCGTCGTTGACAAGCAGGGTGACAGCCGGGGTGATAACTGCCGAATGCAGCACCAAGGTGCGGTGATCCACGTGACGGGTCCACTTTTCTCTTCTTCTCTTGCACCATTCCCCCCTGTGGAAACGGGTTGCCTGATGTCTGTCCATCTGTCAGTACTGTCCGTTTGTACGTAGTATTCCCGTAATCAGTGAATGGTAGCTTGTCATAAATCTCTGAGTCTGACCCTTCTCGCACCAGGACGGTTAACGAATCCAAACGTCATGTCTCTCTCGATGTAATTCAAATCTGAATGTATCTTCGAACCGATTCGTTCTTTCTCTGATGTTTTTTTTCTCCTTTTAGATCTCGCAGCATCAATTTCGAAATGTCTCAGTATTTAAAGGACTGGCTTCCGAAATTTTTGCGAAGCCACAATATCCTCTGATCTTCCATCTCTTCTTCAATCAATTGTATACCTATATCTTCTCACAGCTATATCGTATTTCGAGACTCTAAACCTGTATATATATAAATGGAGTTTTTTTATTTCTCTAATATAAACCTGTCTATTGTTTTTACAACGATGTTTCTCTTATGCTTTTACTGTTTTTTACATTTACAATTTTTTTATATATTCACATAGATATTGTTCTCTTTGTCTTTATTTTTGTAAATACAATATCTAGAAGTTTTGTATTATTAGGTACATTATTTTGATTCTTTTGATCTCATAATTTTTATCATTTCTCGTTTAGATCTTTTTCGCTTTTTTTTTTTTCGTATTGTATGCGCAATATAATACTTGCCAACTTTAGTCTGGCTGATTTACGTAGCGTCTTCTATCAAACAAATTAGTCACACTAGAAATTAGAAACTCTTCGTATTTTTTTCAATAAAATGTATTTGTGTACATATGTATGAGAAAAAAAAAATAACCGAGAAAAAAAAATAACTTTTGTAAAAATACAAATCTGCAATTCGAAAAGTTTATCCTTCTTGCGCTCCTTCATCATTAATCACTTAGCATAAATTTACTCGGGACAAAGAAAGGGTGGTCAGGAGGTAAATGGTATAGGAGCTGCAATGTTACTATGGCAACCCCGGATCCCCGGACTAGGGCTAATGGTCGTAGCACAGAGAGAATAATCGAAATGTCTCAGTCAGTTCTTTAGAAACCGACTCCTGGCATGAGTGTTACCGTTAGTAAATAATGGCCGACATTAATTTAGCGTTACGCGAGTTTTCCCCTATTATCCCCAGAACCCCTTGGTTGATGAAGTAAAAAATGAATTACTTTTTTGTTTTAGAACTTAATTAATTCTCTGAAATCTCTGACGAGATTGGTTTTTTTTTTTTTTTTTTTTTAAAGATTTTTGTATTTTTGTAGATATCCGCGTTTATGATTAGAACATACAGGCTTTGCATTTTTAGATCTCTTCGATCTCTCTCTCTCTCTCTCTCTCTCTCTCGAGCTGTACTATGTAAATATTTTCTTAGACAATTAGAGATTTTTCTCGTAGAGAGTATTATATATAATCGCTTAAAACCACAGACTCTGGTAGTTATTTTCTATGAAATTATTGGATCTTCTCTAGATAGAGCGATAGTAAAAGTTTATTATAGTCCCATTAGCTTGGTAGTATAGCGATTAACTTTTGTAGTTTATCAAAGTTTAGTAATTTTAGTATGACCTCGATAAAAGTTGTATAAAAAAAGGAAGAGTATTGTAAAAACTAATTATAACCGTTTATCGTAGATCGTTTAGTACTCCTCTTTTTCTTATATATATATATATATATATATAAAATGTCTTCTTCCCTTCAAAAACTGAAAAACACGCACATTTATTTACTACTTTCCACACAATTTTGCAAAACTATGATTAATCGGATGGAGAAGCAATCACTCGCAGCACCAAACAAAAGTCCGTATTTGCGGACTTTGTTCACCTCCTCGAATATGAGAACTGTATCTTCGCGATCTCTTCTTCTTTCTTCTTCTTCTTCTTCTTCTTCTTCTACTTCGAACTCTTTTTAATCTTTCTCATAATATTTTCTGCTTCATTGACTTGCACTACAAAGACAAGTGCGCCCGTTAAAACCAGTTTTATTAAATGTATAAAGTAAGATACGCGTAAGAATGAGATTTTCTTTCCTCTCGATTTTAAATATGCAATGTTTTATAAATATAATAGCAACACAGGTAATGTCTCATAGTGCAAGTCATCTTCACACACACACACACACACTCACTCTCTCTCTCTCTCTCTTTCTCTCTTCACCCCTGTTGTCTCTCTTGCCTTCCACGACTTCTCCGTCTGCAAGTCTACGCACGTGTAGGTCCCTCTAGAGTAGAGTAATGCCGCTCCTTTAAGAGCGTTAGGGTTACGATGGTCCTCTCGAGAGCTATAAAGTAAAATATAGAAAAAAAAAACGTCCTCGCATCTTTTTCTCTTCACAAGTAGACAAGGAATCCCCCCCTCCCACGAGCCATCTCGAGCCACGGGGGATTTGCGCCGGGCTATCTTTACATGCGAGATGTTTGTCTCCCGTGTCTCGACGGCGGGGAGGGGGTGCGAGAGGGAGCATCTCAATGGAGCGACGCAGTCTTAGGAGTGAAGGGCTTGCGAACTTGCAGAAGGAGAGCTTGAAGAACTCGGGGGCGTTTTAGGGAGTTCCGGCGCCGCGGTCGCCTTTAGCGCGCGGCACAAACCGGAGGAACTCGCCACTCTCGCGGCTACCACCAAATTCTCCCGGAAGGAGATCCAGCTGATCTACCGGGGTTTTAAGCAAGAATGTCCGTCTGGATTGGTCGACGAAGAGGGCTTCAAACAGATCTTCTCGCAATTCTTTCCGCAGGGAGGTAATGAAGGGATGATGATGAGAAGGAGGAGGAGGAGGAAGAGGCAATGGTGACCTTGAGATTCCTCGGAAGAAAAATAAAAACTTATGAACGCAAACACTATTTCTCATAATTTTTGGATTTTTTAATTGCAAACTATAATTCAAATCAAAGCTGTCTTGTCCAATAAAGTGTAAAATAGAATTTTGTCATAATTCGTCTCTGTCTTTTTGAAAAGCTTTTATTACATAGTATTTCTTCCAGATGTTTAGTTTTTTATTAAGTAATTCTATCTCATACGCTTTCTCTTTTTCTTTTTACATAACGTTTATATTATACAAATCTGCGTTTTTTAAATTATCATTACCATCTTTTTTTGAATCATCGCGTGTTGTAGACGCAAGTCAATACGCACACTATGTGTTCAACACCATGAAGAGGAAACCATCCGGCAAGATAAGCTTCGAGGTGAGCGATGTAGATGAATTTTTTTAGAGAAATGCGCTGTGGCGTATCCGCAATTCTTTCAAACGCGGCTCTAAACTTACCGAATAGAGGTTTTTACGTGTTATCGTCCAACTTCTGTCGGAAAAAAACGCGCGTTACCAACTGAAAACTCTGAACTTTTTGGAAATAGGAATTCCTCACTATACTGTCGAAAGTGTCAAGAGGATCGGTGGAGGAGAAATTGCAATGGGTGTTCGGACTTTACGATTTGAACGGTGATGGTCTGATAAGCAAGGAAGAGATGGTGGACGTTGTGGGTTCTATCTACGAGTTGCTGGGACGTTACACGCAACCGCAAATCGTCGAGCCGCACGCAGCCGCTCGCGAACACGTCGATCGTATCTTCCATGTTAGTATCGACATAATTCCAATTCTCTTTATACGATTCGATGAATTGCTCTACAAGTGTTCATAACTTTTTGCTTCTATAATTACAATAATATTTCATAAGATAAATAATAAATTATGATGTTTCGACAAATGCTTGTGTTACCGCGATGTGTTTATTGGTGATTTTTATTTCTTTTTAGTTGATGGACACAAATAAGGACGGCGTGGTGACCATCGAGGAACTGGTGCAATGGTGTTCTAAGGACGAGCAATTGTTACGCGGTTTCGACAATCTGGATACCGTATTATGAGATTTTATCGTTTTATTGAAGATTCCAGTATCGGATTATTAATAACTTCGCTTTGAGCAATGACTATATAAGGCAAAGTACGATAAAACTTTTTCCATCCATTTATCTTCCATTTTACACAAGAAACAAAAAAAAAATTCTTCTTTGAACTATTACGTATATGAACAATTGATTAAGTCAAGAGGAAAAAAATCAGAAAAAAAAAGAGAAAAATATACTGATACTTCTTTGCGAGATGTGATTATAATTTACAGGATTGCATCAGTAAAGTGCAATCGTTTAAGGTGTCATTTGCAGAAAGAGTAAATCGAATGTGACCAGCCGAGATGTCATTGCTCGAGATGTGTCTTTGTAAGAAAAAAAAAGACACTGGACGACCCTTCCGCACGTGTCTTTTGTAAATATGTACGTACCTCGTTTATCTACCGAGTCTTTCATGTAGGAGAGTATGGGGCACATTGATCACGACTTCGTCGTAAAGGCGGCAATGAATATATTTATTTGTACAATGCGAAACTGTAGGAGGTTTCTAACGTATGCCGTTAAATATGAATGAATTTATTCAGTGCCAAGATTTGAATTAAGGTAGAGTTGCATCAATGACGTGCATCGTTGCGCATCAGTGTGCCCCATTTCTTTTACGCCATTTCTGGTACGTCGCTGACGATTTTGAGAATCTACCTGTAATAATTCTCCCCTTCCCCCAGTTATGTTTGTTCAAATTTAGACTCGCGAGACCAATAGATTTCCCCTACCCTCTTTTTCACTAGACAAAATGGAAACAAAGAAGAATAGAGTCGTGAATATATGATAGCCGCTGTGTGGCAGCGGACGCAGTTGTCGCGAATGAGGCTAAGAAGTCCTTTCGATGAACTTGGACAGAATTTAAGTATTGTTTTTCACAAAAAAAAAAAAAACAGAAGAATTGAAAGCAACATCGATACAAATCGACACAACTTGATGGCAGTCTGATCAGTAAAAGTAAAAAAAAAAAAAAAAGTAAAAAAAAGTAAAAAAAAGAACGTGTAATTTTTGAGATCAAAAACTAATATTTCTCTCTTCTAATTTTACATAATCTATACTTAATCATTTTTGTTATTTACTGTTTTCCGCAAAACTTATTGCAATATTCTCCTATATTATTGGAAAAATTATTATTAAGAACCTTGAGATTTCTAATAACATGTATTACAAATCTATCGATTCTTTGAACGCTATCCTGTCCCCTCGGTACAGATTTATAGACAAGACCCACCAGTCCAATTCCGTGATGCAAAGTTCATAGCTAAAAAGTTTTCTGTACCGTATGGGAATAACTCTTTAAGATTTTCAAATTTGATCTTTCAAATCTTTACTATAATTACATTGCAAAGTGATCCAAGTTGGTCTTTTTAGCCGTTGATTATGAAAAACGCGATATTCTCTTCTTGGACCAAGTGATGGAAATGTTTATTCTAGTCAATCTCATGTGATTGTCTTGTGTACCTTATTACTATATATATTATATATAAAATGTTATTCATATTAATAAAAACAAAATCATATTATATTAGTACGTAAAAGATAACTCGCGTTATCTGCCGATACGTGCGATTAGTACCGTAAAGGCGTTTTTAAATTTTTCTATCTTGAGAAATAAATTTTAAATTTTTCGAAATATCAATCTTGCAGAAATTTTCATACAAGATACTCTTCTTTATGGAATAATAATTTTCTGCGAACTGTTTTTCGCAATCGCGCCAAATGTATTTTGATTACGCGTGTTCGCCAATCTTGAATCTCTGAATCACCAAAAGAGGATTCTTGTTTATTTATTTTTATTTCGCGGCAAAATTTCTCTCTTTATGGCAGATAAGGTGTTGATATCTCTTAACTATACTTGTTCCCAAAATCTTGTTGAGGTTTAAGATTCGATTCTTCTTATACTGATACAAGCAATATATATACATATATATTATTATTATTATTGACTTTGTTAAAAGCATTACGCGAACGTATACTTGTTCGCACACATTGTGAATTTTTTTAGCGTTGCGAATGCGAAATGCGCTTTTTGCGTGTTTACCGAGATTTAGCGTTATTATATAGTGTGTACATACAAATATGCACTTTTATTAACGCATGTACACTCGTGCATACCTGAAACAAATAAATCTACCTTTGTACCTGAACTCGTTCTGTTTGTCACTGTGTTCTCTTTCAAAAATACAAATCACGAAAGGTGTTTCTGCGAGACCAGTTTCTGTTTTCAATCTAAATTTCGCGCCGATTTCCCACTACACATTGCATTTAGTTCGTCACTTCCGAGGATAGGAGGCGTTGAAACAATCGCCCTTCGCAGGGGAAGGGTTCGCTAATCATCACTCTGTTGTGCCATACTCTGTTATTTTTGTGTTCATTTACCGTGTGCGCGGTTTATATCGTGCATATAAAATATAATCTTAATACTCCTGTAGTAAAATACATTTATAAGCATTCCAATGAAGCGGAAATAAAAACGCGCAAAATGACAAGGATACAGTGGTCTTTGGCGAAGGCGCCAAAAGTCCTTAGGTAAATATGTTAAAAATTTTTACATGGAATTTTTGTTATTAGTAATTATTAATCTGTGATTGCATTGAAAATTGTTGAGTTTAAGTTTTTATTAGCTGCGCTCTCTCTCCATGTAAATTCAAGATTGATACGAGTTCTGAAAATCAATTATGACGATCTTATTGTTTATTTATGTTTTAAGGATTAATTTGAAACGAAAATGGTGGCGGTTCCAAATTGTCATCAAATCCTTGTTTTACAATGATTTCTTGAACTGGGGTTATGTCTGTGATATACTTATGGAACCCATGTTTTGGTTTGTTGAAAATTTTACTGCCTGCCTGGGTCCGGTAAGAGAGATTTTGAGATTATTTGTATAATATATAATTTTTTAAATTTATAAATATACTCAATATAACGTATTTTATTTGTATATATATATATATATATATTTTTTTTTACATAATGCAAGTCTCATTATATTCACAATATATTTACTAAGCGCTACAGCCCACAGGTGTTTGTGGTAATGGGTGTGGTATTGACTGCCACCATTGTGTACATCGCTTACTATGTAGGCTTACCCTGGTGGTGGAATCAAAGTCCGTTGGTGACAGTAATTCTGCTGCTAGTTGGAAACTGGCTGTTGGCTAATGTGTGCTTTCACTATTACATGGGCACAGTAATGTCTGCTGGTTATCCACCAGAAGGAGGTCTTATTCCTGAGGCGGTAAGCATTTGCAAGAAATGCATTAAACCAAAGCCACCTAGAACGCATCACTGTTCCGTCTGTAACAAATGCATTCTCAAAATGGACCATCATTGTCGTATCCTTGCATACTCTATGACCAAATTTAATTGTACTAGTTTACTGAGTTACTTATTTTTCATACATTAAATGAAGCTTTCCTTAATTAGTGCTCAGCATGGCTGAACAATTGCATTGGCCATTATAATCATCGACATTTCTTCCTATATTTGGTTTACACTGTGGTTGGCATTACATTTATTATGATATTTGGTGTGCAACTTGCTTACGAGGAATTCTTCCCCGATCAGGATCCCGAACTGATCGGTCATCCGGTGCGCCTTAATAATTCGGAAATCATTCCCGTGGTTCGTTTTTTAATTGACATTCAACTATATTGATTTGTTGTATATCTACAAAATAAGATATATAACGCTGATTACTGTAGACGGAGTCGTTGGAACACTTAAGCGAGGAAGAGCGGGCGGAAATAGAGAGAAAGGCAGCGGAAACCGTAGCCAAGGACTGGCGCAGAAGACAGATCATTTATGCGGGCATAATCTGCGTCTGCATGTTTTTGGCACTAGGTGCACTGACTTGGTGGCACGCTGCTCTCATCACTCGGGGAGAAACGAGCATCGAGGCGCGTATCAATAGCACGGAATCGCAAAAATACCGGGCGCAGGGTAAATTTTATCAGAATCCTTATGACTTCGGACCGAGAGAAAACTGGAAATTGTTCTTGGGGATAAAAGACAGGTATTCGAAACACACCAAGCGATTAGTTAAAAACCCTTAATTAGTTAAACCCTTAATTGCGTGCAAGAATTTATTGCCAAGCGTAATAATATATTATTTCTATACTAATCTCTCTAAATTGTGTCAATTATTGTTTTAACATCTTTATGTTCTGTTTATTGCAGAAGCTGGTGGTATGTGTTACTTCCATCGACCCATGGTCCATACGGCGACGGACTTACGTGGCGAACTATCCACGACAGCAAAATCTCTTGATTTTTCTGATATTCAAAATATCCAATCGTCAATCCTGTATTCCGTTCAGTGTTTTTTTTTTGTTTACAACTTTTGGGTTCCTATATTTTTAAATATTCTAGTCAGGACAATTATACCATATTTAATTTTTATATTATCTTAATCGTGCTATGTGTGTGTGTATATATATATGTATACATACATACACACAACTACTGTTTTAACGGGCAATAATTGGAGCACAAACGACATCTCTCTGAAAGTCCGGAATTATTCAGCAGATTAAATATTGCGCTAACGAACAGATAGATATTATTACACACCATTACATATCTTATTTACTTTAACTGATTATTATCAATATAATCAAGTGATTTTAACTTAAGTGAGTATGATATAATAAAAGAAAAACGTTTTTCTGTACCTTTTAATTAAGTTGATTAAATCACAATTATTGATTTTGCGGCCAGACGATATTTTCTATCCAGGTAAGGTAATGGGACACTCTGGTGTAAACACCAGGTATATCGGTAATCGCGCAGCCTTGGCCGAAACTGGTGATGCCAATCACTTGGAAGAGACACTGATTCTTAGGATGGATCACTTGCAGAGGACCGCCGGAATCACCTTGGCAGGAGTCTTTGGTCCAGCCGCCGTGAGGATCACCGGCACAAATCATGCTTGGCGTGACACCATACGGAACTTCCGTGGAACTGTTATGCCGTATCGCGCACACTAGATTATCAATCAGATTCAGCTGGGCCTTCTGCAGTCGATCAGTTTGTTCTCCAGCTGAAAGTATGTCATTAACTTTACCGCTATTATCTTATTTATTTCTTATTAAAATTTTTTTTACTGAGATTTCCTCTCTTTTGAAATAATACGTTTCTAGTTTTTCTTTTCTTTTTTAGATATAAAGTCTTTAAAAACTACTAAAGTTTTCGATTTTCTGAATTTTCCAAATAATATTCTTCAAAGTTCCTTTAAAAAATAAATAATTTAAATAATTACTCCTACCATATTCGGTAACGCCCCAGCCGCTAATCCAGGCGCTCATGGGCACGGTGTCGTACTGCTGATAGAGGCACGCGGGCCGTATTAACTCGCTGAATGTAACAGCGCTCGCAAGTTCGATTAAAGCTATATCTGCGTACATTGCGGGTGGTCTGTAATTCGGATGTCGTATCATATTCTTAATGTCAAAAGTAGCGCCGAATTGTTTATCCGTCAGTGTGAGGAAGCCTACTCGAACAATAGACGGACTGCCACTTTAAAGATAAAAAGAAAATCGATTTTTTTAGTCATCTCGTGAACAACTGATGGCTTTCACAATTCTTCACTCTTATGTTATTGAATTTAACAATATTTAGAAAGTTTTTTAATTTTTAAAAGTACTAGAAATAAATAAATTTAGTAGTAGTAGTAGTAATGGTAGCAAAGAAAATAATGCAAAAATAAAAAATAAATGTGTACTTTGGCCCATAAGTGCAATGTGCAGCAGAAAGTACCCAGGTGTGAGAAATCAGAGTGCCGCCGCATATTAGAATGAATGTTTCATCAGAGTTACGTTTTCCCAAAGCGACCATGTGAGGAAACTCGCCTTTCTTCGCCTCGGTACCTCCTATCACTAACTTGTTCTCATTGTAACAGACATTATTCACCTGAATCACGTCGAATGATGTGCCGACTAAAGGCATTATTTCAGTTATACCTACAATCTCCCTTACGTATTCGTCACATTCTGAAATTTATAATTATTATTTATTTATATAAAGATTCCATTATATTTCTTATAGATATATAAAGAATCCGCACAAAAGCTTTCTATTTACTTACTTTGTTCTGATATCGTCTTTACTGGGCCAATCTGGAAGGAAGACAGCAATGGACCGCTTGAGGTTGGAGGCTCAACTTTAATAGGAGAAATTATCAGATGAGATCTATCAGTGGTTGGTAGTGATGTGAGCGATGTTGGAGTAACTAATTCTGGTGCGTAAGTTGATTTGTGAGATGCTTGCGTGAAAGGTGCAGTAGAAGTAGTTTCAGTATTGATTCTTGGGTTAGTAAAGTTGAATAAAAAGGGATTATTACTGTTAAAAATAATATTTAAATTTATATTCTTGCGCGTCTGGTCAATACTTGCATTGCCAGGTTGGTTTTTGTTATCGAGAATTTGCAAGAATGGATTGCCAGATCGAGTTTTGCTATCGGGAATTTGCGAGAATAGATTGGTAGATTGGTTTTTGTTATCGGGGATATACAAGAATGGATTGCCGGCCTGGTTTGTGTTGTCAGGGATATGAAAGAATGGATTGCCGGTTTGATTTTTGTTATCAGGGATGCGCAAGAATGGATTGTTTTCAATACTACGACGATTTACAGATTTTTGAAAAAAAGGATAAGTCTCAATGCCTTGGCTAAGCGTAATTCTACTTGGATCTTTCTTCTTCTTCGAGCAACTATTACCTACAAAATGTTCAACATTTAATCGAACAGTTCATTGAGCTTTGTAACATAGAGTCATAAATGTCACTTTATCACCAATTATGATAACATTTAACAAGGCGATGCAATAATTTTACAAATAACGATTTTTTCTTTCTTCTTTAACAATAATATCAACAACAATATGATAGATTAATATAAAATAATATATATAATATTAATATATAATATATTTAACAATAATATAATAGCGCTTATATTGTCAAAAATAATGCACCTGAGGGTTTGCTACTAGCAGCCCAAATGAAAGATATGCCAAGAATCAGGAAGAATACGACCTGTCCGGAACGAAGATCCATCGTTGCAAAACAGAAGAGACGCACGAAGATATTGAATATTCAATGTTACAGCAACAAAGTTAAGCGGTCATACTAGTTCCGTCACTCCCTCTAAATTCTATGAAGGATAGAATAAAGAAGGAAAGTAAAAAAAAAGAAGAGACGGAGAGAGAGAACGCGTGCAGAATTCGAGTGGAGAGGGATATTTCAATAACACTCGGGTCGCGACTCTGTAACGAGATATCGAAGACATCAAGTCTTACAGTGTGAATTGCAGCTAGAATTGATAAAAGTGCGATTATCATATTATGAAATCTTTGGTACATTTTTTTATATTTGTGAAAATTTGATATTTTGCATCTGTGAACGCGTGGAACAATTGATACAACGATAATTTTACACATCGTTACGTATATGTTATTAATATTGTTGATCGCATCACACAAAATGTTTTTTGTAAAACCTTTGAAATATTCAAGTGTTTAATCACGTAAGTTTTTTGCGAAACATTTGTTTCACGTTGAAATAAGAAGAGGAAAAAACGAAAGGATACGCGCGAAAGGATGTCCTATACAAACAAACCTCAAGCGAGGATTGCTTGATCAGCATCCGATTAGTCAATTAAGAATCTCCGGTTCTGACGCAACAGTCCAAAGCGGTTAAACCAGTTGATTCTCGTAAAAATTGACGAGATAAGATGATACTATGCAGCAAACAGGAAAAAGACAGATTACTTCAGCATCACGTACCGCTATATAGTATAAAAATTGACGTACTTGTGTGAAGCAAGAGTAAAAAAAAAAAAATAAAAAATCGATAAATAACGTCACTGAAATAAAAGAATATTTTATAAATAGAAAAAAATAGAAAAACACACTGCGTAACATTCTTATCGTTTTATTATGTTAACAATTTACATTTTACATATATTTACATGGCACTCGCGTGATGTCGCAAAAATACTTCGGCTTGAAGAATTCCTGTCTCGTAAGCTCCGTGTGTTGTCGAGTAAAATTCGTCGTGCGTGGCTTCACCAGCAAACAGTATGACCGGTAAATTCTGCCATGTTTGAGAAAAAAATAATAATAATAAATCACAAAAACTTAAAAATAATTATATTGCAATGCTGTTTTTCTAATTGTAAAATTAAAACTCTTACCTTCTTTACACCATTCTGCAATTTAGTCGCCCAAACAGGTTCGGCTAGCGTTCCGGGAGAGACATTGTCTTGCTCGCAACTTTTTGTAATGTGACTATAACCACCTCTGACGTACTTGTTCCCGTACCACTTGGTTCTGACGCATTTTCTTACCGGTGGAATATCGCGATACCGCAAATGACGAGATAATAGATTCACACATTCTTGCGCAATCGTCTCTTCTGGCAAACTCTCAACAATACGCGCACCTTGTCCGCCGATCCACACCAGAAGAGTAGCCGGATGAGTTGGCAGAACGTCGAATCCCGTGAGATCTTTAGTCCATTCCGGCACGAACCGGTGGTCGGCATCCTTGTGCCAAAGAAGTTGAAAACCTTTAACGTCGGCCGGCCACCAAGGTTTGCCGAAGTCAAGAAAAATTTTATTAATCGTTCCGAAGCCGAGATCCTCGATGGCGACGCTCAGACGACCTGGTAAGAGCGGATAAAACATCTTCCAGTGATTTTCTTTTAAATAGCCGAGTGAGCAGGTGACTATAACGGCATCGGCAAGGATTCGCGTTTTCTCGGAAGTTATCACAGTAATCGGAGAATCTTCTCGAAAACCGGAAGAATCCTGCCAGTGAATGGCTTCTACGGGAGTGGACAGCCACACATTTTGCTTCTTAAGATTGTTGACGAGAAGGTTCGTCAGGGAACTGTAGCCAGACTTGAAAAGTAGATGTTCCGGCCCGCCGACATACTAAAGAAAAATTCATCGTCGTTGTTTTATTTCTCGATTCGTTAATTAGACGATTGAAATTGATAAATCAATTCAAAATTTACCTTGAAGTTTCCCCACAGCATCGCCGACAAGTCATCCAACGAGTGGCAACTGTTATCCACTATGAGAAACCGTTGGTTCCAATCAAAAATCTCTTTCATCATTTTCTTCGTTGAACAATCATTTTTTGTGCGCAAATATTCTTCAAACTTATTCTTAATGACAAAACCCACATTTTCGTGTTCCTTTGTGGGTCTCGGAGATTCGCACATATCATCACAGACCGTACGCACGAGATCGTCAATTTCGCGAACCAATCTCTCACTCATTACCGTTCCGTCTTCGCGCAAGAAAATTCCCTCACCGTCCACACCTTGAACGTCCGATAATAAATCATTTTCGAGACAGTATCGCGCGAGTCTACTCTTGTCACCGTGCAAGAATTGCGCGCCGCAATCTAGCCATCCGTTATCCCACGGGACAGAATGAATTCTTCCTCCAACTACGTCCTGAGCTGTATGTACAATTACGTAAATTACATAAAAAATTTGACAAATTACACGCTGGAGAGAGGAGAAAGATAGAACGGTGTATCCATACCTTCAAGAAGAAGGTAATCTGTAAATCCCGCGTTTTCCAGAGTTTTCGCCGCAGCCAATCCTGCGATTCCTGCGCCTACTATGACGATTTTTGTTTTTTCTGTTTTCCTCGCATCAATCTTTGTGCGTATTGTTTCGTCGAAATTGTTAACCAGCTGATCTAAGCGACCGCGCGTTCTACATCATCCGAAGCAGTTTGTCTATTAAATATCAAGTGGGCCATTGTTTGCTCTTTTTTCTACTCTAATAAAACTATATTTGTATTTCCGGTCAATGCTAATTGAAATCACACACAAAAACGCACAACTATTAAGTAATAATAATAATAATAATACAATAATAATGAAAATATAAATTATCTGTGTGTAAGAAATGATAACATAAATATGTGTACCTCAGAAGCTATATATATGTATATATTTTTCGATTTTTTTACAATATTAAGAAATTTACATTTTGTATGTGTACAATATATTTAAAATACAATTTATCTGTGTTACGTGTTTTACACACGTACAAGTAATTACGGCAGTCATCTGTGAAACATTCGCTCGTCGCGAATATAATTGCAAGTAGCAGACTTATTTTATAGTTCCTATAACCCATTCGCATTACGAGGATGCAGTTAGAGGTGCGAGTTTAACTGCCTGAGAAAAATCATGCATTCAATATGAATATACATTCAATATAAAAACAAAACGAAGCTATCAGATCAGACATAAATTTGACGAAAGCAAGTATTAAATGGCAAAGAAAAAATCTCTAGCTTAACATGCGAAGTAAAGAGTTCAATCGAATTATTGAACGCAGATGACGCGAATAATAACGTGACGACGCGATGCAACGTGAAGTCAAGCAATAATAAGAGAAAAAATTATTAATTAAAACATGCAAAAACAAACATTTTGACAAAACTTTTTTTTTCAGAAAATTATATGCAGTTCGGTGAAATACGAAATAATTACTAAAACAGACATCGTTGCATTAATAAGCTTTAAATGACATGTCAAAAATAATAATTATTTTACCTGTCAAAGTCGATTAATCGATCCGCTTCACGGAAACCAGTTTCTACCGCGCCATGCACAGTGGAATAATAATAACTGTGTGTGGCTTCTCCAGCAAAAAGAATTACCTAATATCGTAATTATATCGTTACCACAAAAATATCTTGCAATACGGAAAATTATTAATAACTTACGTAGGAAAAACACGCAAGAATATATGGTAAAAATAAATCGGGAATGAAAGTATTTGAAATGTTATTGAAGAGAAACAAATAAATGATGTGAGAAAAAGATGAGAGAAATTAAAGCAATGTATGTCAGATATTTGTATACGATTTCTTCACACGTTAATAATTCAAAAAAGTGTAACATGCTTACAGGTTTAATTCCGTCCATCATGACGGGCTCAGCCAAATCTTTCGGTTTTACATTCATTTGTTGGGAAACCATGCTCTGGAAGGTATACGAGCCACGAAAATGTTCATTTGTGTACCATTTGGATCTAATAGTAGAAATTATTAGAACCACAAAGTGATTTTTTATAACAAAAATACCTCAAATAATGATAATACCTCAAAATTCTTGTTGGTTTCACAACATCATAATGTCTTCCGAGTGTTCGTTTTAACAATAAATACAATCCATCAAACACGTCAACGTCTGACAAAGTTTCCATGTGTCTCGCATTTTTTCCGACTATCCATGCGCACAAGAGATTTGGCTGATAAGCTACAGTGAAAAACGAGAACACATCGCAGAGCCATTCACTACTCTAAACACGTATAGAGGAAGTTCTTAAATACAAAAAGTACCGACGTTGGATAAATTTAGATGAAAATTAGAACGTTTACATACTTTTCCATGAGTTTGTAAGAACTCTTTTTTATCTTCTTCCGGCCAGATAATGTCGAAGGCGGCGAGATCTTCTCGCCACCATCTGTCCGAAAATTCAAGAAAAATCTTATTTGCCGTTCCAAGTTGTAATCCCTACGAGAAAACAAAATTATTAATTAATATCGTGATCGTTTGGTACGTATAAATTTTTATCCGTACTTCTATCGCGCGTTGTTTCTCTTCCGGCAAAGATGGCACGAACATCGTAGAATGCTTTTCCTTCAGAACACCCAGAGATGCAGTGAATATAACATGTGACGCAGAATATTCACATCCATCTCTAGTGGTCACTGTAACGTTTTCACTGGAACTGTAGTCGACGGTCGTCACGACTTTTCCAAATTCTATTTTCTGCATCACTGGCAAGCAATTTTCCGAATTTGGAATTTTGTGCTGAATATTAAAAATACAAGAAAAATTTTATAAGAAACATTTTATAAAAATGTACTTTAATTTTAAATTGTTTCATCGTTAATTAAAAAAATTTTACTTTATACAATGTAAAAAAGATCAAGTATAAATTTATTACCAATAGTAGATCAAAGAGCGTTTTGAAACCACGATCCTTCCAATTCAATCCAGGATTACCTTCGCACTCTCGATATTCCGTTAAGCGTTTTGCGGAAACATCGAACCACGTATCGCTGCATTCTATCGAGTTCTCCATTTTTTCCATCCAAGATAAATATTCGGCCGCACGAAGTTTATTTGTAAACTTGTTCTTATCAAAGATCTCGTAATATCTGCAACATTAACATCAACGATATTAATTATCAACTACAGGAAAGAAAAATAATAAGAGCCATATGTAGTTCTCATAATTGAATGCGGAGAAATTCTGAGATACACAATCTGTACAATTTATATATTTGTTAAATTGTTAGATATTAATTTTTATAATCGTGACATATGTTTAATATTTGAATGCACGTAAAAATTCTGTCTAATAATTAATTTGAGTCGAAACATTTCTTTGTCTCTTTTCATACGATTCAAACTGTAAGCGCGTAGAAATCAAGTGTGAATCATCATCACCTTGAAATGCCACCAGTAGTGGGGAAATATTTCACTGACACAACGACATATGGCAGTCATTCTGCGTCAGGAAACATGTTTTTATAAGTTGTCACTCAGTTTGTATTTTTGTATTAAATATATTTATACAAACGATTATACAAATATGTATTTACATTGCATCTAGAATCTGTTGCAACATCAAATCTCTCTCTTAAAAATGAAACAATATCATTCTGATCACATGTGAAGATTATTGTTACAAAACCTCACAAAATGATTGCAAACAGGTAATATACTGCTTTTGTAATTAGTCGTTATATTTTCAGAGATTTGCACGATTTTGCATGCGTTATAAAAAAAAATGTTAAAATCTTGCTCCAAAGAAAATACACATGAAGTAGAATATAAACATATTTAACAAGAAAATAATTTCAGAAAGATAAATCCAGAACTGGAGAAGCTAAGGAACGAAGTGGACAGACCACCTAACTTAGACACGGTTATCTTAAATATTCAGAAAGAATCATCGCGAATTCACGCTGCATATTTATTTGAGCATATTGGCAAAGCTACGCTGCAGAAACTATGTTTGTCATTGAGTTCTACAGCAACCGGGAAAATCTACAACGGATGGCAAGAATTCGCAGCACATGTGGGTCTAACAATGGAACAAATACGTGTAAGAGTATTAAAAACCAGATTTGTGTGAGATAATTACATTTTTTACTTAAATCAATTTATAACGGCATTTTACTGCCTTAGTGCATAGATTACGATTTCAAGGGGCTCCAAGATCCCACGTATTACGTGCTGCTAACTTATGTGCAGTCCCCGGAAGCAACAATGGATAAAATTTTCAAAGCTTTGCAAAAAATGCAACGTTTTGATGTGATAAATCAGATCAAGGACTGTGTGCACAATCTGATTAATGTTGTATCACAAAATACCACCGACAATGGTTAAGTAAAAATGGCTTCTTTAAAAGTACAAAAAAGCAAAAAATAGGATATAGAATTACATTTTTAATTATATTAAAATTTATTTTTAATGCACGTGCGCGTTTAGAATTTGAAGTGATTCAGCCTGAACATGTGCCAAAAGCGCCACTAGTTCTGAGTCCTATTGTGACAGAGAAATTTGAAGTCAGAAATCAGGAAGAAATCAAATCGAGATGCACACCACAAGATAATCAGCACAAGGTTGTCTGTGACACTTTTTACACGTTCCTGAAAAACTTACTAACACAAAGTTCTAAATCTTTTACATAATGAATGCGTAAGATGTGATTAAATTTCGTTATTATTTTGTTATTATTAGCAGCATACTAAACAAACGTACGGTTGCGTAGTTATGTTGACTTTTGCCGATGACGGTTTACCAACCGCAGAACGCATTACGAAGATATTCAGATCCAAACAACCGCGAATTGGTGTGCTGATATTGCAAGAGCAAGAGAAAGGTGTTTACAGTCGAGCCGAAGAATTTATAGACGATTGCTTTAAGCAGGTAACTTGATTTCTTACTGAAGGCGTTTTCTCAACTAATGTAGTATTATAAATTTGTCACAAATTGTTTTTACCTCAAATTAAGATTATAATTTAATTTTATTGAAAGGTGGATTATGTTATACCAATATTAACAAAAGGATACATAGAAAAGATCAATAATCCTGTAAAATGGCATGAGATATCTAACAATCTGGACGTAAAGTATCTAAAATATATATATTCTTTGTTGAGATATGAATATGTGAGAAACCAATGTTGCAATAATCGTGTGAGGTGCGTATAGATAAGTTTATTTTAACATTGAAATAGTAGATAATCAGTAATCGATAAATTTTTGATAGAATTATTTATTTTTTTGTCTACTATCTCTTGTTCCAAACGTAACGCAAATAAATTTCTTGATCTTTCTTTTTTATCAGATGTATTGTACCTGATAAGGATATTTACACGGTTGCCTGGGCAAGTCTACATCCCACATTACAAGCATGGTTTCGCGAAAGTGATCTCGACAGTTTCATAAACAATATTCTTTTTCGCAAATTTTAATTTTAAGAAAAAACAATTCTCACACACTAATAAAGTTATGTTCACACACTTGATAGGTATGTTGACTACAAAAAATCTTGTTTATCTCTTAAATTGTGTCTCCTAATTAACTCCCAGTAACCAATAAATCATTACTATTTTAAATTAAAAATAAACTTACTTCTTTATATAGTAGTTTCCAAAAGATCCTGTTTCTTGTTCGAGTTCTTCATGAGACTCATCTAAGATGTTGAAATACACCATCAGAGCCTCTGTGCTTTCATCTTTAGGCTGCAGTTCACCATTACTGGTAACAAAGTCATGATTGTTAAAATCAAGCAGGTTAAATGTATCTAAAAGACCATGTTTAGAGGCAAGCTCGAACACTATATTCCCCGATTCACCATGAACCCACTGAGCTCCAAGATCCACCACATTTTTACCTGGAAAAATAAAAAAACTATTCAGATTCAAAATTCTCTCACAAATACTTCTACAAATCCAAGCAATTTAAAAATTATTTTACCAAAATTTTCTGTACATATTCTGCCACCAATTTTATCACTAGCTTCTAATATCACAAAATTTTGTTCCCCATTTTCTAATAATCTGCAGGCAGCTGCAATACCAGCTGCACCTGCTCCTATGATTAAAATTTTTGTGTTCTTTAACATATTGCACACTGTTAACAGCTTCACTGCACAGAGTCACAGAATCACAGAGAAATGTTTTCCAAGTTGCCCTGTAGAGCTGCGAACATAAATAGCTCTTAAATGAGCTGAAATTGACTGACGTATGTAGATAGATATATATATATATATATATTTGTCAATTGGCTTAAGCTGATAATCTTCTGTCAGATCAAGAAGATAAATTACAACATTATCACAAGTTTGAAATAAGATATCATCATTATGTTGCAATCCTCTTTTGACACCTTTTGTTGAACTACATACTAGAACGTTTTTTAACGTACACAAAGTGATATGTATTCGTAATTATAATTTAAATAAAAACTATATGAATAAACTTTACATTTAATTGTTCTTGTAGATTTAACAATAATCAAGTATATTTATCAAGTATATTACCAAGTTATTTATTAAACAATAGTGTATTCTTCAATTTTCACTAACCTGATTGATTTTAGTATGTCAGGAAAATATGTCATCAAAAGTTGTTGCACGCGTTCAACGCTCTTATCTACGTTCTTACCAAGAAATCTCTTGGAATGTCGAGATATCTACATATGGGGATGATTGTATAAGAAAAACGTGCTGTTACTTGATAAGAGTAACCTAAATGCTGAATGATAAGAATTCAAGGTGTGGCGACTGCGCTATAACAATTTGTTCCGAGAACGTTTACGCTAAATTGGCTGTAGAAAATATTATATCACAACAAATTTGTGCTTTCACATAGTATCCATTCTTCGAAAATCGCGAGTCGCCACGTGCTTACGCACAGCTGATCGAAAGAAGTTCGTCGTATATTGCTGTCTTGCGCATAGAAGCATACACTGTAGTTTTATCTGTGCGCAGTAGCAACCAAAAACGCTTGTCACTTTGAATCACGTATGACCTTTAAATGTTTGAATGACTTTCACTTCTTTTTCGTATTGTGGGTGCGTTCGCTTTGGACGCTTATGCGCTTTAAGCGTCAGTCCGTCTTTATTGTTCTTTAAAACAGACAGACTGACACTGGAAGAGCGTAAGCGCCCAAGACGAACGGCACCTTATGTCGTCAAGGTAAGATTTTATACTTCGAAAAAGAAAAAAGATTTTTTACTTCTAAAACTAGACGCGTGTTATATATATATTCGATTCGAGACAAGAATAAAAGAATTTCAGAACAAAAGCAAACTCAAAATGAATAAAAGGCAAAGTGCGCATTGTTCAAGGTGTAACAAACTATAAAAAAAAAGCGTGTATCGACGATCACATTATACTTCCCCCCTTTCTCCCTCTTCTAGTCCGTGATCATCTTGATTTTTTTCATAACCTTTCGCATTACGTTAAATTAACAAGTGTAATGTACATATTACAAACATTTAATTGATCTAAATTTTATCAGCGAGAATCTCACACGCAGTTGGAATTTTGTTTTTGTCGTATTAAAATGTCTTTGCCAAAATTAACACGGACGTTACGTCAACGCAAAACGTAAGTGTATCTTTTCGAAGCTTTGCTAATTATTAGAATTACGCTACGGTGAAAAAAAAAAACGATTGTATATTTTACATGATTTATTTATTACGAAAGATTGACGAAGACGGAATCAAGATCGAAGCCGTTCGGATTTTGTTGTTCCGTGGGACGCTTCGATCCTCTCGCGCGTTACGATCAACGTTCGTCGCCGTACAAATCGTCGCTCCCGGCGATAACTTCCGTGCACGAATGTCCGGTGTCGAAGATGCGAGTGCAATTTCACGCGTTATCCCGATCTGGCCGAAACAAGGGAAGACCGATAAGGATCAAACCGCCGGAGACAGGAGATCAACAGCGATCCAACAAGATCGCCAGATTAATGTATATGAATAAGATCGATAACGGAAGTCGTAACACAATGAGATGGTATTTAGAAGACGAGATCGCTCTGGCGAATGATCTCGTCTGGCGAGAAAAACAACAATTGCGCAAAGAGAAAGGCGATAAGGCGACGATCACCGCAAAAAAGAAGTGTGAGTTCTCTGAAGTATAAAAGTCATTTGTCAAAAGGTCAATCAGTAGAATAATTAATAAGTGAAACGTTTCAGTAAAATTTTACTTCCCATAGACAGAAGCAGATTAAAGAATTCGATGATCATGAAGTGTCCGCGATGGTACCAAGAACTTTCTTTGAACCAAGTAATGATGTAAAATTGAACAACTGTAAAAAAGTTTATATTTTATTTTAACAAAAATTTAAATTTAATGCTTCACATATGTAATTGATGTAAAAATTACGTATTTGTAGATGAAGAATTTAGCGAACCTTGAAGATGTAATGCGCGCCGATTACGAAATGATGACGACAAGCGGCACGCAAACGACACTTGCGGCTATCGGTGTCACTTCGACATTATTCAGATTGAAACCGGATGTTATAAAACAATTGTACGAGTCGTGCGATTGCAATACCGTTGATTTCTTGCGAGAGGTTTACAAGATCTTAACGGGAAATGATCTCTTCGAGGAAGAATATAGTAATTTTCGATATATTGTATAAATATGTAGGAAATCAATTATTTGTGATTGTTCGTAATTGTATAGAATTGTTTCATTCGTAGAAAAATTTTATGATTGCAACGAGAGGATAATACTATCGGGTATCGCATTGTTGACATTGCCTGAAACGATAAAGGAATTGCATAAAAGACTGCCGGCAATAACTGCGCCGAAATTGCCACCAAAACGTAAAATTATCGTTAAATATTTATTTATTTAATTTAAAAAAAAAAGTAAATACTAAACTCGCAAATCGTCTTTTAGCAAAACCACCAACTTGTCCGACCAGACGGAAAAGCAGTTGTCCTTATAAGGAAGAATTATTCAAGTGTCCCAATTGGATCGTTTATCGAGACGCTTTGCAAAGATGGGAGAAACAACGCCAACTACTTGCAAAAATGATTTCACCATTCAAGGAATACGAAAAGTACTGTGCTAATAATAAAATATCGCTGATTAAACAACGAAGGGAAGAACTTCATGAAAAATTTCACAAGATGTCATCCAAAGTTGATGAGAAAAGTAATTACATTAAATAAAAAAAGAAATAAGTATATTTATTATAATAAATACAAAATAAACACATTTATTGAATTACTGATTTACAGTTATAAAAAGTGATGCGGAAGTACAACACGAAGATGACAGTGTTTTACGAAAAGACATTATAGAAGCGAAAAACCCAACAACTTTCGATGTTCTTTCTTCATCAGAAGACGATAAACAATACAGTTACATAAATGATGCAATCGGTGGAAAGTCAGAAGTCATGGAATACAAAGTTGATGGTATACTCCTGTCGCTTAAAAACAAGAGCCTCTTACTGAAGCCTCAATCGATATTGAATAATACAATAGACTATATAACAAAATATTAAAAATACTTTAGACGCTCCGAAATCATCCAAAGAGAAAGAGAAGTCCTGGTTAGGCGAGAAAGATACTCACTACGTGACAGCCGGTGTGTCCGAAGGTTTACCGAATCAAATAACTTACGAAATCGCCGGAGTAGCCAAAGTAACGCCTAGTAACAGTGACGAGAGTTTTTTTGCTGCGCTGAAGCTCGATAAACCTCAGACAGTCTTTCTCAAAGGCAGAGAGAATCTGTCCAGGCGTTGGCAGGAGTGGCTGTTAAATATTGATGAGGAGTACAGCCAGATGGAGGAAAAAGCTGACGAGTTGATTGAGAGCATGCAGGCCATTAAGAAGCTAGCATTTCCTGGACCCGTGTGCGATAGTTGCTGTCCATGTCGACAAACCAGGAAAACTCGCGAAAAATGGCGACAAACTAAAACGCCATACCTGCTGATCAACAATGTGATGCAGAATGGAGAGAAAAAGTGAGCAACAGTTTTTATAACAATTAATAATAATTTAGCGAGAAGTTTAATTATACTGTTTAACATACTCAATCATAAATACTATTTTTTTTCTGCTCGCGCACGTGTATTTATAAAATTCTGATATTTCTCGTGAAAATTAAGTCTTGAGACTGTAATATAATTTTCTAATTTGATACAAAGATGTTGTTTGTGACAGATATGTCCTAGGATCGACGGTAATGCACTCACCCGGACCAAGTCTAACAGGATCGCCGATCAATTTACTGAAAACGGGTGCATCGCGAGATGAAATGAGATTTCGTAATCTTCCACCTTTGCCAGTTATAAACATTCCACCTTGTGCGTGCGCCATTCAGCAAATGACCAATAAGGACGCGAGCTCTTCCGCAAGTAAGGACGATATTTCTTGGACAAAAGACGAAGGATTGTGTCCTGGGAAAAAATACAGACCATACGAATCAGGCGCATATTCCTGCAAAACATATCCTGGCAACAAATCCTGCAGACGTAATCCTTTCATAAATGAAGTGATGAGAATGAGGAAGAAAAAACTTGAAAAGAAGGAATTGAAAAATATCAAGTCGTCCGCCGGAGTTTTGAGTGACATTCCCGCGAGCCCTGCAAAAGAATTGCTGTCGACTGATCAATATAATTTAGAAAAAAAGATTGAAACAGCCGAAATGGCAGTTAGTCTCACAGGACAATTGTGCCAATGTAATTACAAAAAGAAGATCTCAGTGTACAATGTGAGTGGTATAGTGTTGAGGAAAAGCGATGAAAGAACAGTTGACGAAACAAGATTGGAAGAAGTGGACAGGATCATCGGCGGTGTCGTTTATTTTACGCCACCCGTCAGTCCCCAAAGAAGTGACGAGCTTATCGAATCGCCATACAACATATGTATTGGCAAGAGGACAGGCAAAGTATTGAAGAAAAAACGCAAGTTATGTGGTTGTAAAAACGGGAGAGATACCGATCAAAAGAAAGACATTGAAGAAGCTGGACGGAAGTTGATGGATGGCAAATCGCCGGAGGAGAGATGGAAGATAGCGTTGGAAGATGCAGCACTGAAGGAGTATTTTACGCAGCGCAAATACGTTCCTTGCTGGACGTCTTGTAAGAAATTAAATAAAAGTCTCAGAAACTCTAGAAATCCTAGATTGATGAGTGATGTGAAAGACAACTCGCATCGTCATTGGTCACCGACGAATCCGAGTCCTTTGTCGAGAAAAGACGCTTTAGAGAAAGAAAAGAAACAAAAGGAGAAAATCGGAAATGAAATCTTCAAGCTGAGTCACGAAAATAGAAATAAACAGAACGCGATCTCTTCGATGCAGCCCACTTACCAGGAAGCACACAACGAGAAGAAACAATTGATGAGAGTTGAAAAAGACCAAGAATCAGGAAAAAGTCACACTAATGTGAAGAACAAAATGTTCAAATTCAAACGTTTGAACAAAACGATCAGTAACAAGAGGAAATATCAGGAAGAAGATAAAATTATTGACAAAACAAAACAATATTCTAAAGAAAATATTGTCGAAATTAAATATCGGCAAAATACGTCACACAAACAAATTACCGATAAGGCGGGAGAGGAAATAAATAATAGGATAAGCCACCAGATAAGTTACGATAGTGATAAAAAATATACAGATAAGGATCTTATGGCAATACTGAAGGTACTTCCATCAATCTTGTCTAATAATTTCTGAGAAGTACATAATATCAATCTATCAATAAATAAATATGATATCAGTATATAAATAAATATATATATATTTATTGAATGAAATTTCTCTGTATATACAATTTAAAAATGTATAACTTATCAGGCTGAACTAAAAGCAATGGCCGCGGAAGGCTATGTATTTGCAAAGTTACCGAAGTGCTATTTGCTGCCACAATTTCGGGACTGGATAGTGTATAGGAAGGGTGTTGTTTTCTCAGAAACCGATAAAGGTGCTCGTGAATTAAGATATTTTCTAACGTTAATTGCTTCCTATCTTTCCTTTACATATCTTTATTATTATTATTATTTTTTTTAAATATTTTGTCAGAAACAATGAAGCACGCAGTCCGTGATACTTGGGAGTTGATGGATACAACGGGAATAACACATGTGCCGATCATTAAAGCACCGTCACTGCATATGACGAAGCATCAGCTGAGGCAACTGACTTATGACCACTTTGAGAAGATGAAAAGGATGGTATATCGATTCTATATTTTTAATATACGATATTCAAAGTCACAAAAAAATATGAATCTTTTTTCATTAAATAATTTAACAAAAGTGACAAATTATTAATATTTGACGCAGATTGAGAAAAAAAGAGCGATCTTTCAAAGTGAGGCGCGTAAAGCGCGCGTTTTTTACGCTCGTGTCATGTGGAACACCATGGAAGCTGGAAAATTTTCTTCGTTGTCATTCAAGAGAGCCTTTTTCACATACATGGCCGGTAAAGAGGCCGATGGACTCGTTTACAAACCGTGGATGATTTTCGAAGTTCGCGCACGAGATCCCTATTTCTGCTGTTAGTAGCGGAAATAATAAAATTCTTGGATCTTTTAATGCTAGCTTTTAATAATTGTAAGTAATATCTTAATTATTGCATTCTTGCTTATAGATTTGAATTGAGCGCGACTAGCAATGTTTATATCACGTGAGTGATTTCGTCACCGTAGCGTTTTGACACTCACCGGAGTACGTTCCACAAAATCCTACCTTGGTTACTAAAATGCTATATTTTACGTCACGTGTACTATAGTTTTCGATTATCAAGGTAAGATTTTGGAACGTACTTCTGCTGGTATTAAAAATCTACAGTTCACGTCACATATAAATGTAGATTTGTAGTAGTAATGGCAGTGAATATCGGAACGCAGATTAGCGTCTCCCACTAGAGTGGATTTAGTCGCTTTTGGAGATTAAACTCGGTAAATCAAGCAACGTACGATTGGTCGATTTAATTTAACTGATGCTTGATTGTCGACTGGAACTGAGCAATTTGCTCTCGTCAGAAACGCATTATAAATATTGTTCAAATGGTAGTAAATATGACAGTAGGTTTGAACGTGTCTGTACATGTCGACACGACGTGCGGAGATACAGTCATTTCATAACATCAAACGAATCGTATTTGCTTATTCATTAACTTGTATTTCGTTTAGATCGACTGCTATGAGAATATAAAATTTACATATGTGCATGTTATTAACGTTTTTATTAGCGTTCCGATCGAAAACTGCAAATCATTCAGATTCAAGTGGTAAATCACTCTGTATTTCTAAACTTAAACAATTATTTTAAAACATTGCTTTGAAGTATGGCTGGAGCAAAAAAAGCACTTAGTGGTTTCTCAAAAGTGTATCTGGCGTTGTATAATCTCGTACAGACTTTGGGGTATGTCAGTTTTTGTTTGTATGATAGATATATAAGAAAATAAAATGAAATTAACACAAAAACTTGAAATTGAGTCTTACTAAATTCTTAAATATTATAATTTTATTTCAGATGGAGTTATATATTATATAATTTAATATTACATTATGTGGATTCTTCCTCTACTGGCTCATTATGGGAAAAAGAGAAATTATTTCTCAATATATTTCAGAATGGAGCTGTTTTAGAGGTATTTATTCATTGCCTTCAAAAGCTGAGTAATGTTTTTTAAATCTATTATCACAAGCAAAACTAACTCTGAGATTTAAAATGTTGTAAATATTGTAAATATATAATATCAAAGTTTATTAAATATTGTTTTTAGATAGTACACGCATCAGTTGGGCTGGTATCATCAAATATAATACTTACAACATTTCAAGTTTTTAGTCGCGTGATGGTTGTAATTGGTGTTCTCCAAGCTACTCCTTACACCTACGCTGTTGCCTCTCCAGGATTTCCATTAGCCATTCTGGCGTGGTCTATTACAGAAATTATTAGATATTTTTATTACTTTGCCAACATTGTTGGTTTTGTTCCTTATATAGTAGTCTGGCTCAGGTAAATAGTCCTCAAATCTCAAATTTGAATTCTTTGATTTAAGATATAAGTACATCACTAATTATTTTACATGATAAATGTGTGTTTTCAGATATACCACATTTATCATACTGTATCCAATTGGTGTAACTGGTGAATTATTGTGCTTTTATGCTGCTGTGATGTATGCCAGCGCTAATCCCACTGCATGGAGCTATGCTCTACCTAACTCAATGAATTTCACTTTCAGTTACTTGTATCTCTTGATAATAGTCATGGTAGCTTACATTCCACGTAAGTATTAAAATAAACAGACGTATTAGCACTGGTAAATCATATACATTATTTATTCATATTTCTCTTTTTTTTTTTTTTTACAGTTTTTCCTCAACTTTACTTGCACATGTTCGCACAAAGACGCAAAATGCTCAATCCTAGCAGTGCGACGAAGAAGATTAATTAATTATTACAGTTAATTTGTTACAGTTTATTCATACACTTACAAGTATTTTTGGCAGTAACAAAAGATTTTCTTAAATCTATAAATTCGGCCCTTATACAAAGATTAAAATTAAAACTATTTTTGTTATATAAACCTGTGAATCCTAACTCACACATATACTAAGCTTATTAATAATTCAATTCATTTAATTGTTTTTGTTATAAAAATGTCTTCAAAAACACTATTCGTGTACTTGAAATTATGATCAATTATTTTTTATATCCGTCCGTAAAATTGAAGAAAGATATGCAAACCATAAAGGTGATCCTTAGGTGATCTATAAATTCTTTTTTTGTTATGTCTGCTAATTATGCCATGTGTATGTATACGATATATATACTATAAAATTGGGGATTTGTATTCTATGAAGGATATTTTTATAATGCCTTTTAATATATATATAATAAAACTAAAAATTTGTATTGAATATATGTGTAAATACATACTCAGATACATACATACATATAGTTGGTCTGATAAATAATATCGGACTGATGCTTTCACAGCGTCGAGAGCGATAAGATAATGACGTGAAACAATTTTTGAAGCTCTGATCTTGGAATTGCATTTTTGTCACGAATACTTTGTTTCAATATCATCGTATTGCGTCCTTTTTATCGGTTCTTTTTATTTTCAGTTTTGGAAAGAAAGAACAAGATAATCGCACTAAATTTTGAAGAATAAAGTGAATGATGCGGAGTACAGCCTCGACCGTTCATATTACTCAAATGTTTGAGTGCGGAATATACAATTATCGCCGTTTTACCTTAAAAAACGTTTAAACTTACCTTAACATTGAAGGGATTGCATGACCAAGCTTCAAACAACATTCGATATTTACTCTTAGCGTCATCGTGTTTTTGTGACAATCAAACTACTGCCATTCACAAAAAAAAGAAAAAGAAAAACAGTTTTGTACGGTCAGCAAAAAAACTTTGCTGAATCTACTAAACGTTTTTTGTCGACAAAAACGTTTTATTGCCAGAATACAAACTTTAATAGGCTAAGCTGGCTAATCGTCTAATTTTGTTGAAATTTTAATAGTTTTAAGTGAGTTATAAAAAAGATAATAAAAAATTTCAAATTTCTTTATACCACTATTTTGATTCTTCTACTTTTTACAAAAAATTTCAGTTGTTCAACAAATTTTTAAGTATTTAAGTAAAATTTCTATATTATCGACACAATATATAAACCTATAGGAAACTCGAAAGATTCAAGAATACAAGTATGTGTTTTATTGATATTTCTATAGTTTTCACGTACTAACTTAAAAAGTAATTTTATTTTTTCCACATAAATGTAGCAATATAATACATCGAGCACTAATGTTTAGTTTTAGATACTATATGTTGAATAATTGTGTCCAATAGTAAAACAAAACCGTATTTCCTATGACAATCATAACCTTTTCTTTTCTTCTACTTGATTTTAGAGAATAACACAATATCTATTTTAATGTGTTTTAGATAAAAAAAAAAAAAACAATGAAGATCACACAGATACTATACAAGCAACATTTAGGTAGGCTGATTAGATCGATATGGCATGCAAAACGAGAACGCAAAATAGTGCCTACAAAAACAGAAGAGCATTTGAAAAAATTGGGAATTACAATAAAAGATCCTATAGAAGTACTTCCAGCAAAAGAAAAACAGAGGTATCTTTTTTAAATTTTATTGTTTATTATTAGTTAAATGTTTATTAGTTAAATCTTATATCAATATTGATTATGAGTTACTTTTAGTGACAGAATTGAGATAAGTAAGGATATGTTCCTAAATCCGAAAATAGTATTTGATAACACCCATCCTGAGTGGAAGGCCAATTCCTGTCTGATATTTAAGGATCATAATGTCTTGCAAGAAGGAGTTCGGCAAGCACAGTTATTAACAAATACTATACTTCTGCCAGATAACTCGTTCAGTTATATCACAGATTTACAACCAGATTTACCAGATTATGTAGATGATATAGTTAAAAGGTACATTAAATTTAATTCTTTTGATTCTATGTTTCTGAATATGTTTTATATTTTTGTGACATTTCAGAATAATTTATACTTCAAGCATATTTGATGCTCATCAAGAACCACTACCGAAGAGAAAGGATCTCGAGAGGCCTGCATGGGTGTTTCCCAAAGATTATGGCATAACTAATTGCAGAAAAATGTTAGTAAGTTAAGAATAAAATGTTATCTGAAAATGTGCAACACAAAGATATTTACAAATTAATTTCATTATTTTATCATTCTCTTTTCGACTACTTATTGTTTTGTCACAGGCGGAATCTATCTAGAAAACTCTTACAACTCTGTGAATCCCTAGCTGGACCGGATATTTGTCAAAAACGATGTGTTTTATTTGATGGTATTACACAATTGAACTTAGGTAACTTGATGATATATTTGAAGTATATTAGATATCATGTGTGATTATTTATTGTTACTTAAATAAAATTTGTAGAAAGAGAATCAGAACTCATCCAGTTCACTTTGAGATCAGACGTGGCGGTCATGTCCTCGAGTCCTTTAAAAGCGCTAGAAAGTTCAAATTATACAGAGATAGAGCTGCCGAACATTTATCCGATACACTATATGATCGGCTTAGATAAGACAAACTTCTACAAAATCGAGGATATATATCGTAAGTGGAAGAATTTTGCTCAATCAATATGTGCATATTTATTTTAATAAAAACTACAAATATTGTCATCCGATAACAGCTGTTGGCGCAACGTCACCTTGGATAAACGTTCATACCATTTTCGTGCACTACGATCCTACGGAAGTAAAAAATCTGACGGAGTTGCCCGTGACGGAGGATCAGATTATCAGTCGCAGCATGATAAAGTCATACACCGCAGCGGCGTTTTGCGCGCGTCAAAAATTCGGCATGTCCGTGAAAAAATTACCGGAACCCGTGACGGTGCAGTGCATTCAATCGGACGGAAAGAACTATCACTTCTTTGTGTATCAACTTAATTCGTTGGACATCAATGACACGAGCACAAAGAATTTTTGGTGCTCTCTTCCGCCGTTAACGCTCTACGAGAAAGCTCAGTATGATAGCGGCATACCTGTGCTCGAGGGTTACAACACGGAAGTGTTCAAGAGGATATTCGCGTTTTACAAGAACGGAAGTTGAATAAAATCTGCTAAGTAAAATGTGAAGTTTTTTTATTTTATACAACTGTACGAAGAAATATATACATATATATTATCTACATATTATCGTTAAACATCATCATAGGATGCTTAGAAGATTTTCAAACAGCGTGGTTGGTTGCACGTTCGGATTGATTTCTTTCGGTCTTACGCGAAGACGATGATCCTGCGGTGGTTTGATCAGACTCATTGTTGACGGATACGGTCTGGAGTAAAAGTACTTGTGACACAACGCCTGTAACAATTTTTTTTATTACATTCACGCATATACAGACATACATATACATACGAAAGAAAAAACAATTGTGTGTTACCTGTTTAGCTGTAAGACGTTTTGACGAATTGTAAATCAAGATCTGTCTAATCAAATCGATAGCCTCCGGTTGTGCATCTTGAATGATATTTTCCCACGTCGCAGCTTTGTGATACGGAAAGGTAATTTTGTTGTAATCCGGCAATGCGGTCAATTCCGGCCACGATTCGGATGTGGGTGATCCCAAATGCCTCAGAACTATCGCCAGTTGTTCAATGTCGGTTTCACCCTGTAATGACATACATAAAATATTGATGCATAGTTGGTTTGACTCTGTTCTTTGGTTTAAAAAACATGCTTACAGGAAATAACGGAGAAGTGTTCAACATCTCGCCGAATATGCAACCGATCGACCACATATCGATGGATGACGTGTAATATCGAGCACCGTAAAGCAATTCCGGCGCTCGGTACCATCGTGTCGCAACTTGATGCGAATACGGCTTCGTGCTGTCCGTCCACATCAACCTGCTCAAGCCGAAATCCGCAATTTTCAAGATACCCTTATCGCTGATCAGTAAATTTGCAGGCTTCAGATCCTAAAAAATCGATTCCGAAGTTGTGAACATTCGAGAGATATCTATCCGATTAAGAGATGATACCATATTCGAGTGGTGATGTGTACCCTGTGTATTATATTTTTTCCATGTACATACGCTATACCTTCCAGCAACATCTTTATATACGTTTTAATTTGCACCGGTGTTAACGATATGTCGGTATCTCTCAATATTTCCCACAAGCCTGTCGGCGTGTATTCGAATACCATCACAAAGTCCAACCCGTTCGGAAAAGCATCCAGCAATTCAACGACCTGTGAACAAGCAGCATGTAAGTTTCAGTAAATCGATGTAAAAAAAGAAAAAGTTTAGATACACACTGAAATTTAAATTCTTTTTAGGAAAATTTGAGGAAGTGAAAAAAAAAACGTACGTAAGGATGTTTAAGCTGTTGTAAACTTTTCACTTCGCGTATAATGGACACGGGTAAACCACCCTCGGTTCTTTTGATCAAGATCTTTTTGAGCGCCACTTCTTGATCTCTGACTGTATCGTGCGCTTTCAGAACCAGGCCCTGCGCTCCCTCGCCGATCTGCCCGTTGACAATATATTTCTCCATGCTTTATTTTGGAAATATGCATTCACTCAAAAAAAATTATATTTTGTGAATAACGCATGATGTATTGTTAAGATCAGAGTATATAATTAAATAGAATATAAATTTTTCAAGATATGGAATTAGTTAACTAATTACATATGATAAGATTAGTATTACAATTATGCTAAAATTTCTATTTCCGTTTTGAAGTTCTTATAAAACTTTTAAAATATAAATTCGAGATTCACAAGATATATCGACATTTCTTTTGTTTTGGAAAAAATTATCGATACACGATACGAGGCAGTTCTTTTGTAGCATAACAGTTTCCATGGTTACCAGTATGGTATACACTGTCTTATCATAACTATACTTATCTATCGCGCATGCGCGAATGTCCACTTCTTTGGTTCTGTATTCTGCCAGAGAGTAGAATGAGAGCGGCCAGGTCCGTAACCAAATGAGTAACCAATTTTCTGCCCTGTAAGCCAGCGCAATGTCCATGGCGATGCACACTGGCAACTACATAGCCATGTCCACTTGTCGGTACGTACGTTATGTACAAACGTGAAAATGGTTTTATTCCGTGCTATGTAAGGTGGACATGGTTCTATTCCGTGTTATGTGCAAGTGCGTCGGTATACAGACTTGTTTGTACATCGATATACCAAATGTCTGATCGCTCTCAGACTTCTTCTCTGGTTCTGCAAAGTGTCAAATAGTGTCAAAGTTGTGTCACGTGTATACGTGTTAGGTTTGGTTTGGTGCATAGTGTATACGTGTTATATGTTGACACCATAAATTGATATTCTCTTTCTTTACAATTAAGTAGGTGAGAGTGAAATTTAATCTGATTTATCTTAACACACACACACACACAAATCTATGCGTTTTTTTAAATAAATAGTGCAAATGAGCCTATATCTAAAAAACAATCTTGAAATCTTGTGTTTATCCAAAGCATCATAAGCACAGTATACAAATATATTTTCTCTCACAATTTTGCAATAAAATTGTTAATAACGCTCGGTAGGAAAATGAAGCAGCAATTAGCAGATCCCAAGGCAAATGCTAACGCAACTGGGGAAGCGGATGATTGTCTCTTTGAATACTTGCACGCCGAGCTTGTCAATTACGTTCTGAGCAGATCGTCTAATGCGGTAAGCATAAAAATGATCTGCTGTTTTTTGCTTCTTAAACTGCTGCTTTGTATTTTATATCTTTGCAGAATTGTAGAACAATTTTAATGGATTTTTTAGTGGAAAATGCATGAATTTTTTGTGACAGGAAGGCGAAGAAGAGCTCTCGCGCTTAGAGTGGATGGGATTTAGTGTAGGATACAGAATTATCGAACGACTAACGAGAGAATGGAGCAGGTTCAAGGACGAGCTCGATATGATCAAGTTTATCTGCACGGACTTCTGGTCCAGCCTTTATCACAAGCAAATCGACAATCTCAGAACTAATCATCACGGAGTCTATGTGCTACAAGACAATGCCTTTAGATTGTTGGATAAAGTCGGTACGAGTAACAGTAAGCAGTATCTAAGAGAGAGTCCTCGTCTGTTGGCTTTTACTTGTGGTCTTCTGAGAGGTAGTTTAGCAAATCTTGGTATTATCAGCACTGTTACGGCAGAAACTACCACACTACCCAGTTGTAAATTTCATGTCCAAGTTCAAAAAATATAATAATCTGAAGTTTATGTCACAGTTTGTATAAACTACTAGATTGTAGAAACTTTAATAAATATGTGTATATAAAAGAAATTACATTTATTATACACACACAAGTTTATATATCAAATTTGAGAAAATAGAAATTTCACAGTGTGAAAAGAAGTAAATCATAAATTTACATATATGAGATATAAATATTATATAATAACGCATATTTATATAAACATATAATAACGCATATTTATATAAATATTATATAATAACGCATATTTATATAAACTTTGTATTTTATATGCTGTCCCTTTATTTTCTCGTCCTTTTCTCACAATAGGATTTTACATTACATATACATATATGTGATGAAGATATCATAAAATCAAAAAGTATTTAACTGCTTAAAATTATATAAATGCTGTAAAATGAAAGATTAAAATATCACATTTAGAAGACGTATATTGGTGTTATACGATTTCATCAACCTTATTTTTTTGATCACAAAAATACAAAATTACTTATTTATAATTTTGCAAACATTGGATCAGAAAGTTTTACAAAAAATTATGAAAAAAAATGTTATCATGTATTCAAAATTGTATGTAGATACAATACTATCTACTAAAATTGTATACATGTATTACGCAAACATAAAACAAGCATATATATTTACGTCTATATGTTTAAGTACATAAATAGCGTCAGATGTATTATTTATTGTTTTTTAAGCTATTTCTTGTTTCACGCACAAGAAAATTGATAAAAAACAACAAATATACAACAAAATGGACGGACTTTATATGATGCCATTACTTTGCACTTTATCAGTACTCTTCGTTATAAAGTTAAAAAGGTCATTCTGATTTACACTCCCAACTAGAATGTCATCGTCATCTAACACTACAGCGTAAGATTCTTTTTCAAGAACACGCGACAGTTTGCCCAGCGTGGTCGAGGTTTTAACTTTTGCAAACTGCTTGATCATAATCTTCTCGGCAAAATCCGTTTGATCTGCCGAACCGGAAATCAAATTGGACATGAGTGCATCTGACGTGACAACACCTTTCACGTGTATTCCTTCGTTGTCGGTGACTAATAATTGTTGAGTGTCAGGATTGGTCTTAAAGAAAATTAAGGCGTTTTGGCATAACATCTTTTGCGTCATCACAGGCTTTTTTAATACTAAATTTGAAACCGGCATATTCCACCACCAGTTGTTCGCTTCCGTCAAAGGTTCACAAGGCTGAGGAAAAAAATGCAACTTCGTGTCATTGTGTTTTACGATTCGCTATAATGCGAATAATTCAAAAATGTGCAACGCGTTTTACCAAAAAGCCTCGAACTTCCATCCAATGATCGGACACGAACTTGGTCATGTAATTTCGTATACCGTCCGGCAAGATCATAACAACACGTTTGTCCGCCGGCAGGTCCTTGGCGATTTTTAATGCCGCCGTGAGTGCTGCGCCGCTGCTACCGCCGCACAACAATCCCTCTTCACGAATTAATTCGCGCGCCGTTTTTAACGATTCGCAATCTTCCGTTTTTACCCACTCATCAACTACATTACGATCCAAGACAGTAGGTATGAAGTCATATCTAAAAAAAAAAAAAAAAAAAAAAGAAACAAGTGTGTTAAAAAAAAGTAAACTTCAGTATCATTATTTATGATATACAATAAAAATTTTATTATATTTTATGACATGTAATAAAAATTGTACACACCCTATTCCCTCTACCTCGTAAAAGGTGACATCATCCTCGTTCAATTTAGATGGCTGCGCCAAAATGCTTCCTTTAGGATCCACACCAATAATTTTTGTGTCAGGCGACAGTTCCTTCAATTTGCGCCCGATTCCGGTTATCGTTCCACCGGTACCTGCGCCTACGACCACTACGTCCACTTTCCCGTCGCACTGCTCCCAAATCTCAGTCGCAGTTTGATCATAATGAGCCAATGGATTACCAGAATTCGTATACTGTACGCATTTATATTAGACATGTCAATTTTAAAACTGTTATTGGAACAAATCATTGCAATGACGACATTACCTGATCTAGAACAATACTGTTCGGAATTTTCTTTTGTAATTCGTGGGCAATACTGATGTGCGATTTTGGATCGCTCCAATTAACTTCGTTCGGTGTTCGGATTATTTTGGCACCAAGAGCTTGAAGCACATAAACTTTCTCGTTAGACATTTTCTCGGGCATTACAATGATACACTTATAGCCCTTGGTTGCTGAGGCCAGTGCTAAACCTATCCCCGTATTGCCGCTGGTTGGTTCGATAATCGTGTACCCCGGTTTTATCAAACCTTTTTCCTCGGCATCTAGAACCATTCTGTATCCTATTCGATCTTTCACAGACCCTCCAGGATTGAAGAATTCACATTTTGCAACTATATGTAAAAAAAAGTCAAGTTATATCATTAAAAAAGCTTTTGAAACAGAGGTTTTCTTCACTCGCGCAAAATGTGACAATAGATTTACTAACACATTTCGCACTTGATCCCATGAGACTTGGGAATTTTGTTGAGCCGAATCAGAGGAGTCTGTCCAATGGTGCTTAAAATGTCAGGTAATATTTTCTTCCGGTTTAAAACTCTAAAAAAACAGACATAAATGTTAATTAGTATAATAACTGACAGACTCATTATTGTTACACTATAAAAATTGAGTGATAACATCAAACATGACTGTTACAAAAATTATCTGCTGATTGTCTCATTTCCTGCCAAAGTTATTATCAGCGTGTGCTTATTTGCACAATTATATCGTTTTGTTTACATGAAATGCGTAATACATGAGTTTGCACTCAATGCTTTTTTTAACTTGCTCAACTCTTCGCAATAATTTGGTAAGCAAGAGAAATCGAGTTTGCTGGTGTGTATTCTTGTACACTCTGTTGCTAGACTATCAAAACAGCGTTGTACTTTATATCTGTTTTTAAAATTAATTATGACATGTGGGTCATAAAACAGAGCAAAAATATAAATCTCAGATAACCAGTTCAGTAAAAATAAATTTTGTCAAATGCCGCGCGATAATTAATATCAAATGATATGATGTGATGTATAGAAAGATATATTATGCCAACATATAATGAATTCCTTCTGTTGACGTAACATGTCTATCGATATAATATAGAGGTCACGGTTATTCTGACCCCTGACGTGTTGCGATAATCTGTTAGAATTTGTTCGGCAATCTGTTCGCAAATCTGTTAGCAATGTCCGCTTATCGGGTGCCCATATGCGTGTCGTAACATTTTCAATTACAACAAACTTACTCTGTTTGTTTCGTATGCGGTGAATTTCCGTCGGCTACTTTCCACGTGCATACAGATGCTTTATCCGGCCTCTTCATCGGCTCCATTCTTATTTATATCTTTTAGCGTCAATTGGAATGAGGAAATTTGAGAACTGCACACACAGTAACAATGCATTTTACATTTTTTAAACATACAAACACGACGTGATTTGTAATAATATAAAATCTCAATGAAACATAGAAACTCCTAATTAAAAATGTAATAAAAAGAAAATCTTCTTTTCTTTTCTCTCTGGCGAGCATAATTCAAATTCAAAGACGTGTTCCAGAGAGAGAAACAAAAGAAAAACGGTTAGAACATTGTAATAATTAGAGAAATTTTAAATGTATCTATATATATATATATTGTATATAAAAAAAATATGTTACCTCAATTTATTCGCTTCGATTTGGTTTATTTGTCACGCCGATTTTTGCCAAGCGTGTACACGCGTGCGAGAGTAAGTTTCGCGTGTGTCGCAAAATTATGAGATCAATGAACTATCGGTAAAGCCTTTGTACGCAAACGCACCGGTGCGCGTATCACAGTCGATACAGAAACTACATCGAGAGCTCGTGCGCTTGTTCCTTATATACCGCTCACCGCTCCTGCTCGTCATCACTTATCGTCGGCACGACGGCACACATACAAAGATCAAAGATAATTTTTACCCACGATGACGTATCGCATTGGATGTATGTGTAGAGAGAACATCCGCACACATTTCCCCAACAGTCGCTTCCGCGTGATAACATCATCTCATTTGTTATGCAATAAATGATACGCGATACTCTGATATCCGTCTCGCGAGGTAGTTATCAGTCGGCGCACATTAGACGTAACAAGAAACAAAGCACGCGTGAATTATTATTATTATTATTATTTTTTTTTTTTTACATCAAATTTCTTTCTCGCTCTCATTTTTTCTATCTCCCTCGCTTTGATTTAATCACGTGTGCGTTATTGTCAATGATAGGTATGTCAGTTCTCCTGCGTTATCTACTCGTAGTAAGTAAGGAAGTTTTGTGTCTATGTATCTGTGAGTGTCGTATAATGGCGCTCCTTTAAATTTCAACCTCGAAATTATCCGCGACATGCCGCCGAAGAAGAACGCCGGTGCCGCGAAAGGTAGCAAGGGTAAATCCTCGGAGGAAGGTGGTGCCGGAAAGACAGAAAAGAAGGGTGGAAACTCAGTGAAGGTGAGAAAATTTTGAACGCATTTTGTTCGCTGATAAACACTTGCACATTGCAAGTGTTTGCACATTGCGGCGAACATGTGTCACATGTGTGTTTATCTGTTATGTTAAATCTTGCAAACTTTGTATGAGTAGCTTGTTTTTTTTTTTAGCAGAGAGTTCTTGTAATATTTTACAATACGATTAGTTTTTATATAATTTATTTTATCACTCATGTTACAATCGATCGCAAATTTATTGCTTTTCTTTGTAAGCTTATTTTTGTTTTTGCAGGTTAGACATATCCTGTGCGAGAAGCAATCAAAAATATTGGAAGCGCTGGAAAAGTTAAAAGCTGGTCAGAAATTCAATGAAGTCGCGGCGGCATACAGTGAGGACAAAGCCAGATCTGGGGTAATATATAAATATATATCTTTTTTTTTTTTATTAAAATATTTAATAAATATTGAAAATATATTGAATAATCGGTTGATTATTTTAAGGGCGATCTTGGATGGATGACACGAGGTTCCATGGTGGGACCTTTTCAAGATGCCGCTTTTGCGTTACCAGTTTCCAGCCTGGCGTCTCCTGTTTATACAGATCCACCGGTGAAAACAAAGTTTGGATATCACATAATAATGGTGGAAGGTAAAAAATAATTTCATTGCACAAGCACATATTTCATAAACACGTTTGTGAATTTGTTATATATCTCTTTTTCTATAATTAAGCAAATATATGATATAGAATTGTAGATACCAATTTGTTTGATACCTGTGATATATTTTATCATAATAAATATTTTTTGTATATATTTTATATTCTATAAAGAAATTCAGCTCTTATATATTTCACAAAAGATATATATGTATATAAAATTTAGAAAATGTTTGATTAAAACAAAAAACAAAAGTAGTCTAACAAGTAAATTAAAAAATATAAATATACAAAATTATTTATTGTCCATGAGTTTATTGCTATTTCTGGCGTATACAATTATAAATGTATATTCTTTCGGGAATATATATTTATATATGTATGTGTGTACACAAAATTTATTACGAACTAACAATAATCTCTTAAGAGAATTCCTGACCTGCAGTCTCTATTGTTATACGTTAAATTTTATTACATCTTTATGTTTCTACATGAATATAAATAGTGATGTTCCTTAAACTGAAAGTGTGTCTATCAAAATTTCCAGCAAAAGCATTTAAATATATAATGGATATGTTTCTACTCTAAGTTCTAAATAGGACAGTATATGTGAAGATACATTATGTAATTATGATTACATAATAATAAATAATATAGATGTTCTAATATATGATACTATTCAGTCGCTTGTTCAGACATGCCGTGTGGACGCGTTTGTAAAAACCCGTTTCAATGATGAACGAAGTTGCCATTTCTTCAAGTTCTTCTTAGACGCGAATACCCGGATTGGTGAAGCGAACGTATCTCAGTAGGGACTCGTTCTCCTCGCAGACCCACGGTTTCTTGTGATGACACGCCACATCGTGCCAGTTCACACCGTCGTTGTAGAACTGATTAAGGATCGCCAGACAATTCTCGGGAGCGCCGCCCTGAATAGCCTCCCGATTGTCAGGCTGCGGCTTGCCAATGCTGAACAAAATACGCGCATATTGTTCACAACATAGAACAATGTTCACAAGAAGAATCCAAGTATCTATGCACTCTCGGCGCTCGGAGACGCCTTAAACCTTGACTATTGACTCTGTAATGAGCGCACGCAGCGATCGCTGATTACAGAGTAGAGAGCGATAGATTAGTCGCGGAGAACAGGAAAAAAGGATTTAATGACAAGTCTCCGATATCCTTGATCTCAAAAATAAAAACCGCGTTAGCACTATTATCAGCTTCGATAATGCAAATTCATTCTTGATGTGCGTGTGAGCGTCCGATATAATATTGTATTAAAGCGCGAAATTAGAGATCAATGCCTAACTAAATATGCGTATACGTGATGTAACGAATCTTACCCGCCGCTCTCAGACCAGTCGTTTTGAGCGCGATCATGGGTCGGCGCGAGCTTCTGCAACTCGGCGGTCCAGAACCAGCCGTTGATGTGAAGAGGCTGCAGATCCGGACGGTCACATCCCTTGAAGTCACAGAGACGACCAGACGTCCAGATATACTTCACCTTATCTGTAAGAAGAAATTTTATTTTATTTTTTTCTGTTGCCGCTTCCTCTACGAAGAATCAGGATTTGTAATACGACACGTACCTTGAACGATGCGGTTCTTAACGAACTCGTTCTCGGCAGAAGTCTCCAGCGAAACTAGATCCATGCAACGTTGTCGGCAGTAGTTTCTGGCGGACAACCAGTCCAACTCCTGGCCAGCCGTTCTCTGATTGGCCCACGAAAAGTAATATCCTTTTCCATTGAACCGCTGATGGATAATTCCTACGATTAATAAAAAAAAAAAGAAAAAATTGGAAGAATTGTACGAGTTGACCGGATATTAAAAACAAAAATAATCTTTCTAGATATCTTTGGAAACGAGAGAGGTATGTGTTTACCGAGAAGATCTCTTCTCGGAGTGAAAGTCGCGGTATTAGTGTCAATCGCAATGATGACCCTGGCAACCACAGTCACGACCTAGACATTGGCACCCACATTGTATGTTGATTACATAGTCACTTTCCAAATAAAGAAGAAGAAAGTTCCCGGACAAGACGCGTCTTGGAACGCGTCGATTGGGCTACGCCTAAAGAATGAATAATTAACTATAGGTTCCGCACGCGCGTAACACACATTCTCCGGCCTTGACGTTCAAGTCGTCAATGATGTTCAAGAGTTCCGTGAATGTTGTGTTGATTTTTCGCTTGGCACACGGAAAATGCAACTTTATTTTACTGCTAGAACATTTTGTAGAAAAAAAAAGAAAACGAAAATTTATTCTTTGTGTGTTTGAGCAACCATCCTAAAAATTCGGGGATAAAGGTCCGTCTGAATTAGATACGTTCTTGTGAGGTGTGTGTGTGATATCAGGGTTTAGAGTCAATAAATACTATGAGAGTGACGAAAGAAGAGGTCTTTATCTCTGTTGTAACATATTACACACACACACACAAAAGAACTGTAAATCCGATCGTGCACTCTACGCGACTTACCTTCAGTAATGCTAATGTCAGCGCTACTTTTAAGTCTCATGGCTAGAAAAATGCGTAACAAACCGATATTTAATATTAGTGTTTTGGAAAGTTCTCGAGATAAGAGCTACAAGAATGTGTAACAAAAAGTTGAGGGCTCCATTTAAGAAATTGATGGTGACCACGTAACCTTGACAACGCTATTTAAAGTCATAATAATAATATTGCCATGTAATGCGTCTTATATAAAACCCTACTACTTTTCTATTTACAATTTTTTTTACAAAAACGTTATTTCTCGAGTTGTTTTAGGGTTCCCACTTTTTTCTCACCCTGTATACATTATTTTGCCTTAATAAATTTGTTTTATTATTATTTGTTAAATAGCTCAAAAAAAATGGATTGAAGATAAACACACAATAGTTATTACTACAGAAATAGTCAATATGGGCGGGAAATTCGAGGAAGAATTGCACTCGAATTAATTATTGGAGGCCCGATTCAGTTCGTCAATCATCGATTAATTCGACTGAAAGGGACCGTCCCGAAAAAAATCACATTACATAAAGTGATAAAGCGGATTCGAACTCGGGACCTCCATTGTTCGTAGCCTCTACACTACGAGACCAACAGGCCGGTATGGCCGTTATCTCGTACTTATACTATAACGAGTGAAAAGCACATGATAGTGTTTTTTTACCAAATTTGTGCCGGACACATGAGCATGGTGTAGTTTTGCATATAGATCTTACGTAAGTTTTTTATACGAACAAATATACAAAGTTTCTATAAATATGTTTATTGCAAAAAAAAGTTTTTTTTATCGAAATAAATAAGTCTAATGTCAGTTGAAAATGAGTTTATTTTTATTTAATTACTTATTTACGGGGAAGAATACTGTACAAAATAAAAAACTTATAAATTACATATGTATATGTATAAAACTATATTATATATATTATATGCGTTCTTGTGAAAGCGTTCTCAGGGTAATTTCGACTACAAATATATTTCCTTGAATAAAATATCAAAGAAACAGGTTTTGAATTCTGAAAACTTTCAATTAATATATTTCAGATTACGTTAATGGCCCGTGTGACGGGTCGCGGTGACTTGTCACCTCGACCAGTTTGAAAATGATGAACGTGAAAGTGCCACCCGTACATTCCGTACTACTTACAAGAGGAGTACGAGACCATTTCCAATTCAAATGTGTTTACACCAAGCTGTCGAATGTCATTGTCACACTTTCTATAAACGAGTGTGTGTGTCGTGTAAAATGTGCGAGGCGACAGACGACGACGATCACACACAACTTGTATTAGAGGCAACGCTCTGATACGATAAGCGGAAGATACGACCGACTTGAGGTTGAGCTAAGGCAAAGCGATGACCTCAAAGCAAAGAAGGAAGTAGGAGAGAACCAGTTGGAGGAGGAAGATTCCTTAGGATCGCACCGTCTTTAATCACAAATATTGAAAACTACTTTCTCCGGTTTAAGCGGGTTTCCTTGGATGGAAGAAAAGAAAGAAGATTCCCATCGGAACGTAATTTCCGAGCGAGGCGACTCGGGGACGCTTGCATTATTATTTATCCCAGCGTAAGATCGTCTTACATAAAGACTATTCTAAACGGCGCTATTTTTACACGATCTTATCACTTCCCATCGAGTTTTGTTGAATGTTAGATTTTACTTTCGTGCAAGACAAATTTATTCTCGGCTGATCATTTTTTTTTCTTTCAGCCAGAAAAGATCAACGTGACACCAAATAATACGCAGATTATTGTTTTTTTAAACTATGAAAAAAGACAGTTTTTTAAGTCTATCTTTCCTTTCCAAGCAAACTTCAACAAACAAAAATATACCATAAAAAAAACTATAAACTGTAAAACCTGTTCAGTGAAAATTTCCTTTTTCCGTTGGTTGGACAGATCATGAAAAAACTAGCAATGCGTAAGTTGTTACTTAAGTTGTAGGAAAAACACTTACTTTGTGCGCAAAGTCCTGGATTTGGCGCTTCCAGAATCCGACCGCTGGGTTGTGGTTGAAATTGGGCGGAGGACAGTGTCACAAGAGCACCGAAAAGCACGAGTGTTATCATTTTTCTTCTTTCTTGTATACGACAGCCAATAAAGAGACTAGAAATACAAATTGTGCGATTAAATCGTGCGTTTAAACGGGAAAAGGGGAGGAAGCGAGATTTTCTTTCAAAAAAAGTTCTAAAAAATTTTTTTTATCAATAACGCTTCGTGTTTGTTATCTTGACGTTTAAATGCCCTCGAACTCACTTGAAAAAGCGACTCATTACAAAACCGGTTTCACGATACTCGACGTTATACAGGGTGACATCTCGGCGCGTTCGGTCTTTAAACTACACTATTAATTAATATTAGTTTATATTATATTTTAATTCGCCATGCAGTTGTGTGTAAAAAATTCAGCTAAAAAAGCTACGGCGACAAAGAGAACATGGAAGAACATTATTATTCCAAGAACAATCACACACATGTTAATTTATAATTAATACACAATTGTGTTTCATTAACTTGTAATCTTCATTTAAAAATGTTACTCTAATCGCGTTTGATTAATTCTAGCGTAGTCTCTTAAAATCTCCTCAGGCATCACAAAGGATCGTTAAAGCATCTCAACATCTTAATTGCATAAAATCGTGTGCCTGAGAATTTACTCACACACTCTCAGCCGCGATGGAGCACTTTTCTAATCGGCAACAGATTTAGGCGCCGCAACGTCCAAATCACGCGCTGATCGGAGAGAGACTTCAACAGGTGTGCCTTCCCACGACGACGTCGTTCACGCAGACGTTCCACGAAGAACTGCAGTGCTTTCGTGACAGTCACCCCTATATATACACAACGAGGACACATTGTGTCAATACTTTTACCACTCAACGGGCCGTGTTTTCGAACGATGGAACTCGCCCGCCACGGGGGACCCTGTCGATGTCGCCGCGTAAGGTCGCCGTTTCGCTTCCTTCCTCTTTGGACGGGAAGGAGTCGTCCTCGAACGTGAAACCGCATGCTTAACTCGGGCGTTAACTGTACTGTCTTTCCTCCTTAAAATACGGTACGTATTTTCCGACGATTTTTTGTGTTAGAAAAAGAGAAGAAAAACTTTTCTTTCCGTTCGCCGTTTTGCGCGAAGACGCGCGATCGCGCGCAACAAAAAAAAAAAAAGCGGAAAAACTCGTAGGATATATGACGCGTATCGAGAAATGATCAAGTGTGTATAATTTTAAATGAGTTGATTATAACTATATGTGTATATTGATTGCAGAGATATTAGAAAACTAGGACGTCGTGTAAACATTCACGTTGTGCCGGAAATTCTCACGGTTTTTCGAGCTCACTCACGTCTCCTGCGATTCGCCGAAACGTAGTTACGATGCCGCATCTTTTCTCTCTCTCTCTCTCTCTCGAACTCCTCATCCGTTTGTGAGTGGCGGATAATTAATTGCCACTATTAAACTGGGATTTTATTTGACACAAAGTTCATTAGCTCGTGTCAAACGTTTTGCGAAGGAAGAGATGAAGAGATATTCGTGTGATGCGAAAGATAAAATATAATTCCGAGAAAATATTTAAAAAAAAGCGTAGAGAAACGTTAAAAATTAAGTAGTACGTGTTATATTTGCAAACACTTTCTCGAATATCTTATTTTCTCAAACATATCAGAAGTTCGAGAAATACGTACGTGAGTTTCTCAAAATTCGATGTCTTTGAGCAAATTTATGCAAAGAATGGAAAGTGTAAAATCCTAAGTTTTTTTTTTGTTCATGCGCAAGAGTGAAAGGAAAGTACACGAAAGAAAGAGAGTATGAGAAAATTGAAATGGCTTGTCAAAAATTCTCGGAAAAAAGTACATACGTTCCGCGTGCGTTTGCAAATATATGGGGAATAATAAATTTTTTAACGGCGCGCGTTTGTTCTTGAGGTAAAAAATTGGAACTGTGGATATTTCGTCGCGTTATTTTGCGATCCAAATGTTATACCACTGCGTTATTGTATACGCGTTTGTGCGTTTGTTCAAGACGGCGTTTGACTGCGCGTTTGACATTACACACAGAGGTGACTTCCGAGAAAACGCGAAACTTTCGCTAGTATCCGCCCGTGGAATTTTAAGTAGTCCCCGAACACACATTTTTCTTTTCGTCGTTTGAAAGACGACGCGTGTCAAAAATAAGTATGAGTCAGTCGGTCGAATGTCGTAAAAATTGCGCGTGTGTCCTTTGAATGTCCTGAGAATATAATTTTTCTTGTAGGAGAAACATCGCGCGCTTCGTTCCTCGAGATTTTTAATTCTCATTGTATAACTTAGCAAATTAGCGCGAAAACACGATTTGTGAAACCTTCGCGCATTTGTGAATTTCGCTGTAAAAGTAGAAATAAATTTTATGTGTAAGTGAGGCGAGCGATAATATAATATTAGGAGAATTGCAAAAAATTTATAATTTTTATTGAGGAATTATAAAAAATACAAATTTTGTAAAAATTCCTTTTTTTCTCTTACTAGCACAACACAGGCGCGGGCTACGCGCACGCTATTATTGCTTTTATTTTAACGTGTAGTGTGAGTGAATTTAACCTGTCACCACAATGATAGCTAATATATACGTCCTACAAACAATATAAAACACATGTACATATGAGAAATGTCAGAAATAACGTATGAAAATCAAACTCAACTAAGGCCGCGCGCCCGCGGTCAGTGACCTCCCCCCACCAAGGCCGCGCGGCCGAGGTCAGTGACCCCGCCAAGGCCGCGCGGCCGAGGTCAGTGACCCCGCCAAGGCCGCGCGGCCGAGGTCAATGACCCCGCCAAGGCCGCGTGGCTGAGGTCAGTGACCCCGCCAAAGTCGCGCGGCGGAGGTCAGTGACATTACTGTAGTATGTATATAATACATATAATACAATATAAAGTATAATATTATAAATATATAATAAATTATATGTATAATATGTATTATTTGTGACATGTCGTCAGTAAGTGATTTTACAATACACGCGCGTAGTTGCGATGACGATTTTTTTTTAAATAAACGGAGACGTTTCCTTATTCCATTTCTATTTTTTTTTATCTTGTTCACTATTGTTCGCTTTCCTGTGATTTAGTTGATGAAGACGCTGTCAATCTCCATTACACAGCGTATCGACTGAGCAGTCCGTTCAGGTTCCGTTTTGTTATAGTACTGAAAATCTATAGTTTACGTGACCGTATGTTGTTCGCCCGAAAGTCGCCCCGTAATTTCTGTCGTCTTACTTTTGTAGACGCATGGCGCTAAAACTAGCAGTTCAGAGCGTCGTAAGAAAATACAATGAGACGACCGCTCTCAGTCAGACTTTTTTCTCTGGTTACAGTCTTCTGTGCTGTGTGATTTGCGTCTGTCAAATTGCGTGTCTCCAAGCGCACTGTATCTGACGCATGCGCGTGGGATTTTCGCCGGCGAGATTTATCTTCCTAACATTGCTCCGACGAATGTACACATCGATGTACACGTTTTTGTGACAACGCTACGTGGACGTCAAACGGATAGGCGCGGCTGCTCGTTCGCCGCCGGAAAGAGAGAGAGAGAAATAAAAATAATCGAGCAAGTTGATCGGCCGTTGATCGATCGACACGATGGAGCAACAAGTCGCTCCTCGTTACAGCGCTCTCGCATACGATTTCCCACGATGAACGATGACAAGATGTCCAGTGTAACCCGGCGTCGCGTCCGTGGTAATTTGTTTACAAGTGTGTGCGAGCGACGTGACAGGTGCGTGATCATCTCAGACACACGCGGCCTCGGGAATGCGTCCTTCCTTGCACTTGGACAACGGTGTACGTCGATCTCGGGTGCACGGTAATTTCTCTACGAACATTGAGGAACGATGGCACAATCGGGTCTCTGCCGGCTGTGCGCGGAAGCCAAAAACGGTCTCGTCGGTATTTACGAAAACGAGGGCCAGAAGCTTATGATCGGATTCAAGATAGCAAAGTGCCTGCAGATACAGGTAAAACTGTCCGCGAAACTGTCCTTTGCAACAACCGCAAGTAAGATTTGTGTGATCTCGAAAGAAAACGAACAGCTTTGCTCATCATCGCGACTACTCTTTTGCTAATTCAGTTCTATCGCTATGCACAAAATATACGTCCGATACATTTGTGTTTTTTTTTTTAATCACTAATGATTGCTGTTGTGACTGTGTGTAGGTTCTGATAACCGATGGCTTGCCGCTTACAGTTTGTGTAGATTGCTGCGACGTGTTGAACAAGTGCAACGAGTTCATCGAGAAGACCAATCAAGCGCAGATCTTGTTGAGGGAGTTGTTGATAAATTCAAAGACCAAGTTGCAATCATCAGAACCAGATGTGGAATATGTGGCGGAGACCGTAGAGTTTCCGCAGCATGAAGTCACCGATCATAAAGAAATCATCGATCAGAAGGAGTGCCAGCTGTCTGACAATTACATTAACGAGACAGTGAAAAAGTGTGAGGAAGAAACAAAAACTAAGGAAAAGTCTGTAGAAAAAAAGGATAAAGAGGAGAAGAGAAGTAAAGAAGAGTCTAGAGAGGAAAAGAGATCTAAAGAAGAGAAAAGGTCTAAAGAGGAGAAGAAGAAAAAATCAAAGGAGAACAAATCAAAGGAAAAGAAAATGCAAAAGATGGAAGAAACGTCCAAGAATCAAAGGCATTCGTTGCGCCTAGATAAGAAACAAAATGATATAACTGTGAAAAGTAATATCAACATTGTAGATACATCTGGTAAGATACATTTACGTATTTGTACATAAAAAAATGATTATGTTTAAAAGTTAACGATTTAATCTTTGAATTATATTTATAGTATAATATAATTTTAATATCCGGTATTTCTTATTCTGAATGTAGAATCAAATTTAGAAATACAAAAGTCGCAATCAGTAGAAAAAACACCAGTGGAAATGAAGCATTCAACGAAGGACAAGTGCTTGGAAAAATATTCCTGGCTGTGTACAGATTGTAATGAGACCTTACCGAGTTTGGTCAGTCTAGTGGAACATCACGAAAAGGTGCATAACCAGCCACCCAAATATATGTGCGTACAGTGCAGTAAAGTTTACGACAAGTATCAAGGATTTGTCACGCATGTAAAAAGACACGGAAAACAAGACAAGGAGAAGTACAGGTATATGTCATTTGTTGTAACAATTGTACAAGCATCTCCACAAGAAAGCAAGTATTTATTTTTTAAACTGTTATTTATAATTTTTTTATCTTCAGCTGTGACGAATGTGGGAAGACGTACACGCAACAAAAAAATTTGGTCGATCACATGTGGATTCACACCGGTGAACGACCGTACAAGTGCAAAAGTTGCGACAAATCCTTCAAAAACTCCAGCTCTTTGTTTATTCACAAACGATGCCACTTACCTGACAATTTGAAATACCAGTACCAATGCGATCAGTGTGATAAGAAGTTAGTGCAGTATACACTATACTTTTTTTCACGTGCAAAATGATTTTTTTTCTTGAAGAAATCTTGTGTACATCCGTTGCAAAATTGATTTCTAGATTTTCGACAAAGCCGAACCTGGTGACGCACAAACTCATTCACACCGGAGTCCGAAACTTCACGTGCGATCAATGCGGAAAAAGTTTTATGCAGAAGGGAAATTTGGAAGCTCATTTCTTGACTCACACAGAAGAGAAGCCGTACAAGTGCTCCATTTGTCCGAAGGCGTAAGTTAACGCTTCATTTCACGCTTCATTTTCATGTTCGTACATTTGTGCCGAGTTCAAGAATTGTCAATCAAAATTACAGATTTAAGACGCCTATGCAGTTGAAGAAACACGATTTGGTGCACACTGATATCAAGCCTCATCAGTGTGCCGTGTGCGGGAAGACTTTTAGAGAAAAGAGCACATTAAAGGAACACAGCAGAATTCACAGCAACGCAATGCCGTTCACTTGCGAATACTGCGGAAAAGCCTTTCGTTTCAAAGGAGTATTGGTTGTAAGTTCCGTACTTGTTGAGATCTAAGGGTTTGTTTCCGTCGAATTTGATATTTTAATTGTGTCGCGATTACAGACGCACAAGCGACAACACACTGGAGAGCGTCCGTACAGTTGTATGGATTGTCAGCATCATTTCACGAACTGGCCGAACTATCAGAAGCATATGAGACGACGGCACGGAATCAATATAGCATTCACTAGGTTTCTACCCAAGGATCAACTTCCGATTCAATTGCGACAGTCGATGAAACAAACGCAACCGCCTCAGATAAAGGAACAATCTTGCAATCAAGCTAATCCAGATAATCCGCTTCCCATATCCGCTGTAGCTCAACCGGAATCCGCGACACAAGTAAATATCGAGACTCTTATTTATTTTCTCATGTGTATCAATAAATTGATTTTATTTATTTATACTGCTTTACTTTTTTTTCACAGGTAATACAAACAATACCTCACGCTGCATCACAACAGACAGTCGCCCGAGCTATTCCAACCACCACCGTTCAGAGTTTCCAAACGGACGTCACTAGTACTGTTCAAGAAACGGTATTCAGAGAACAAAATACAACGTATTTCACTACAGTATCAGTTACGCCGGATTTGTTGCCAACGAATTTGCCATATCACTTTTATACCATGTCAAATGTTACGGGAAACATTTAATTTTAGTACGGATAGAAGTTTACGTGACCCTTGAAAAACCCTTTTCGAGAAGTTCGCTTGACTTTCTCGGCACTTACCCAGCCATTTGTCTATACGCAAAACCCTGGTAACTGACGTAATCAGCCTTAGAAATGATTAAAACACAAAGTTCGAGCAAAACAAAAAACTATTATAATCATTAGTTTTTGTACTATTGAGTGAACAAAACAATTATGTTACTGAGATTATATCTGTAATATCTAGACACATACGTAACACACGCTGCCAGAAAGTTCAAATAAAGAAGTGCAATAAAGAAAGCAATAATGACGTAATTTTTTTTTTTTTTTGAATTCAAGTTTATTTTGCGAAATTGACATATCTTTTCGTTGCACCATTTTATGACGATGTACAAAAAAAATTGTTGGCACAATGTAAAACACTCAAAAGTGTCATTTGTACCAATGGTCGATCGACGTATTCGATATGTTGAGCATTGATATTAATATTATAACAGTATATATTAGTATACACATCTCATTAGTGTATAACTCAATCATTTTAGCCGCATTTGTTGAATAGATGCATTTAGCAAGCGTATATTTGTTTTATACGCAAATTTCTATATAATAAAAAGTTTATATATATATGTGTGTGTGTGTGTGTGTATTATAGTTCTAATTTATACGTTACTTTTTTTATGATTGTTCTTTTACGTAAGTTTTATGTGTGTACGCGCATAGAGAAACGTTTGATTTTATAAACACTTATGTACACTTTAAAATTATATGAATATGTATAACACACACATTTGAAGTGTGATATAATTTTACACAATTATTTAGACAACTGAGACAAATAAAGAATATTTAAAATATGGTAGAGAATTTTTTTATGTTTAGTGATGATCTGTTTTAAAGACTACACACATTAGATATTTTGTATCGCGCCTTGTCAGAGAATACTCGCAGGATCTACGGTTTAAATTTCTTAGGGAGGCTTTAAACACACACGCACGCCATGCACACGTACACACACAAAGGAGAATATCGGTCAATACCGTATCCATGTGCATACATGTATCGAAATCAAATTGCACAGGTATTATGAAATATTATCTGGTATTAGCATCGGTTGTCTTATCGCGTAAAACAAAAGATAACATTTTCAAAGTGTCTTTTCAGGGATAGTCTTCGTTCTCAGACATTGGGTGTGTTTAGCCGAAGCTAGCGCTACGTAGCGCTACGTAGCGGCTTCATGTAGCAGTTGCAATTGCTGCGTTACTTCTGCTGGACAGTATGGCTACGCGTAGCATGTTCTAAGTAGTGGCCGCCATTTACAATAATACCGTCTCAATTATAATACTTTGACACTTTTTTTGCCATTTTTATAAATAATTAAAAAACACAATTTAGCAACCGAAGAATACAACGGCGATTTGTATACAAACATATTTGCGCTTACAAAAAGCGCTGCGCGTAGCAATACTATCCAGCAGAAGTAACGCAGCAATTGCAACTGCTACATGAAGCCGCTACGTAGCGCTAACTTCGGCTAAACACACCCATTTTAAAACGCTATTTCCTGGGGAAAAACACGTTCCTTTACCGAAAGTTCCGGCCGAGTAACTCTCTTGAATAACCTAATAGACGGCTTCGAAATGGCTTTCCAAAATGTTACTCATTGCATTTTCGATATGGACGGCTTGTTATTAGGTAAAGAGATGTTTTTTATGTGACGCTTGCATTTAAATTTATAAACAATATTTATATCGAGTAAAATCCACTGTGCCGATATAACATAAAATACATTTCAATTTTTTTTTTTTCATTTATTAACTTTGTTACACACGTGTTTAATTCTCTTTAGTGGTTTAAATTTTTTTTTAAATAAAAAAGTGAATATAATTTTTTCTACTGAAAACAAAAATATGTTGAGACACTTTGTGTTTGCAACATTTAGACACGGAATCACTGTACTCGATGGCGTACAATCGTGTCACTCAAGAATATGGGAAGACGTATACCTGGGAACACAAAGCGGCAATTATGGGTTACAGAAGCGCAGAAGCTTTGGGCAAGATAATAGATATGTTAGAACTGCCGATCTCGGTGCAAACATTTGAGGAGAAGTTGGCACCAATATATCAAGAAGTATTTCCTAGTTGTGGTCTTATGCCAGGCAAGTTTTTACAAGTGGCAAAAGTAATTTTTACAACATATTCTGATCACAATTTTAACCAACACTACACAGGTGCAGAGAAGCTGCTGCGGCATCTCAAAACCAACAATGTTCCTATTGCGCTAGCTACAAGTTCGTGCCAAGAAAGTGGTACTTTAAAAACACAAAACTGGAAACACATATTTGATCTGTTCGATCATAAAGTGTACGGTGGTTCCGATCCAGAGGTGTTGCATTCAAAACCAAGTCCAGATGTGTTCTTGGTTGCCGCAAAACGTTTTCCCGATAATCCCGATCCTTCAAAGGTTCTTGTTTGCGATGTTTAAATTTATTTTAAATATCTGTGTTTCACATATCAAATCTATAATTTATTGTGTTGTGCATAGTGTTTAGTCTTTGAAGATTCACCAAATGGAGTTCAGGCTGCCAATGCTGCCAAGATGCAAGTTGTGATGGTCCCAGATCCTCAGCTTCCTAAACATCTCGTCAAAGATGCCACATTGATCTTAAACAGTCTGGAGGATTTCAAGCCCGAAAATTTTGGACTACCACCGTTTGTAGCATAAAATTATTTAAGTTCTTGAGAGATAAAGTATTTAGACACAAATTAGGTCAAATTTCATATCTAAACTCTAGTAACCAAAGTAAAATATGATGATATCGTTATTGATAAAATTTACACAAAAGCCTGCAGGCAGGTTTTGCTTGACACTTATTGGAACCTGACTGATGTATATACAAATTTTTTTTGAAAAGGATTATACAAGTTTTAGTTTTCAGATATGTGTATTTTCATATTACACAAAGCAGTTATCACTGTCAGAGTAAAAGAGAGTTAAAAAAGAGAGCGATGAAAAAACCCTTATTTACTTACTTACAAGATCTCTGTTTTACAACACTGTCGGTTATAGATATATTTTAGTGTCTACTGAGTTCCTTGTCAAGAATCTGCTTCTTATATAATTTTTTTGTTATAAAATGTATTGAGAAAAAATTATATACACAAAAGGTAAACTATATACACATACTCTTAATAGAAACTGTACAGGAGAAATAAAAAATATATTTCTGCAAGAAAACAGTAATACAAATTTTGTAAAACTTGGAATTTTGTCAGTTTTATAAATCTTAACATCTTATCTCTTATGACGCACATGTACCTGCAATATAAATTTTTTTTATGTAATAAAGGGAAGAATATATTTAATTTCCCAAATATAAGGTTTACATTTTCTGACTTCTGTTTTTGATTAACTATATTTTATTAAAACAACTATATACACATATTGCGACATACATACACATATATTTATTAATAGTACAAAGTATATATCTCTCTCTATTTTTGAGAAGCTACTTCTTGAACCTTCTTAAGCACTTCCTCAGATTTTAGATTCGACAGAGGTATACACTGTTCTACACCGTACTCTGCAAAATTAACAAAATTTACGAAAAGGTAAATAAACATTAGACACTCGAGTAACTACAGACGCGTCGTATAATTCTCTAAAAACAAAGTAGCTTGCAAAGTCACTTGTGATTACTGTCAAATCAAAGTGCGTGTGAAAGAGAGAGAGAGAGAGATTTGTTCGCTCTTACGTACCAAAACGCGCGTACAGTTTCGGTTCGATTGACGAGCATTCCCTGATCAAAACGGGAAATCTCGGATTACTTTTCTTCAATGGCACATACTGTTGCTCAATGAAATCTCTGTAAGATGCACACACAGAAAAAAATTGGGCAAGAATTTAAATTCATATTCACACACAAAACGTGAGCTCCTTTATTTCAACAAACACGGTTTTTGTTTTTTTTACCTAACGCCTTGACTAGATTTGGACGTTTGACAGAGCAAGATTCTCAACTCTTTCAGATGTTTTCCGAATTTCACAGCAGCCATCGTTTGTTAATTGTTGACGGCTTTTTTTAAAAAAAACATACGACGGATCTCCTTTCAGCCGAACTTCACAACCGTGCCCTATTTTCGCACAGTTGAGTAATTTTGAACAGGAGGTTAGGTTCGTTTTTATGTCAAAGAAGCTGCCATCTAGGTTTACTTCTTTGAGTCGGAACCTCCACCTCAAATTACAAAGTCGGTAATTTGAGTCGATTATATGTCGATAAGCTGGAGAAAGTTTTTTTTCTTATTAAAAAAATTAATCATTACTTTTTTAACAGAAGCAAATTCTAGTGTTATTTATATCCTATCCATGTATTACTTGTCTGAGTTGTGTTTTGTCTCGTTTTGTATAAAAAAAGCCGCACACAAACTTGTGAAATAGTTTAAATACTCGATTTTTGCGAGTTCTATTCCCGCCTCCCGAATTTTTTTTTAATTCTAAAGAAATTAAGAAAAATTTTCGTGGAAGTTAAAAAACCTAGAGGCGAAGCTGAATTTTAATCTCGAAGTTTGCGAGTTCTTTTTTTTCGATCGATCGTCGCGTTTCGCGCGCTCTCATTGCAAAAAAAAAAAAAAAACGTTATGTATGTACAAGCAGATAGGGGTAACGATTAGTGAATGGAGTATCGATTTGCGGTCCTAATTCTCAGGTCAACGAACACATGTCACTTTTTTGCTCCTCAAGGATCTTTCTGGTTCCCTTAATGAAAGAAGAACCGCACCCACGACAAACATTCTTGTAATTGCTCACGTCGCTCCGACCGACATGACGACGTATAACGCGCATACACACCTTCTTCTTGTTGCGAACAACGTTTGCGGTGTGTTTAAGGATAAAGTAACGTTAAATCCATAATAGAGCAAGTCCATGGCGGCATTACGTGCATTCTACTCAAAAATAATATTTGTTTCATTGCGATACGATATATGAATGAGAAAATGATTAGTTGTCGGCTAAAGACTTTTCTTAAGACGTCTTGAAAAATCCAGTAAGATTTGCGTCCTGAGAAAACAATCACCTGCGATCTGATGAAAATAAATGCGCGCGTAAACTCTCGTTGACTTTTTCTACTTTTAATTTCCGCAATTAAATTAGCTGATTAGCTTCCAACGATTGAAATACAGATTTTGTTTAAGTGTTTGTACATTCGGTGTTACGACGCGGTGTTACGTCACAAATGACGTGATAAATGATAACGATGAAATTTTTTTAATGGAAGTTCAGAAAACGAGAAACAAAAAAAAAGCGTTGCAGCCCCGAGTAAGTAAACCCTTTCCGAGTGAGATCGAGCAAACGCGCTTATTTATAAGACGCACACATGCGCCACGTTGGTGACCACCCCCGCGCTTTGAAAGACAAATTTATTTTGTCTGCAAAGTAAAACAAATATTGTCTGAACGATCACGCGCGTAGATTGACTTTTCCACTTGTTGGATCGCCGCAGCTTTTTCGACGCGACTGACAAACCGGAATAATTAAACAAATCTATTATCCGTTACAGCAAAAGCGGCTGAGTGAGCAGGTGGTGTAGCGATGATTTGATTATTGCGACACGCACGTGTGTCTCTTAATTTTAGATTTTCTTGTCGCGAGCGTGAGAGAGATCTAACAGACATTGCGAGCAAACATTTGTAAGAGTTTTATTTGTATCAGGAGCAACAAATTTATTGATGCGTAAACAGAATGACAAAATCCGAGTAGCAGTACCTTGATAAGTATCTTGATTCGAGAAATATCTATAAATTCCCAATCAATAATAGGAAGAAAAAAACTTAAGAGAGTTTTCAGAGAGTTTACAATTCTTACGATTGCCAATACTACTTTTTCTTTATTATGAATACGATTAAAAAATTACGTTAAAATTATGTTCGTTTATTTCATCAAAACACAATAACAGTAAGCAATATACACATTTAATGAAAAATGTAAAAATTACAAGATAGCAGATAAAACATTTTGAATGTTAAATAAAAAATTGAATAAAATTAAGTAAAAAAAACTAATACAGTTTCTTTCTTATCAATAATGTTTCGGCAAAACATCCTTGCAGTTAATAAATATATATATATATATATATATACATATATTACAGCATATGTGTGTGTATGTGTGTGTGGAATAATTAGTGTGGAATAATGTGAATTCGAAATATCTGGAAAAAAAATCACATGACCGGCTGAAATAGTGGGGAAGGATTTTTAGCGCTCGCGCATGGCCGTAATATTTAAGCGACGTGACGATGAGTTCTGATCGATGTGTCGATCCATATAGTCGCATTAGCGAACAACGACGACTACCAAAGGGACGAGACCACGACGTCAAAGAGCGACACAGTCGCAGATTAGGCTCCTATCGGCGCACAACCGAAGAGGTTGTATCAACCAGGTTGTCGAGAAAGAACAAGCGTGTGTGTTCTCCTCACATCTGGGAAGAAACTTTTTCACCATCATGACCAGCCGCATCTCCATCATCTCTCTTTCAGGAGGTCAGTACGCGATTTTGTGCATCTTCATGCAGCGCATTTGATATTAATTCACGTATAACTACTAGAAATAGAGCGTTTGTATTGCCGTTTTTATTTTGCGAGTTCAAATTTGATAATCGAACTTATCTCGCTTCATTGGAATTTTATTTAGCCAATATATTTTACAAATACAGATTTTAAATATTATTTACAGCGGCAGAAAGAATATTAAGTAAACTCTTTGAACGTTTTTTTTTATAACGCAAGTCTATGTTCTTCAAGTGCGATAATGTTATTCTTAATACAAAAAAGAATCAAAACTATGTTTTATTCATTGCCTTGCTTGATTCAGAATGACGATACACGTCGAATGATTTACATTTAGTTTTGTTAAAATGTTGTTACACAACATCACTTCGTTTCAATCTTATTTCTCTTGCTTTTGAAAAAAAATGGTAAACTAGTTTCCTATTTTTATGCGGTTTAAGTAACCAAAAAAAAAATATCAAAAAATAATAATAGTGAAGTACTCGTTGAAAATTAAAATGAGATAATTGAGGCTGTACGAGCGATGCACTGGTTGGTGTCGTACAATTTATTTTATTATATTAATGTGTGTGTGGTTAACAAACGTTTCAGTTCAATTTTGAGCCTTCCTCAGTGTAATGTTAATTAGATTTGCGCATCAATGATGGAAACTCAGTATAAATGTTTTAATGCTCTGATAGATACCAGGCATTGAGTATGTGTGTTGTTAGTGAGTCAAATGTCAATGCGCATTAATATAATAAAATAAATTGTACAACACCAACCAGTGCATTGTTCGTACAGCCTCAATTATCTCATAAAAAAAATAAAATATAAAGAAATTCTGCGTACATAATTTTCGGTAAAAATAATTCAATCATTGAAGGCAATTATCGTTATTCTCATCGGTATCGTCGCGATTTCACACAAAAATATCACTTTCTGTGAATAATTGATAAATTAATTAAGAGAGCACTCTAAAATTGACTTCATGCGTGAATATATATATATACATAACGATTACAATACTTTCACATATATTAATTAAAAATCAAAAAAAAGATTTGTATTTTGTGTGTGCGATGGATCATTCGAAAGTGTCGCCGTTCAAGCTGTGAATGCAACTGCTGCGCCATCGATTCCGCCGAAATGGCAAAGCGCAATTACGCCTGTAATTATCCCTTAATTTGCCACTTTATGTGTAATCGGTCGATTAAACTCGCGCCGGCGAGGTTCTTTGTCGGGCGCACGTGCTTCTTCTTCTTCTTTTCCTCCTTCTTTTCCTCCTTCTTTTTTTTCTCGCGCGGTGTGTTACATCGTTTTTTTGCGTTTGCATTTTTTCGTTTCGTAATAACGACACACAAGTGCACCGTGCGGTTTTTGCACTAATTCATGTCGCTCATATTCATGCATACGAGGTTTCGGAATTATTTCAGCAATGTTCTTTGAAAAAAAAAAAAAAATTATCGTGAAATAATTTGAATGTGAAAGAAGCGATTTGGTTTAACTATCTTTTTAAAGCAAAAAAAATGTTGTTGTTTTTTAACATTTTGCGAAATGTAACAATGTCTCTCTGGGAGACAATAACAAAACGCGCTCAATTCATTTACCACTCACCTGTACTAAGTACGAGATAATTATCGAATTGCGCTGCACAGAAATGCACGTGCACAAAAGCGGCATTACGTCAATGTGAAGCGTCGTCCCGTAAAACTTATTCGACGTGTTCTTATTCCACAATTAAAAACGACGCTCGCTTTTCTCTCGCAATACAAAAAAAACTCTTGTCTTGTTACAAAATAATATGCGACGAAAACACAATGCATCTCACAATAACGCAACACGAGTGAACTAATGCATATTTATTGATACTTGAAACGCGTTAATATATTAAAAAAAAAAAAAAAAAAAACTAAAATCTCGTATCTTAACGTTCTAGAACTTGCATAGCTTTCGAACGTTTATCCATGAGATGTTTTTTATTTTTCGTAAAAATACGGAAACATTTCTCGGGACTTTTTGATTCTTGATTTTTAATAAGCTGTATTTTTACGCGAAAACAAACGTACGTTTTTCTCATTTAACGTAAACCCGCCGTTGTCACTTGGTCTACAATTTTAAAAATAGAAGAATAATCAAAATTAATGATTAAAACCTATAAAACAATTTATCATTAATGTATTTGAATAATGATGTGACATCATCTTGTTTTTTTTCCAAAGCTCGCAAAATCGAAGTATTTTTTTGCAAAAGAGTTGAGTGCGATAATATTTAATAAAGTTGTTCCGTATATTTGACATCAATTACGGCTTGTTAATACAAACGTTATCAAGTGATTAACATAAATTAAATTAAATTAATTTGATCTTTGCGAGTGGAGCAATTTTATTGCGATTAATTCTAGAACGTGACAATAATATAGTGAAAAAGCATCGTGAGAAACAACAGTAATAGATGAGGCAAATGACTTTGAGTTAGAAACAACCGACAAGTGTTAGTAAAAATCCTTATCGATCAACACATCGGGCTCAATTAATGAACCGCGACGATAAATACGCGCACTTGTGTGTTAATTCAATGACTTGTATTAATATCTATTTGCTTAATTCGAATCCGTGTAAGAAAAGTCGGCCCCATTGATGTTCCCGGCGCCTCGTTTCTAAACGCATGCTTCTCAAAAATGTAAAAAACAATTGCGGCAAAAAGAAACAAGCGAGTCATCAACGAACGTCATTACGAAACGCACGTGTGTGGTTACTTTCACAATGCGTGTGAAAACGTAATGTAAAACGTAATCACATTGTATGTACGTGATGTATCTTTGCAAAATTATATGGTTATCGAGCAAAATTGCGCGATTGTCGCTCTGACGCATTTAAATACATATGTGCGCTCTTATTTTTAAAATATTTTTAAACTGCTACTTTTATGCTCTTTCCAATTTTTCAATCTTCGTCCGAATTCTGAGCTAATTGGCGTGCGCGCGTGCACGCGCGATAATAAGTACCGATAATACGACACGTTCGTGACGTTAATTACACCCTAACGCTTTTGTACGAGAAAACCGTCGCGTTATCAAGTCGCGATGCGGTAATTTATTTTTTTTGACTGTTAGAAAAATAATATTCACACACGGACACATTTACTAGAAAATGTTTCTTGACAATAAGTAAATTTGAAAGAATGTTTTGTTTTAGAAAAAGAAAAAGAGGCTTGCGACCCGGAACGCGGAGAAGAGATCGCGAACTTCGAAAAGGCCATGGAGATGTGCGGTGAGTTCTCGTTGAGAAACGAGCGATCGATCGGCGCGATGATTGACAAGATATTTTTCAATACGACTTATTTGTCATTTTTCTTAACACAGAAAATGGACGATACCAATACACCATTTTGTTGGTGTGCGGTGTAATATTCATATGCGTCGGTTGTCAATACGGTGCGAACGCGTACATTTTAGCGTCGGCCGAATGCGATCTAAACATGAGATCTGAGGAGAAAGGATTCTTGAACGTCGCTTTTCTCATAGGTAACAAAATTGATTAAACAACCAAAACGCTCCAACAAAGTTGACAATTTGTTTGCTAGATTTGTTCGCTTCACGTAATTTTGTGCAGAAATCGACGTCAAAAATCTATATGTGTATTTGTTTTTTTTTTTTTTCAGGATCGGTGGTTAGCGCCCTTTTTTGGGGAGTCTTCGCAGGTGCGTACGGAAGGAGGAATCTCATACTGATAACTCTCTTCACTGACAGTATCGTGACGTTGATCACAAGCTTTATGCAAAGCTTCAAGTTGTTCCTAGTTTTCAGAGTCGTAAGCGGTTTCTTGTAAGTGCAAATAATTCACACACCAGTGCATGCGAGCGCGTACTTACGTAACAGACATATCACCTCAAACGCTCCGTTTTCAATTCTCTTGTCAATTTGTTTTTTAGGATGGGCGGACCCGGTGCTATAGCGTACACGTATCTGGGCGAGTTTCACGCGGAAAGTCACAGAGCGAAGAGCATTTGTTTCCTAGGCTTCTTTTTTACTCTCGCCTGGTTGATATTACCCGGTAATAATTTCGTTACAACAGTCTATAAAAAAAAAAAAAAAATATACAGATCGTTTGATATGTTTTGCAACATTAATATTGCGTAATTTATTGACTATATTACCGACTTATTCAGGTGTGGCGTGGATTATCATACCGCTGCCGATATCCTTCGAATTCTACGGTATTCATTACAATTCCTGGAGACTGTTTCTCGGCATTTTCAGCGTGCCGCTTTTCATCATGGGCGTGATACTTCTCCAGTATCCCGAAAGCCCGAAATTTCTGTTGTCCCAGGGCAAGACCGACAAGACACTCGCGATTCTCCAAAGTATCTACGCGGTGAACACCGGACGCGATAAAAGCGAGTTTCCGGTAAGAAACGCAAAAATATGTCTTTGCTCGCTTATTTTTGGACAAAATTATATAATTTGTTTATTTGATTTGTAATATTGATTGTTCTCTTCGAATCAACGCGATGTCTGTTTGTCAGATAAAAGAACTCGTCTCCGAAGCCATGTTCGGGAAGGATCAAGCGTCGTCTTCCGCGTTAACGGAGTTGTTGAAAAATATTTGGTGGCAAATGCGCACCATTGCATCGCCACCTCATCTGAAGTACGCCGTTCTCTTGTGGATGATTTATTTCACGAACATGTTCGGGTATGTTCCTGCTTTTAAGAAGATTAGATATATGTATAACTTTTCGTTTATACATATTGTTTATATATGTTTTTAATCGTGTGTGTGTGTGAGTTTAGGTTCTACGGTTTTAATCTTTGGCAACCGGATCTGTTCAATCGTTTCGAGAATTATCACCAATCGCACCCGAACGCGTCGATGACGGTTTGCGAGGTGATATATCACACGCATTTGTTGAATCACACCGTTATACCGGAAGAACCGTTTCTTCTCTTGGCGAATCGTGCCACCGTAAAGTGCAAACCGCACATAGACGAGCAGGTGTTCATTAACTCCATGACCATTAATGCCGTTTGCCTGCTCGGCAATATCCTTTCCGGCTACTTGGCGAACCGGGTTGGTCCTCGAACAATGCCGAGTAAGTGCTGCTTCTCTAACTAGTAGATAGTCTATTTAATTCTAATCGCCAAAACTTGCTGATCACCAAAACGAACTTCTTTTGCGCAAACGCAAATTCTTTTGTCCCAGTAACCACGATGTTCATTGCCGGCATCTCGACCATCGGCATCTACTTCGTGAGATCCTCGCTGCAGCTTCTCATAACGACGTGCTTCTTCTCTTTGACGATAGCGACGGGGAATTTCGTGATCGCCAGCGTGGCAGTCGATGTTTTTCCCACATACATATCAGCCGTGGCTGTAAGCATGATGGTCTGCTTGGGAAGACTCGGCGCGGTGGTGAGCAATTTGGCATTCGGCATGCTACTGGATCTCAGCTGCGAGATTCCAATATTCTTGCTGGCCGGTGTCTCCATATGTGAGTACAGAGACGACGAGATGTAATTACAGAACTAATTGCATTGCAGTCTTCTCGATATGTGATCACAGACAACGACAGTTCGAGAAGATTTTTGTAACCATACTTCGCCAAATTTAATCTTCTTTTTCTTTATCGGAATTGTGGTCTTTCTTTATTTGAGAATATTTTTCAATATTTAGAAAAAAAAAAAACAACAATTGATTCGTTCTTTTTCAGTTGGCGGATTACTGTGCTTCCTGATTCCGAGCAAGGAAAAGAAATGAAAATCGTCTTGTGGATCGATATTAAAATTTAGGAAGGAACGAAGTCTCGAATGAGAGTAAAGAGTTTCGTATTGTTTGTTATACATTCTGTTATTTTTTTATATGCGTGTGTGTGTCCGATTTGTGTGGAGTCTAGAAGTAATGACTGTATTGACTGCTACAAAAAAAAAAAAAAAAAAGAAAAAATTAACGTGCCTTTCGTAGGTATAATGTTCAATGACATTTCACAGACTTTTAGAAAAAAGAAGAAAACTGTATTCTAGGTTTATGTTTTTTTATGTAATAAAAATCTTTGAGAACTACGCGACGCATTTATGTAAGTGTGTTAAAATATTTATTTTATTAAAAAAAAAAAAAACGAATTGAAAAAGACAGATTATCAGAGTCATCGTCACTCGACTCACTGATATCACGATATTACGTAATTTTAATGTTGTTAGAGAAATATTATACGTATATGTATATATATCTCATATAGTTTTACACAAACCTATTGTGATTACACATAAATTCTATCCAACTTCTCTTAAGAAACACTTTTGTTAGATAGAATTTGTTTTGAAAATTATCAAGACTTCTATTTTTTTTCAAAGTAGAAGCGAAAAGTTTAAACAAGAAAATATTGCGTGTATATACAAGATATATTCACTATATGATAATAGATGTTCTCGTCGAGATACGTGACGTGTGCGATGTGGGATCATATGGTTGGTTGTGATTCAATTGAACAACGCGTGAGATACAAATTTGCAATTTTATATATTTGTTTCTTTTTCTTGTAAAAATGAGTGGAGAGGATTTCTTCGATCTTCGATTACACGATCGTCGCTTGGTAAGCGTGGTTACTCCAGATTCGGAATCGAAATACAATGATATTGAAAATAATATTGTAAGTTCTCGGGAGAGATATCTCTCTAATAATATCGCGTTTACTTTGTTACGCTACATATAGTCGCACTTACATTCAATATACATATATCTGCCGTTTTAATTATTATTTATTATTACCATTCGTTATATTATTATTATTATCATTATTATTAATATTGTTATTATTATTACCGTCTCGCTGACGATGTATCATATAATATATATATATATATGTATATATATATATATATACATTTATATATTATATATATATACATATATACATTGTATATGCGTATGCGTGCGCGCACACCTTATGTACAATATATACAGCAGAGTTGTTCATTTTCCTTCTCGATCTTTCGTTGTGCACTTCTTTTGCGCATCGATTGCATGTGTATGTTTGTATGTGTGTGGGGTGTGTATAACATATACATATATATCTCTATACATATATATATTTATACTTTGTTGCGTATATTGCAACAAAGTTTTATTGCGCGTGATTCGAAAGTAAGAAATCGCAGATTCTCTGATCGAAGAGCAATCAGTATTTAATTCGCGAACGTTATCGGGATAAAATTTTTTAATTAAAACAAAACACAACGTCTCCGCTAGTCTAAAACTCGGCGGTGCTTTTTTTCGTGCTCCAATTGCAATTTGAAATCGTCGTTACGCTCGCAAATGCGATTTAGTAGCTCGGGAAGAGGTATCGTGTGCCACACAGGCACTCGAATTCGAAAAATCGTGCGAGTGCATCGTTGCACAAATCGTATATCTCGTCGCCTCCACATCGACGAATTTCAAAACACGACGAACGAACGACGCATTTATTTGACAAAATTGTTAAAATAAAATAATCATGTAATTATACATTTAACATTCTTACACATTTTTGATAAACACTCTCTCTCTTTCTCTCTCTTCTGTATCTTTGTTTCAAAAATCGCGTCGTCGACTTGTCGCCATCATAAAAAGACTCCGCTCTTCGAAGATTTTTTTCTCCGTCCGACACAAAAAAGTGACTAGAAAGATACAGTTTTTTTTTTATCTCTTTTCTTTTTGTCCGAGTTTTAAAATTCGTCGACAAAATTTGCAACGCACTGACTGCCCCCGGAACTGTACTCTTGAGAGAATGTCTCTTTCCAATAATTTATGCAAGCTTTCCATTACGATCGAAAAGATGCGCGCGTTCGAAGAAGAGAAAAACGAATATAGTGGAGAACGCGTTTCTCTTTATTCTCCGATTATATCGATTTGAACTTTCGGAAAGCGCGTCTCACGTGAGAGGTAAGGCACTGTATACAATATATTCGCTTATTTATTACATTTTAACGGGCGTAAAAAAAACGCGCTCCTATAGAACGTACGACATGGCAGGACTCGGAAATTCGTTTAAATACGTCGAAAGATTTTCTTTCTTTGTTCTCTTTTGTTTTTGTTTTTTTTTTTTTTTATCAAAGTTCAGAGTTCATCACCGGTGTATACACACGTCATTACTCTAACAAAGTGAAAGAAAAGAGAAGAGAGAGAATAAAAAAAAAAAAGAAAAGAAAAAAAAACGGATACGGAAAGAGAGGAAAGATACGAAGACGGGCGGCGTAATATCCCGCGATGTTGTTGAAGCAATTAAGAGTATTTATCACACACACTACAACAACAATAGTGAATTTTTCTTTTACCGCGTGATAAACGCGCTGCGTTGTCTCTCGCTCTCTAAACACTAATTTAATGTAACAGTGAACGGCTATGTATATATAAAGGCACTATGTTTCACAGACGTAGAATCCTTATAGGGAAATTAGCTGCCTTCCTTTGTTCGTTCGTGCAAAGATTAATCCTTTGTTCCCTCGTTATCGTCCTTTATTGTCACGTATTCGTTTCTCTCCCGCGCGCACAAAAATTTCGACAGGGCGCATTATGATCGATTGTTTAAAAAAAGCAAATGAGATTCGCGACTCGAAGGCATCTAATCTCGCTAACGAGGAACTTTCGTATTGCAATGTATCTCTCTCCCTCTCTCTCTCTCTCTCTCTCGCTATTGGTATATATATGTATATATGAGTGTAAAGATTACTTATACCTAGCCCGCACACGTGAAGTGGTCGGCCGATCAAAAACAGTTTAACAGACAGCAGACGGCTAGAAAATGATTCTAATTGTCGTCCGGTCGTCGTTAACATTAACGTTATTACTCTCGTTATTACTATTACTGGATAATGGCACGTCGCGCCCCTCGGGAGAACCGGTATCTTCGTCGAACAAGCGGCTAGAGCTTTTATTATTATTATTATTAGGCAAAAGCCAATTGTTTCTTTTCATTAATCTCGCAACAAATACACCAGCGGCGCAAGAATAAAATTTATTTCTTTATTGAAGAGCTTCAGTCTTGTGCGCACGCGCGCGCGCCCGCCTCGAGGATGTAAAAAACAAATTGTTTTCTCCATTGTAATAATTTATTAGCAAAAGGAAATTATAATTTTTTTAGTCTGAGTATGTTGTGGAATGAAGATTAAAAAAATATTGAGGAGCAAAAAAAAAAAAACATTCGCGATTTTAGAAGAGTAATAACAATATGAAAATCGAAGGAGATACTCTCAAATTTTAGAGTTTGAAACGTAATATAATAATTTTATGAGAGAAGAAGACGAGAGATGCATGGTCGCAAGTGCGAGGGACGTGAAAAGGAAAAATAACGCAGAGCAGAACGAGGTAGAATGAAGAAGACAAGTCATGCATTAGATGAATCCATATGTTTCAGTTCGAAATGCAAAAACGTTTCACATGCAAAAAACGAATTGTACACAACAGATGTATTTATGTCCTTCTTATTAGAGAAAAAATTTTCGTCTCTCTCTACCGTACGTTACAATTATTCATCTCCGAGTTTCTGTTTAAATGTTTTTTTGTTTTTTTGTTTTTTTAACTTATAGATTAGTGTAAACCCGCATTTGCGATATACAATCCTTACGATGCTACAAAATTCACGAAAAAAAATCTTTTCGATTTTTTCGCACTTTACTTATTATTATGTACACGTGTAGTTTACAAATAAATGTATAGACATTCTTCGCGAAAGAGCAGAAGTCAAAAGTAAAACAAAGAATGTCACACATGACAGCGATACAAAAAATATGATATTGTAATAATAATAATAGTGTGTTCTATTCATGCATGAGAGAATCGTCAATTCAAAAACATAGACGGAAATGAAACTTCGCAAAGTTCATATGATTCACGAGAGATACAAAAAAGATTGACAAGAAACAATCCGTAGAAAGAAATCGCAGCGTTTAATTTATCGCTTTCTCTTCTTACAATGTATCGAGGTGTTTGTTATTGCAAGTTCGCTGGTAAGTTCTTTGCGTTGTGTGTGAACGTCGATCTGCTTTTCGAAATTTTTTTGAGACTTATTATTGCGGAATTATTATTATTTTTTTTGAGCTACATAGTCTTCATTGCAACAAAAGAGACGGATTGGATGTATCTCGACTACAGCAACGTGTCGGGGGCAGTAAAAAAAAGACTACGAAAAGCAAGTCGGAGTCGTTCAAAAGTGAGAATAATCCGTCGGCGAAAAATTTCTTTTCCGCCGTCGTTACAATTGCTTTCGTCGACGATCTGAACCCGATTTTTGCTCTTTCAATCTTTCTTTCTCTCCTTCTTCATTTACACGATACGAGTTAGCTACCTATGAACATTTTCTGTATACGTGTGTCTCTCTCTCTCTCTTTGTGTGTGTGTGTGTGTGTATACATATTTAATATATACATTCAAATCGCGCAGCATCACAATGTACCATTCTCGTGGCTCTCAATCTGTTCAATCATTTACTATAGAGTAACCGGCCACTTTTACGTCGATAAAAGCGGTAGTACGAAAGTAAACTCTAATGGTCGAAAAGAAAAAAAAACCTACGGATCGATCAGTCAATTGTGTATTATCTCTGTGTATGTATGCGTGTATATTTAAATGTACGCACGTGAATGAATACGTATGACTGGTACATATTACATCATATTTAATTAAACGCGTTCTGAACACTCTGAGTACGCTCTAATCCTTCTTTCGGGTCGATTCGTATCTAAAGAGTATGTAAAAAAAAAACTTCCGCGCGCATATATAGTATACATATGCTTAACTATCTCTCTCACTCTCACTCTCTTTCTCTCATGTATTATTTCTACGAGGAGTTTTCTTGTACGTTGAAAATTAGAAGTGTCCTTGAGTGGTTTTCTTTTTTACTATTGCATACATATACATACATGTATACATATATAAGTTTTCAATTGACTTATCTGTGACGAATGTCAAAGACCCATCAAGGACAAGAAAAACAACAGATAAGCATTCAAAAGTTCATTTTAAATTATAATAAATATATGATATATATACAATTGGCGATTATAAATGCTTTACCAAATGCCTTAATCGAATAATGTCTTTGTCATTGTTTAACACTTTAACTTTATGCGCTGAGACATTTAAGCCGCCGATTGTATATTTTACATATTCGTATATATAAACTATATATATATATATATATATATATATCGAATTATATATACATATACAAACACAGCAGAAGCTTTATTATCGTAACCAACGCGCATTGCATCAAAAACTCCGAAAGAAAACTACCGAAACTATATATTTGGTCATTTTATTTATAAATTTGTGCAAGATATCTGTAAGTGTTCGCCATTATTCTTCTCTTCTAACACAACAACGATGTACTATATATATTCGAGTTTTTAAATGTATAACATATATGTTGTTATTATAATAAATGAAACACAGCTATTTTGTTTTTGATTTTGTGCTTGATAAGTCGCCGACTCTCGTCACAAGCAAGTCAATTTTCTACTTTTTAAAATTTTTATTTTCGAAACATCTCGACGACACGGTAGAAACAAAAAAAAAGTATAATCATAATCTCAATAATCGCGTAATTAGCGATTAGTCTTTCATTTCCAACGTTGCGAAACCTCCGCCAATCGTTACATCCTCGTTTTTGTTTTATTCTTTCCTCCCTTCCCCACACTCATACACGCGCACACACATCTTTATCTCCGCCTTAGTCGCCGTTTCGCAGTTTACCTCGCGCAGCAACGCGGCAATCGTAAAAAAAAGGAAGAAAAAAAGACCTGCGTTAAATTCTTATCACAGTACATCGTATTACTGTAGTACAAAGCTCCGAGAGATGGAGGTATTATATAATTGTTTCGTGCAAAAACGAGCTTGGCACGTGGCGCACTTTTGTTTCCCGAGAGTACGTGCTGCACCACGAAGGGAAGCTGGGAAGGCACAGTGTATTTACATGTACTATACGTATATGTACAACACCGAACGACGATCGGAGATGACACATCCAGGACCAGTGGCACTGATCGCGCAATCACATTCTCGATCAATTTAGCATTGATTTAACAATTGCACATTCCACACAATATATTATTTCTATGAGCTGTTTACTCTTTTTTGCAAGTACAAATAAATTATTATATTATATAATGTTATTATATTATTATGTAATATAATAATTAAATAATATTATTTACTTACATATATAATATATATGTTGGAAGTTTTTAAAATTATTATCGAGTGATTAAACTCATCAATAAAAACAATTTTTTAATAAAATCTTTAATAAAATATCTCCTTCTCTCTACAAATAATCATAATCGTTGCATTATGCAACATATACATAGGTTTTGTTACGTGATCGCTTGTCTGGTTCGTGTTGCTTGTTTTCTTTTTTCTCGCCGAAATATACAAATGTCTTATTTTGAAATTGCAAAAAGTGCAAACAACACGAGAACCAGAATCATTTAATTGCTTCGTGTCTTATCTTCTCGTAAAACTCTAAAATTTTCCTTGTCTTTCTTGTAGAAGAATTTCACGCAATCCGACGCGCGTAGACTATAAAACACAAGTGACTAGACCTATCGGAAGCCCAATTCTTTGCGCTTCCTCTTGTCATAAATTTCTATACAAACGCCCGAGAGTAGCTACTACTCAGTAGCATCAACGATTCAGACGATAAGACAAGAAACATGAAAAAAAACTAAAATATAAAATTCAAACTTTTTTTTTATGTCAAGATTACCGAAAGTACCACTCGTCGATATCTGAGTCACTCCGTTCGTTCGATGAAACACGCTCACAAGCGCGAGCTCCGCGTTTGTTTTCTCTCTAAATATCTCCGTTTTACCGACAAAACAAAACAACGCGACGTTGTTCCTACACAGACGTATTATTTTTTTACAGCGTGTACTTTGGTAAGACTGTTGGGGTTTTTGGGGCGATCTCACCCCTCCCCTTGGGCACGCATCGCCGGTAATCGTTTCCGGCACGCGGGTTTTTTTTTTATATTTTATATATATTTATTTTGTTTTTTTTTTAAATAACACAGCTCTCGCTATAGGACGGAGCTAAAGGCCACGGTCGCCGCATCATTATCACCGATCCTCCCCAAGAACAACAACGACGACGATGAGGAGGAGGAGGAGCAGGAAGAGACGCAAGTTGAGGACGAGACTCGATGATACCCTTTGGAATGGCCAGCTCGCGGGATGATCACCTGCACGGTGCCAGGAGCACCTCGAGCCAGCACGGGCAGGAGGTGACTTCCTGCCGCGAGTACTTGGGTCCCCAGCCTTTGGCGAAGCTGATGCGGACGGAGTTAATGTCGACGGGGCCGGAAGCGGGAAAACCGGCGGCCTGACCGCCGCCGCTGCCGCTACCGCCGCCGCCGTTGTATGGAAGCTGCAGGATCTTGGCGCGATCGAAGATGTTCAGGCAGAAGCCCGGCGGCACCCGGTAGACCAGCAACGTCTTCGAGTCCGGGTCGTTCAATGTGGGCGAGTTCACGAATATTGGGCTTTCCGACCGGTTGTACGCCCATACACCGTCCAATTCCTGACTGAGCGTGAGTCCTGCGACAAAATGAGAAAAACACATTTATTAATTCTCGGTGTCTCTCGACGAGTTCAAAATATTTTTCCTTCCCATCGCGAGAACACACTTCGATAAGCGACGAAGGATAACGTTTATTCAAGTGTTGCGCAACGAGGTGCAAAGTGTAACGGTTAAGTGAACAAGGCTGAGATATGACGGCAGAATTCGAGAAAAAGGAAACGCAAAAAAATAAAAAAAAATAAAAGAAAAAAACACGAAGAAAAGCGAGCAGATTTACGTAATCGAACGGAAATTTTAAAAACTTACCGAGACCGATTTTGCTACGCGTACGCTGAACCGAAGGCGGTGCATTGTGATTCTCGGCCAAAGTCGCCAGGCAAAGGCCGTCGCCATCGTGGAGAGAGTCGAAAACGTTCACCGTCGACGGCTCCACGGGATACAAACGACCCACTCGACCGCCCAGTTCCCAGTACGCCAGAGTGCACCATTCCCTCTGTCCTGTTTCACCTGCAAAACAAAGTGAAAAAGAAAAAACTTTAAGTTATATGAAACAAAACAAGAAAAAAAAAAAACGTCACGCTGTGCATTAAAGTCTACACTTTTATGCGTCGCGCGGTCGAATTATCCTCGTCGTTGTTTGCAACTTCCTGGCGGTTTGCGAAGGTAAACGGTCGGTCCACGAGAAATCGTAAATAAGTAAATAAGATTGAAAACAAAAGAATGCGAACAAGTACGTGTTCTCAGATTTTTTTTTTTTTTTTTTATCGCTCGGAAGACAGAGAGAGATTCTCTCATTATCTCGCCGGATGACGACGTCTTTCGACGTGCCCGTACTTTGAGGTGAATTTATTTACGGTCATCTATGTGATGAGTCGTTTAGTAAAAGTAGTACTTCCGTTGATCAAGTGTGTCTCATTTTCTGAAGACTCATTCTCGTCCACCGCATGCCGGGCGGCTCGATAAAGCCCATTCAACGAGATCTTTTGTTAGGGTCTCTTCTCGGTAAGAGATTTATACAAAGAAGGGCGTGCTGTGCAAGGCTGTGCGGCATCACAAAGAACCGAACACGGGTCGCCGTCGTGGGTTTAGTCCCACGCTTTTCGTTCTTAGTCTCGCAGCAGGAACGGGCGCCACGTATACTAAAAAGACACCGGACGTGTCGCCGACCAAACAGATTCACAATATCGTGTGAATTGTTTTCAAAGGTCTGAGAAATGGACGACGTCGATCGGATTTGCTGACTGTGAATGAAATCGTAAGAATTGTAAAAAAAAAAAAAAAAATATTCGATAATCACGTGTTGACGCTAAGCGAGTCAATTCAATTTTGTCCTCCGCACTAAGGGTGATCTCGTCAGGTTTTACACACAGGTATTTTTAGAAGAGTATCGGAAGTGTATACACTTGTGTCACATGCACCGAGCGAAGCATCTTTGTATACTCGGCACTCGACTTTGAGAGCGAATCTTTAGGATAAAAAATATATTAATATCTTCGCATGTAATTTTTATTTTTTTTATTTTTGTTTTTTATTTTTTTATTTTTTTTTTATTTTTTTTATGAACTTAATTATGAATAATGAAAAATAATTTCATTATTCTCACTCTAATCAATCCGAAATCTGATTTTTACAAGTGTCGCGATCGCCGTATTTTTTTTAAATCTCAATTTTTTCCTCGTATTGTATATTTATATTTGTGCATTATTTGAATTGTTCAAGTGAATTTTGCGTCACCTGGCGCAAAATCGTTCAAGACACTCGCGTGCCGCTCTCTTGCCGATAATCGGTAATGTGCGTTTGATAACCGGTTTCCGAGCTAATCAACCGGCGAGAGAGCTCGCTCGAAGAAACGCGCGAAGAATTTCCGGCCGAAAGTCGCTCTTCTTATCGCGACCGCAATGCACGTCGTTCGAGATTTCGAGACTCCTCGGACATCGGAGCTCTTTGGCTCTTTCGGCTTGGCTCTTTCTCTGTGCTACACATCGCATGTGTAAATCGACAACGTTTGGGTGTGTGTGTGTGTATGCATGTCGCCGTGAAGCGGCGTCGCACACGGGCACGAGAGATGGGTCGGCGAGGGGGAAACGAGGGGAGCCCCTTGCTTCTCTACCACCACAGATAAAAATAGATATTACGAGTTTACCGCGGCGCCAAGATTGCGGGGTATCGCGACGATTACGTCATCGGTAGTAGCGCGAGTGGTTGGAGCAAGGACGCTCGTCGCGTCGCCCGTCGTCGTCGTCGTTGTCGTTGTCGTCGTTGTCGTCGTCGTCGTCGTCGAATTTTCATGTTTATCTGCGATCGTCTGCAGTCTTTTAGCAGTTTCCGACGACCGGCCACCGCTGCGATGCGCGTTTTAATGCTTCGCATCGGGTTATTGCATCGCGTCGCGGGGCCAGAAGACGTTGAGTCCGAGATCGCGCGAGGTGGATAATAAACAAGAGTGCAATCAATGCCATTTACTAGGAGTATAAAATCCGGAGAGAATAAATATCAGTGTGATTTTTCAAGATCGCATAAGAGGCAATAGCGGTTTTTATGTAGATGTGATATTGAAGAGATCCTCTGAGGTCTGCGAATTTTGAGATGATAAAATGGATAACGAACACTCTTATTTTTGGTGCAACGCGTAATTCGCTCCATTATTCTTTGTCAAAATTGTTGACGCCAAAATGTTAAAGTTTGACACTATGCCACACTATCGTGGAAATAACGCAATCTCGAGAAGCACATGTAAAGTTGCAAAGGAATAAGATTCTTCAAGTGCAAATACATGAAAAAAAGAAAAAGCAAACAAACAAAACAGAAAATAAAAAAATATATTCCCGCAATTTTATATATATATATAAAAAAAAAAATAAATAAAACGTTCGTTTATCATAAAAATTGCTAAGATTTGAGTCAGAGTATCTTTTGATGTTGCGCCACCGCTTTCCTCGTCATCGTAATGTCGACAGGAAGTGAACACGAGATCGCGAGAGATCTCGCGCGAGAGTATCGCCACGAGGTGCATCCTGCGGTTCTGCACGAACTTACACACGCACACACACACACACACACGCAATCACGATACAATAAACGCAGTCACTAAATGTGGGCCACTACGTATATGTATATGTATATATATATATATACATATACATAGAGAGAAGAGGCAGAGAGAGCGCGCGCGTGCGAAGCAGCAAACGCATGCGTCTGGAAAATTGGAAGCAGACTGAAAGCCCTGTAATAAAGCAATTCTGTCGGTTCTCTGAAGATCACGATAAAGAAGCAATTACGGAATTGACCGCGTCTTGCCGCGGTTGCTTCTTAAAGTGTCCTCGTTTCCTTCAAACGCGCCGAGAGAAGCGAGAAAGAGAAACGTATTATTTCACGTCTGGCTACCGCGGAGAGACGCGACCGGCCTTTTATTTTCATATAACCGCTCGCGTTTCCAAGGATTTTAAGCTCGTTTGAGAAAAATCACTCAATGAATCGGTGCCGGCGACCGCGCCGGGAATTACCCCCGCCACATCGTCCTTCGCGCTGATTAATTCTTCTGCCGCGCGTCGTCTCTGATCCCGAGACGATTGGACTTCCACAAAACGTGACTCTTCTCCGAGACACGTTAAAATATATTCAGACACACTCTAACACACATATCCGTAAAACCAAGAAAATTGAAATATCACTCTCGGTGATTTGTTTCCTGGAATATGCTTCTCTCTCTCTCTCTCTCTCTTTTCCGACGTATTGTGACATACAGACTAATAAAAAAATCTGAATTAAATACGAAAGTAATTTTCGGCCGCGTCGTCACGCGCAATCGGGAAAAAGATACGCGCGAGCGTCTAATGGCTAATGCCATTGGAGTCAAGTCGCAGATATTTATCGTTTGCAGCGTGCGCAGATCTCGAGTGTCGACCTTCCCAGTCGCATACCAATCGCCGCGCAGAGCAAGATGTTTGCACGGGAGCGTGTGTAAACACGGATGGGAGAAAAATAACGCGCGTCGTCTCCCGAGACACGCGCGCGCGCGACAACGCCGTAGCTAAAGTGTCTGGAGAGTCTCGTTTGGAATGCGATACTACACAACACGTTGCGATACTGCCTGGGTTATTGCTGTTCCCGACGGAACGAACGTGTTACCGCGTATCATCTCGTGAAATATGGCACAATAAAATTCTAATCCGCGCGCATAAATAGCGGAAGAGATGAGAGTCGCGCGCGCGCGCGCGAAGAGAAATTACGCGATCGAAATCGAGATCGTTTTGCCGAACGATCGATCTTATTGCTCGATTGACTGTTTCGAAGAAGTCGCAGGTTTGCCACAAGTTTTCCTTTCTTCCTGGATATGTTAATTATTTAAAAAAAACTTTAGAAACAATATATCTTGCTCTATTATATCGCGTGTCCTGTTGCGGAATCGCGTGTCGCACTTTTCCTAGCACATAAATCCATTTCCGCGCTATGCACGACGCGCGGAAATGGATTTATGTGCTAGGAAAAGTGCGAGTGTTCGCAAAACAAAGTTTGTAAATCATTACGAGACGCACGAGAGGCCGGGACGACGATTTGTGGGAAAGAAAGTGATTAATAGATGGACGAAATAAATTCTCACACTGAGAGAGAGAGCGACTGATTGATCGAGTGATTATGTTTTATTTCTTTAAGCACTCTCGGAAAAATCTCTTCCCAAAGGAAAAGAAAGAGAGAAAAAGAGATATTGCGAAAAACGAAGTGAAGAAAATAGAAGCGGGACGTTGTCGTCGCAGAATTCGGCCTAAAAGCGAATTCCAGAGGAATTGGATGCAATTACTTATCGACGACGCGCGGCGGGGGGGCGCGCGTCGCCATCTGCAAGAATAATGCCGACGGCTTTCCGACTTCGCTCCGCTTCGACGTGTGTAACACATACTCGCAGCAAGTGGACGACGAGAGAGAGGGTCGGAAGAGTTGTTTTGATCGGTTCAATATTTTACATTCGTAAATTGATCCGGCGCGATTTATATCGCGTCGTATATTTTGCGCGACGCGAGCCAATTCAATTCGTCGCTGCGGCAAGAAACACAAATGGAGAGGAACGGCGTCGTTGAATTTAGCGTGATTTGTACGAAGCGGCGATGTGCACTTTACGAGAGTAACACATGTGTGTTTACCGAGAAAATTTATATATTTAGACGCAAAATATTCAAGCCAACAAAATATTTGTATGTATGTGTGTGTGAGAGAGAGAGATGTAATATATTATAATTTTTATAAAAATAAAATGTCATGTAACTAAAATAGCTCTCCTCTATTTATTGCGAGAAGAATTTAAATTATAGAACTTCGAATGTGTGCAAAACTGCCTTTCCTGATATGAGATATTCCACCTTCACAATGGCAAATAATAAAAGTTCACGCCTACTGGGCATCATGTTGCGTTTTATATTCGATCGATAAGAATAGCCAATTGTGGATGGTGCTTTAAGCGGGATCGGTCGCGAACGAGCGTAGCGAGCGATGTAAAGCCACCGGAGTGCCAA